CGATGCAAATTATTCTCCGATCTTACAGTATAATGCTAGCCAAGCATTTTACGAAACCTTGCAGCGTTTTCGAGCATAATAATTTATTCTTTGTAAACGGTATTATAAGTTTCGATCTATCGAAGCCCGGTGTAGCGTTGCCGTAACGCGGATCAACGTTGTTTGTACGATGAAATAAAAAGGGGGCTGCGCCGAGTTTGAAACTGATCGCAACAGCTATCGAGGGAGATTAGTTTGCAGGAATTACCGACCATTTTCCTTTTGTGCGACAGATTCGCTTCCGAGCGAGTTCGAGATCTCCGAGCATTAGGCGTGTCGGTGAGGTACCGAGTGCTAATCTATGTGTACACGTACCGAAAACTGTTCCGTCCGTATCGCTTGTAGGAAACAACGGCTATGCGGATAGAAAGTTCGTATCGTTCCGCGATTGTGCCGGAAGCTAACGAAACCAACCGCACGAATAATCTTTTCAAGGTTATATCGAAAAGGTGCACCAAACGAGGCGGCATTTGTTTCGCAATGATGCGATAAGCAAGATGCATTTAGCAAATGGACGTTTGCAATGATTCGCGAGTACGTTCGATACAGGCATACTTTGAAATTCTTTCAACCTTTTTCCTGTTTCAAATTTCAGCATCTAATTTTCGCTATAAATGGAATAGAACCCGCAGTCTGGATGCGAATCCTCGCCATATTTGAAACTAGTTCCACGAGGAGGGTGTTCCCGTTAAATTCCGTGTAGACGCGAACCGAAGACCGTAAATGTTGTTTCGCAACGTGATTGCATCTGCCTGGACGGCACAGCCAACCTTGTTTTGCAACGCTGTCGTGAACATCGCGGTGTTCCACCGGCTCGGTTTTGAAATATGCAATGATATCGATATCGATAGCGATTTCGTTGGAGCCGCGGGGTTACGGCTCGCGTAAACATTCTAATCGCATGGTCCAACGGAAAAATCCATCGATCAACCCTCGGACCTTTTTTCGCCGAGCGGTGGACGACGCTTAGATTTTTTCCTCGACGAAATTGGACGATCGAGAAGTTAACTTTAATAACGCGGAATGGACGATATCGCGGAGCGAGTAACGTCAACGAACGTGCGATAAGTTTTGGCACGCTAAACACTTTTTATCGAAACTGCGTGAAATCGGCCAGCGCCGGGAAAGAGCTAATCGGGGATCGCCAATTAATCAGAATTAAACGTTCTTCTGCATGATTATCTTCGGAGAAAAAAATAGCCACCGATTAAACGAGCTCTTTCCCGTCTTGCAAAAATCATGTCGGCATTAATTAATCAGGTCCACGTTCCGAACGGATTTCACAATTACTGCGAAGCCCGAGACTCTTCGAGAACTATTCTCTGCCTCTGTCTTTCTACCTGTGTCTCTCCCGTCTCTCGCCTCCCACTCGCAATCAGTCCCCCCCCCCCCCTCCCTCCCTGCCCCTCCTTCTTCGCACACGCGCACGGTCGAGAACCACTTTAAATGTATCAAGTTGGAAATTTCTTGGTGTCACGGTAAGCAGCAGAAATTCAACGTTCATAAAATCGTTTCTCATATATTGCAATATGTTGCAATTCTTGCGAAATGAAAACTGCTGCATTTGACAAATAGCTTTCGGCCGTAGGCTGTTCGCGCGAATCAAGCGCTTTGCGAACTTTGCGAAAAATATTTGCTAGGCATTATCGGTACACGCGGCTGCCGCGACGTTTTATCGATCTTCGCAAATTCATTTTCGTCGCGGTCGAAACGTCCGCGTAGAACAGCGGAAAAACCGAAGATACGATGCTCTTCTCGAGTAATTGGTTCCTTATCTCGAACGAGGGTTTAATTTTGNGCGTTGCCGTAACGCGGATCAACGTTGTTTGTACGATGAAATAAAAAGGGGGCTGCGCCGAGTTTGAAACTGATCGCAACAGCTATCGAGGGAGATTAGTTTGCAGGAATTACCGACCATTTTCCTTTTGTGCGACAGATTCGCTTCCGAGCGAGTTCGAGATCTCCGAGCATTAGGCGTGTCGGTGAGGTACCGAGTGCTAATCTATGTGTACACGTACCGAAAACTGTTCCGTCCGTATCGCTTGTAGGAAACAACGGCTATGCGGATAGAAAGTTCGTATCGTTCCGCGATTGTGCCGGAAGCTAACGAAACCAACCGCACGAATAATCTTTTCAAGGTTATATCGAAAAGGTGCACCAAACGAGGCGGCATTTGTTTCGCAATGATGCGATAAGCAAGATGCATTTAGCAAATGGACGTTTGCAATGATTCGCGAGTACGTTCGATACAGGCATACTTTGAAATTCTTTCAACCTTTTTCCTGTTTCAAATTTCAGCATCTAATTTTCGCTATAAATGGAATAGAACCCGCAGTCTGGATGCGAATCCTCGCCATATTTGAAACTAGTTCCACGAGGAGGGTGTTCCCGTTAAATTCCGTGTAGACGCGAACCGAAGACCGTAAATGTTGTTTCGCAACGTGATTGCATCTGCCTGGACGGCACAGCCAACCTTGTTTTGCAACGCTGTCGTGAACATCGCGGTGTTCCACCGGCTCGGTTTTGAAATATGCAATGATATCGATATCGATAGCGATTTCGTTGGAGCCGCGGGGTTACGGCTCGCGTAAACATTCTAATCGCATGGTCCAACGGAAAAATCCATCGATCAACCCTCGGACCTTTTTTCGCCGAGCGGTGGACGACGCTTAGATTTTTTCCTCGACGAAATTGGACGATCGAGAAGTTAACTTTAATAACGCGGAATGGACGATATCGCGGAGCGAGTAACGTCAACGAACGTGCGATAAGTTTTGGCACGCTAAACACTTTTTATCGAAACTGCGTGAAATCGGCCAGCGCCGGGAAAGAGCTAATCGGGGATCGCCAATTAATCAGAATTAAACGTTCTTCTGCATGATTATCTTCGGAGAAAAAAATAGCCACCGATTAAACGAGCTCTTTCCCGTCTTGCAAAAATCATGTCGGCATTAATTAATCAGGTCCACGTTCCGAACGGATTTCACAATTACTGCGAAGCCCGAGACTCTTCGAGAACTATTCTCTGCCTCTGTCTTTCTACCTGTGTCTCTCCCGTCTCTCGCCTCCCACTCGCAATCAGTCTCCCCCCCCCCTCCCTCCCTGCCCCTCCTTCTTCGCACACGCGCACGGTCGAGAACCACTTTAAATGTATCAAGTTGGAAATTTCTTGGTGTCACGGTAAGCAGCAGAAATTCAACGTTCATAAAATCGTTTCTCATATATTGCAATATGTTGCAATTCTTGCGAAATGAAAACTGCTGCATTTGACAAATAGCTTTCGGCCGTAGGCTGTTCGCGCGAATCAAGCGCTTTGCGAACTTTGCGAAAAATATTTGCTAGGCATTATCGGTACACGCGGCTGCCGCGACGTTTTATCGATCTTCGCAAATTCATTTTCGTCGCGGTCGAAACGTCCGCGTAGAACAGCGGAAAAACCGAAGATACGATGCTCTTCTCGAGTAATTGGTTCCTTATCTCGAACGAGGGTTTAATTTTGCGCGCACGTAAAGCGCGGAACGTGCAGCAATTATGCGTTGCGATGCGCACGAAGTACTATTCGAGTTCTATTCGGTTACGCGTATTCCATTGTGATCGTACCGCGTGAAAATCAGCCTTTCGATCGACCGTCGTCGATGCGCTGTTCGCGATTCAGCTTATCAACGATCCAAATGTCGCCGACGAAACTGAGCCGATCGATGACTTTTTAGCGCGGAATGAAAATTCGTAATTTAAGTACCGGGAAGCGTAACTTTGTTATTGCTTCGTACAGAAGTTACAGCTTTAATTTGTACAGCGTATTAGGACGGGCATACGAATTATACCGCAGTGGAAATAAAGCAGACATATGCCAATTGGCAATTCTCCCGCTTACTTAGCGCAGAGAACGGGAGAGTGTGTATACGTATACTTGCGGGTACGACCATCTCGTATACAACTTTCCGCATAAAACTGCATAAAACAACGGGGAGCCAGCATCTCCTGATTTGCGAAGTTTTATGGTAAGATGACTTCGTTCTGGCACGAAAATACCCGCTACGGGAAAAGTTAAACCCGTTTACAAATGCATACATATATATGTATACGTATACGCCTAGGTATTATATAGATCGCGAAACGCGAGATTAATAGACAACGCGCGCGGCATTCGCGAATTATGAAAAGCAATTGGCTCGTCGTAAACACGAATCCTTCCTCTTGTTATTTATATTTATATATTTATATCTATATATATATATTTTATGGCCTATGCGAAGGTTAAATAACCTTGGAGAGTCCCTCGTTTTGTTAATACAGCTGAAAAATGTAGCGCCGCGATTGTAACTAATTATAGCACAAGAACAAGATATAAACGTAATAATTGGCGCGGAAAGAAACAACTTTCGCGAGCGGAAAGAGCGCGAGATTTCGCACGGGAACCACGCGAAACCCCTAATTTTGAAACAAGCAGTCTCGAGACGGTGATTCCCAGGGGCCCGGAATCGCAATCCCGATTTAAATATCCCGGGGCGTGCGCACTCAACGCTTGCGACACTTCGACCTCGGCCATCCTATATCCCATCTCATCCCATCTGGAATATATTTCACCCTCGCGCGTGCTCTCTCCGCGCATGCTCGTCTCGCTCGGATCCGGATCCGGATCCGGATCCGGATCAGCTTTACTCGACCACTCGACTCACGTCACGCGAGACAACATCGCGAATATGGCGAGAATAATTTCGAAGGAATGCCATCGAACGTTTGTCGCGTTCGCCGCTCGAAAGCAGAGTCTCGTCGACTCGCGAAAGAATGATTCGTCCCTAGGGTCGTGGAAGACAACCGATCTCCGATAAAAACACCATGAAAAGATCGGGACACCGTGCCGCGCCATTCGTGTCCTCGATCATCGTTCCGTCGATGTATACGCGTTGCACGTTAGTCGCGCGGAGGAGTAAAGTAAGATGAAAAATGTGTTCGCTCACCGGGGAAACTGTTCGCGCACGCGACGAGGCACGCCGCGACGAGTAGAACACCACCGAGTGTCTTCATGCTGCTTCGTGGTTTGCTGCGCTGCGCTCTGCGTAAATGCCGCTCGGCAAAGTTTCTTCGGCGAGGACTCGTCAACTACTGGCGGGCTTTCGGTCTCTGCGATCTGCGAACCGCGAACCGGACTGTCACAGAACACGCGAGGGGATCAGGGTCACTCACAGAACCAGCTCACTGAAACTCGCTGACACTTTGCGCCACGACGTTTGTCTCGTGCCACTCTATATATGTCCGGCGGCCCGCCGCTCGGCCAATCCCCGGCGGCCTCAGGTGTGCTGGCCTGGTCACGTGACCGCACGGCGCGCCGCTTGACTCACGCGAAGCTTCTCGGTACGCCCAACAAATAAACCTAACCTAATCCAACCTCTCGTCGGAACCGCGAGACCGCGATCATTTAACCGACTGAACGAACGTAATTTCTGTGAACATCATTCCGCGGTTCGTGTCAAATTGCACCGGGTGCCCGATAACAATAGCGGTAGCGTGTTTCTTCGCGGTCTTCTGGGAATCGCTAATAAGAGACTTCGTCCAGAGATGGTTGGTCGTACACGCGTACCTGCTGACACAGAAGAGTATACGAGCGTAATCCGATTGATTATCTCTGTATAATGGCGCCGAGCGATTGCATAATCCGCTAGATGAAAAGTTCTAGTAATGCAGTCGGGGGTTAGAGCAGATTGCTTTATAGGTTAACGCGTTATAGGTTAATGCGTATCCCGGTATCCGTTTAACGGATACCGGGAATTCTGGGTACAAGCTGCAACTGTCGAATACGCGATCGACGTTTGATCGATTGGCAGTCGTTGCGGTGGATAGCTTTATGGAAAATGAAAACTTTTACGTATCGCGGTGAACGGAAGCTCAGATTTTCTCGAACGTTGATACCGTTTTAAGTTTTGTTTAATCGATTCTCTCGAAAAGCTGTCGGAGAGATAAGACGTAAGTCGTGGTAATTAACAATTAGAAAGAAATGGTTCCAATCGAAGTGAACTCTCATCGATGCTCGAACGGCGGACATTTTTGGTTAAGAAAATAACTACGTAAAACTATATGGTATGTTCTCGTCGAGTCAATTATGTTTTTACCGTTGATTCTGTGATGCCTATTTTAAGAAAAATTCGTCTTGCCAAGAAACACCGAGGCAAGGAATACTGTAGCCGATATAGCAAGTTTAGTCACAGAACAATGCCGATTCCTCGAAACTATCCGATACAACAGGCTTCCACCTGTATTCCGCAATACAGGTTTGCCGCTGCTAAACTTTACATAAATTATCTTAGTTACCGGTTACTCGACGTTTAGACAGGTTGCTCAAAAGTCAAAGTCTTGTAACGTTTTAGAACGATTACTAACGATCGCGTAATCGCTCCGTGTCGCTAATTAGCCGTATAATCAGCCGTATACCTAAGTTGTTTTTCCGCTTCCTGAACGATTTTATCCACATTAAGACTTTCGTCGTCGATCCCAAGAAAGTGTTTAAAACAGAAAACACACGTATTACCTCGTATCTTGTATCGAATATTTACGAAATGTCTCACGTTCTATATGAACAGTCGGATTGGGACCTCGGTGTTTGCAATCGACATCGTTTTGAATTGCGAGAAAACATTCGAGCCTGATATCGATACACGAACAAATTATTTGTTCTCTGTACCGTGAATTCGCTCCGACTTACAAAGGATTTGAAAACTTACGACCGTGGATGGCCAACTCGTTTCACGCATAAATATGTATGACGTATTTCCTACATAGATTATAATCGTTTAAAGCGCAGGTTGTTGGGCAATGAATGGCCGGAAATTCGAGTGGCGTTTCCTCGTGACAATGTAAAAGCAGAATTAAAAATGACGATATATCGCGGGTTCCGTTCTGTTTTCAAGTTGTTGACGATTAACTCTCTCTCTCTCTCTCTCTCTCTCTCTCTCTCTCTCTCTCTCTTTTTTTTCGCTGCAACGTCGCTATGCATACACTTTTCCTGACCCGATTTCCGCGCGACTCTATTGGCGCATCACAGAGACGGTAACCGATTTTTATTCTACATTGTCATGGGTTATCAGCTGTTGTCGAACACGGAAAATTAAATATTGAATATTTGCAGTAACTAGACCGTGGATTTATGTGCATTTGTAACATGGGCTGGTTTGCACGAGGATAACGACGAAAAATGATTCATTATTTCGCGTGCTTAAACACGTTTTCCTCTTTCAGGTTTTTTTCCATCCGTAAAATACTCATAGAATATAGTTAATACATTTTATATTTTACACACGCATAGGACCACGTACGCGATCTGTGTGCGCGCGTTAAAATAGATCATGCGATCACGCGATACAAGTGGAAAGTTTCATTAACGTAACGCGCAAGTGCGATCGCGTCTATTACTTATATCTTGCAGCGAATTTTCGAGATGTTTGCTCGTAACGGAAGATGACGGATGATCGTGTACGCGCGATCGTATCTCGAACGGATTTTACGCAATCTACGATACCGAATAGATGGAATATAAAAAAGTAGAAAGATTTAAAGATTACCCGATTCTCGCCGGTAACGTAACAGTTGACCAAGAAAATTCGTACGAAGAGCCGTGGATCCAATCACGGCGACAAATACAACGTAAATGATTTTTCATAATTGCGATATCGTCCAATGAAATTCGCACAAATGTCACGACCGCGGCCGCGCACGGATTCAACAATGCGAATAATACTCATTCTCGTCACGTTACAATTGTTGTCGGATGGAGATAAGAACGAGATCGTGGCTGTTTAGAGAGCAAGATCGACGATTCACTGGCCGCGCCAAATTCGAAACAGCTTTGCAACGACGGGGACGTTTCCGGTGTTTTATATAAACCTAAAGCTGTGCCGATAATACGTTTACATCGTGATTTCGACGAGCCGTCCGGTCTCTTTCCAACAATGACACGCCTTTTTTCTCTCCTTTATGCCCAAATATGTTAAAACAAACATGTCCCTGGACCGGCAGAGACGACACCGCAACCGGTTGCGATTCGCCTGCCGACTTTCTTACTTACATTTTCGTTTGTTTCTCGCATCGTTTTCATTTCGCTGTTTTTGTCGCACACGCTGAAGCAGGTTGCAGGCTACGATGCATTTTCAGTTGGACTTCGACCGTCCAGCGCAAAGCATTCTTTGGTGTCGCACAAGCAAAACAGTGCGATCATTCGAAGCGGTCGTTCAAGCAAATTATAAAGTACAGAATTACAAAATGCTTCGACGAAGGCATTGTAAGGCGATCTTTTTGTATCCACGGAATTATATCACGGAAGATACCGTATCGCGAAATGTTTGCTAAGAATAAGTGTTCGGTTTTCAATGCGTATAAATAGTTACCTCTTTTTATCGGTGAATGATGCAATGACTGTGCGCACACGTATCCAGCGATGGGATTGGTACCCGCAGCGCAACGCGGCGCGCGACGCACATGTTGAGTCATCCGGACCGAAGATAATGTAATTACATCGTTCGTGGATGCACCTATGTATGCGCACGTTTTCTTTAGACGCGCATTGTCTGCTTCTAAACGCTGTCGCGTCCTCGAGACTCGCGTTCGAACCGCTCGCGGTCGCGCTCCGTTCGCGGAAAGCGTGAAACAATATGTAACGACGATTTTAACGAAGGCAATTTATTAACATCGATTTTGCAATTTTGTCAAGTTGTAATCGCAGGAATTTCAATATTTCACTTCGATAAATTCGCATCGCGATAAATTACTTCGACCGCTAAATAATGAATCGTACCGAGCAACAATTTTGCAAACGGTTCGCGCTGTCGCTAGACCGCGGATTTTAATGGAAAATAAAAATTGTTTTAATCGGCAAAGAGTAGGGGAGCTTCGAAATTCGAAATTCGAATGGTTTCGCAGTTTTGTATTCGAGGTATGCGTCGTAAATGCATAAATCTTTGTCTATCGGCTGTCCATCGTGCTCGATACAGCAATTTTCTGGAAACGCGTTTGTTTACATAGCACACACGTGGAAAATGGTCGCGGTTCGTCTTGCAGATAATGATACAGCTAAACGACATATTGGGTTGCTGGATCGGTTCTGTCGCTTACGTTTCAACCGCAGTTTGATCTTGAACGCTTTTTCCTACGCGCGCGTTTTGCATCATTTTACAGTCACGCTTGCCTCCTTTCGGGCGCGCGTCGAATTTCTTAACACGCTTTTAATTCGACCTATTTTTCAACAAACGAAATAATTATTTTCGAGATGCCAACCAAGTGCTATTTGACATCTCGCATTTACGATACAGGATGCCACATTCGAGCGCGCGTGGTAGATAATGTCGCAAGTGTATCGACGAGCGATTTAAATCGTTCGACAAAAATTAGAATTTGAGAAAAGTTTCCTTCGTCGAGATCAACGCTTGCCATAAATACGCGAAGATCCGAGCGAAGCTACGAAAAGATCGTCGCGACAATTGCAAACTACGTACAATTCGATCGTTGAATTTGCAATTTAACCGGCAACATCTGCAACGCGTTCTTTGCGGATCGACCGGGCACAATATTTAATCGTTCGTTAATAAACCGCCGGAAACGATTACGTTTAAAGAACATGCTTTGTCCGTGGCCGGGCTTTGTCGAGCGTAAGCGTTCGGTGACAAGTGGCAAAATACACGACAAACACGCGCCAAGCGTAACACGTCACCGCGTGAAATCGTTTCGTTTCGGTTCGTTCGATTGATTTTCCGTATTTACGATATGGACCGAACGCGATGTAACCGCCTCGCCACGAGTGCGTGTCCCTCCGAACGATCCACTATTTGGCTTGGAAAACATAATGCGTGCACAGACCTTCGCGCTACGCTCGTTCTCTTTTCAATTGCGGTTATTTACGTTTGTGTGGAGCAAATGACACACGTACGCGCGTCACCGATCCGCGCTTACTCATCCGCGCGCGTTAAATTCGAAAGGTGTTTTCCGGCTTCCATTCGGACGACGCGACGACACGACACGACCGATGACAGTACCTTGTTCCGCGATCATCGGCGCGACGCGGAACGCTGAACGGTGTTTGCGGCACTCGTTCGTTACCTTCCGTGAAAAATTCGCTGTCGCGATACTTTCTTGTGCTTCCTAAAGCGGGACAATCGATCGCTTGTCGTATCATTCTCTTCGGAACAACGACGAATACAACCTTTTCGATCGTAATCGTTTCTTAGAATGGAAAGAATGCTCGCGCGTCGACGACGAAAGAACAGAATTTTAGTTTGGCTCGACAGCGAGCTTGCCACGGAGAGACGGAACGACCGATTTCGCATTTTTTATTTTAAAATTGCTGACTCACGAAGACATACTTTTTAACAGAAAGCAACTTGGGTTTTTCTTGCTCGAACAAGGAATATATTATAAAATGTGTATCGACACCCTTTTGTCCCGTCGGTCTACCCCTCGGTCCGCGCTTTCTCTACGACATAGTTTCGTTAGAAAATTGCTGACAAAATGAATTAAAATAAACCACGAGCGAGTCCTTCCGCTTAGAAAGTTTAATTAAATCGGCGTTTACGGTGCAGCGTAAGAGAGATAATAAATCACGCGCATCCCTTGCGACCAACTTGTTTCAATTATTCGCTCGGCGATCTGTCTCTCGCGCGTCTTGAAATAATAATACGCGCAACGTTGGCAATTATTTTTGGTAGATCGAGCATTTCCGTCCAGAGCTCGGAAATTCGTACGAAGTCGCTCGCATCCCTTTCGTTCGAATAGCCTGCGGGTCGACGCGTTCGAGCTTCGCGCATCTATAATTATGCATCGGGACTACGTCGACTGGCGTCGACGTTTGGACGTCAGAAATCGTGTCAAGGTCGAACGATCGAAAAGCGGTACGAACACTGGTTCGCGGATTTAGAAGCGTCGAAGAATCCGTTAAAAAAAGGACGCGATCGATCGCTCGGAACAATGTTTTTTGTTCTCGAGCCGGACCATTCCATGGTCCAGGAAGAACGAAACGCGTGGACACGCACCGTTCGTCGAAAGCGCGCCGTCCAAAAGCCGAAATTCGGCGTAAAAAGGCGAAAGGCGAGAGGCGAGGATGTCAGCCGTCACCCAGTGACCCTACCGTGTCTAGCGGTGCCAGGTACAGCTTATAGATTGGCTGGCGTGCCCCGTGCAGTTGCTGTACTTCGGGAACGTAGTTCCACCTGTGTGCCACGTTCGGTCGGTCTGCAGGGGTCTCGAGGGCTGTATCGAGGGAGTCGATCACGGTTAGCCGCGCACCGAAGTACTCCCGGGTCCGTTGGATATAGCGTCGAAAAATGGGAAAACCCTGGTCCTCGAGGATACCCGAAAACACTCGTCCGAGGAGATCGCACTCGGGTGTCGGTTGATAAGAGTCGGCCGTGTCGGTTCGTAGAGAGAAGAGTCGTCTCGCGAGTGGACGAGGCCGGGAAAACGAGCGAGAGAAGAGCACGGAGACGGGGAGGAAGGGAAACACCGTTCGAGGACGCGGAGGAACCGGTGTCGCGGAGGGGGATGTCTGAATGGGCGGTGTCTGCTCCTGTCGAGGACGCGACAGCCAGGTCAACGCCGGCTCGATCCTTGACCGTGTGATCAGCCAAGCGAGCAACGAAGACCAATGTCTGCTGTACCGGCTGGCCAATTACAAGAAGAGCGGCGAGCTGATCGAGTCGTACAATCTGGGCGGGCAGACCGAGGTCGAGAAGCTGATCAGGGATCAGTTCGGCGTGCTGATGTACGCCGACGGGAAGGGTCAGGCGATCAACCGCGCCGAGTACCTGCGCTGGAAATTTCGGGACATCGAGCAGGTCGTGCTGCCGATAGAGGCCTCCCTGTCGAGGTTCGACCCGCTGGCTCGATGGAACGATCACGAGGCGTGCTGGCAGATGCAGTACAGGGGCTCCCTCGGAGAGACTCTCCTGCACGTGCTGATCATATGCGACACGAGGACGCACACGCGGATCGCTCGGATCCTGCTCAAGTGCTTCCCGCAATTGGCGATCGACGTCGTCGAGGGCGAGGAATACCTCGGCGCCAGCGCCCTCCATCTCGCCATCGCGTACAACAACAACGAGCTCGTCCAGGACCTGGTCGAGGCCGGCGCGATCATCTCGCAGCGAGCCATCGGCAGCTTCTTCCTGCCCAGGGATCAGCAAAGAATGCGTCCCGCGAAGACCACCGATTACGAGGGACTGGCTTACTTGGGCGAGTACCCTCTCGCCTGGGCCGCCTGTTGCGCCAACGAGAGCGTTTATAACCTGCTGCTCGACTCCGGCGCCGATCCCGACGAGCAGGACTCGTTCGGCAACATGATCCTTCACATGGTGGTGGTTTGCGACAAGTTGGTACGTGATATATAATGTAACCGACGTCGCGAGCGTTTTCAACCCCTTTGTTCGAGCGCTCGAACCGAACTCTAATCTTTCAACGGTCGGTTCGACTCGTTGGCTCCGCGAATCGGCTGGAACGAGAAGCGCGCGCGGTTTCGCGATCGGGGACGTTTTTTCGTCGGATATCGAAACTGCCGCCTCGAAATCGGTGGATCGATTACAAAATCGTGGTTCTATTACGTAGGACATGTTTGGGTATGCGCTGCGTCATCCGAAGCTTCCCGCTCGCAATGGGATTGCGAATGCTGCCGGGCTGACCCCGTTGACGCTCGCTTGCCAGCTGGGCCGTGCAGAGGTCTTTCGGGAGATGTTGGAGCTGTCTGCACGGGAATTCTGGCGCTACAGTAATATCACCTGCTCGGCGTACCCCCTCAATGCACTCGACACGCTGTTACCCGACGGCAGAACAAGTACGTCGTAATGCTAATCGAATTACACGGTTTTGAGAATCGTCGGCTGGGATTCGTCGTTCGGGAGCATGCTGAAGTAGCCACTCACTTTGTGACGTGCCTTCGTATAATTGTCAGGACTCAAGGCCGAATCGTTCTTGAGTAGTTGCCGAGTGGTTTCGCCGATCCTATATATGTAATCGACCTCTTTTTCTTCGAATCTGCATCGATGCTTCTTTCGGTCCTCGTAGGAATTTTATGGATCTCGAATTAATATCTTCTCCCGCGAGATCTTCCGTTTAACGGTCGTCTCGTTGTCGGTCGGACCCAAGGTATAAACGTTGTTACTCGACTCTTTCCAGTTCTCTTTCGACAATTTATTAGATTTCCACGGGTCTCGTTAACCCCTTGCATCGCATTCGTCGTCGAAAAGGTCCAACGTTCGAGGGTTGATTCGTCGCGAGATAAAAATCGGTAAAATCAATCGATGGCGATTGCAAAAATACACGAGGATTTTGGCGGAGGGTAGGTTGGTCGCGCAGGTTGCGTTATCGAGCGAAAAGTTAATATCCCGTCGCCTAATTTCCATGAAATTCGTCTCCGATAGAGAGACGCGTCGCGCCAGCCAACCGCCTTTTCGCGATCTGCATATAAAGAGAGAGAAAGAGAGAGAGAGAGGAAGAGGAAGAGAGTTAGTCGGCTGTGGAGTCGGACTTTTGCCAAATTGTATCGAAGTTTCGGTTCTCGCCTGGATCGGGCGCGTCGCGCCGCAACGGTGTAAAGTGGGATGTATGTGTGGCGCCTATCGACGAGTTTTCTAGACGTTTCGGTGATTCATAGAATGCTGGATGCCTGGAAGATTGCGACGCAGGCGGCGATCGTCGACGAGCGGCGAGCGGCGTGCGGCGTGCGGCGTGCGGCGTGCGGCGAGCGGAGGAGGGTAGGAACGAAGACAAGGGAAAGCGGGTCGTTGCAGGATGCAATTACGGCCATTTAACGAAGTTTCGAGATTAGCCGCCGACGCGACGCGGAGTTGGGTGCTCGCGTTTCATTTAGTTTCGGAATCCATTATCCCTTCGCCCTCCTCTCCTCCGCGGCTCTCCACCCTCTTCGTCCTCTCCGACCTCTTGCTCCTCTCCCCGTGCTGCTCCTCTTCCGGCCCCTTGCTACTCGGGCATCTTTGCCGCGGCGTGAATGTCGTTCGATGGATTCAGCGGCGACGACGACGACGACGACGACGGCGACGGCGACGGGGCGAGACGATATGGCATGGAGCGGTAGCGCGAAGGGTAACTCCGCTGTTATACCGGTATATATCAGGGGTAGCGAACTTTCGGCTTACTCCTTCCTACGGGCACGCTTAATTACTCTAAGCTAAGGCCAGCCATCCGGGGTCCGTCAGTTAGTTGGCCAACGGAGTCGGTTCGCCAACGAGTAAGCCAGTCAGCCATTCGAGTCAAGATGCCGCCCTTCTTGCCAGCGTTTTCTCTTCTCTATCGTCTCCCTCTCTCTCGGTTTCCCTTATTTACTATCTCTCTCGTACCATTCTCTCTCCTCTATCGTCTCTTTCTCGCCCCCTTTCGTACCCTGTTCTTTTAAAGATCCTTTATCTTCTCCCGCTGCGATTCGAGAAAAAGGAGGCAACGAAAAAGCGCGAAACGCCGCGCCCCGGCCGAGGTAGATAGGGAAGTTTCTTAAAATTGTTCAACATCCTTAGCGCACCTCCGTCGCTTTTCCTCCGTTTCGTCCTTGCCTCTGACGCGTCTTTGGTCAGGACGAAATTATTCAGAGACCTTTCTCCCGGCTGCTTCGCCGTTGCCTTTCGCCCCTCGTTTCCTTTCAAAGAAACGACTATTCGCGGTACCATCGGAAACGAGATTTCTCAAAGAATTTTTAGGCGTCTTCCTAGCACGTGGCTTTGATTGCGAGACGATTCTTGAGACTTTTCAGCGTCGACGTTAAGATCGCGAGATTCGACGGTCTTCGAAATTAGGAGCGTACGGATTCGGACACGTTATTCCGAGATATCGATATTTAACGTCCCGGGAGCACGATTCGAAGGTATTGGACTGCGGAAGAAATCATTTTTGGGAACCGGAGGAAATACGAGGAAATACGTATTTCCGAAATCCGTCTCTCCAACTTTGCTGTAATCTCGTTGAAAGAATTTGGAAAATATCGCTCGAATGCTCGGAACTCTGGGCAAAAAAAATAACAGAAAAAAAGATGACCGATCGAACCGACGCGGCGAAGCAGCGCCGAAATCCGCCATAACGAAAGATAAAACGCCGGGAAGGTAATATTTTGGTGTTCGGTATTGTCGGTCGCGGAAGCGAAGAAAAAAGGGAAAAAAGGATGAAAGAGAAAAGAACAAAATGAAATGGAAGCTGCACTCTGTCCCGGCGCGGCGGGATTGATCAATGAAATTTCTGACGCCCCTTTGTGTCGGGACTCGGGAATCGCGACCGGGACCGGGACCCGACGAGAGTCTGTGACGCGTGTGCGCGTTTACGAGGGCAACGGTTTCTAATACAATCTGCCGGCACGTTACATCACCGGGCGATCGACTTTTGATATCCCCCGATCGAATTAAGCCGGGAAAGATGACTTAAATGGATTACCAGGTGAGGGGAGCGTATGGATGGCAGTCTCCGCTAAAACGTTAATAATTATCCGAGCACAGCACTTAGGGTTGATTATCAGCGATAACTGGCAGCGAGACGAGCAAAGGCGAGTCGTTACTCAATTATCGTTCGACGTTCGTTTTTGTGGGGCACGGGGGCCTTTCGCGTCGATCCGGAATCGCCGCGACGCGCCGCGACGCGCCGTGACGCGCCGCGATGGGAGAGTTTGCGGAATCGTCGGGGAAAACTTCTCGACGCGGTCTCCGCTCGGTCTCCGGACTCCCGGACTCCGGAGTTGGATATAATTACGAGTTACGGTAACGACTATGTATTAGTAAGTTGGTCGTGTGTGCAAAGTTCGGACTTCTCGCTGACCGTCCAGAAGAATATCTGCTTTATTTATCGAGCGAATGTCTCCGCGCCGGGCGTCCGAAACTTCTAACTACAGTTTGCTCGAATAAAAAGCGCCAAATTCCGCGCAGACCGCCGGAAAGTTCCGAGGATAGTTTCGGTATAGCGAGTAGCGTGAAATTCGTCGAGTCTATACGGAGGCTCTAGAAAGTGCTCGAGCGCGCCGAATTTCTGACAAATTGTCGATAAAGCTGAAACAACGCTGCTCGCGTTTGGCACGGGCCATCGATCGATATCCGGTCGATACGAGTCGATCTTTGCCAGATGTATTAACCTGTACGGATCGTCGGGATGCGGTTTTCTTTGAAACGCCGACTTCGATCTTTCCGTTTGTACGATACTCGAGCAGTCGTCGAGCGGTCCTCGAGCCGGTTGCAGGAAGAAAAGCCGCGGATCGCAAAAATATTAGTTCTCGCTGCAATTGGAAGATTAATTCTAGCAACTCATTCTCGAATTGAAAACACGCGAGCAACTACGAAGATAAGGAGACGACGCCGACGGAGGGTTCTCACGGGAGAACGAACGAACCGGAGCCGATTATTCGAGCGACATTCGACGCGCGAGCCGGCATAGTTGCCTGTTCTACGAATTGAAGAGTAGAAGCGAATCCCTGTCGTTTCGTAAATAACGATCGCGGGACAAATCTTGCTCCGAGGCAGGAGGTTTCGACAAAATTCTGGCAACGCGAAGGGGGCATTCTTGCGCGAGCCGTAGATATAATTTACTTCGACTACTGGCGCAGTTAACTGTGTATATCAAGGAAACGTAGACCGCGCGGAACGTTGCCATATTTTATGCCGCATTTACGAAGCCGCGCTTCGCGAATCTGCTTAACAAAATCATGGTCGTTCCGCGGTCGCGGTTAACTCGAAAATTAATGGTGGAAATGTACGGAGAACATCGATGCGAACGAAACTGCGAGGTTCGCCGAAGATGCCGCGCTTCTCGAGATTTCTGTCGGACGTATTTTGCAAAAATTGCCAACATCGACGTTTGGAAGGACGAAGACATTTTTAACACGCTTATGTTTTCTTCGTAATCGTAAACGGTCGTTACGACTCGGCTTCAACGGTAGAGAGCAAGCAAACAAAATACAGCATTACTCGGTGCTACGCGATACGTATGTTTTCTCGATTGGCAACAACAAATAATGCGTTCGAACGCGGGCAAGTGTTTTTTATTCTCTGTTCAAATCGATTTTTGATTCGCTTCGAGTTTACGCGTTTATGACAACAACAACGAGGACGCCGTTGCGCCACTTTCGGTATAACGCTAAAATCGTGAAATGCAGCTGCTTCGGAAACCGTGTCTCTCGCGTAAAGATCCGTCTGGCAACGGTACTCGAGACTCCGCGAAGCATCGAACAGCCATTAGACAATTACGTATGCGCTGCTCGCGAGGCACTAAGCAGCTTATCGATTAGGCGCAATAATTGCCGCGGAACTATCGGCGATTCGGCGATTCGACGATTCGAGTCACGGTCGGATGCTCCGGTCATCGGTAGGATCGTTCCAGAAGACAGAATCGAATGGTAGTTTGGATGGCTCGACGCGAGGTGGGGCGGCTGATAGTCGTTGCAATTTTGCTTGCACATCTGAAATTCAATTTCCTCGGGCAAAAGCTGTCGGGAAAGTTCTCATCGATGCCAGCGCAGTCCGGACACCGGAGAGGAGAGAAAGAGAAAGAGGGAGAGAGAGAGAGAGCGAGAGAGAGAGAGAGGGAGGGAGGGAGGGAGAGGATAGAGAGCATCGACAACAGACGCATAAGTCGAACAGCGTTAAAATGTTTCCCAGAAAATATCGAATAGGACCGAAAACTTCCGTGACGCCTTAAGTCACCGTGAAAGCAGCTTTGCTTCGGTCGTTGAGTGATTAAAGAGTCTGGGAGCATGATCGACTGGGACCATCGTCTTAGTATTTGACGCGTCGCGAGTCGCGTCGCTTCGGGCGTTCCACGGCGTTCCACGGCGTTCCACGGCGTTCCACGTCGTTCCAACGTTCCGGCCGTTCCGGCGTTCCGGCGTTCCAGCGACTTTAGGACCGATCGATGCGCATCAACCGAGTTTTCGAAAGTCCGAAACGAAACCTTAATATTTCACCGGGAAGTTGGCCGAACAAACTTCGACAATCAATACGTATGACACGGACGCAAATTCGCCGATGGTCGTGCAATATTTGTCAGCCGTCTGCGTCTTCGGCGACGTTGACATTCGTTCTACTAACTATTTCTGGAACGAAGTTCGAGCGGATCCTTGCTAATCCGTCGATAAATAAAGGATTCGGTAACCAATCGGTGCATAGAAAATCTTTATTGTCGAAACCTTCGCTCGATAAACCAATCGCTTTACAACTAACTTTAGAATGAATTAATTATAGCCGCATGCTCTGGAACGGATATCGATTCGTTTCCGAAGATACCGAATGCGCAACCAATATGGAAATATTGATGGAACGGTCGAATAACGTTCGAATACATAATCCTTGGAGCGTCGAACAACGATATATCCTTGTTTCTTGACGCAATTTTAATATAACCAAAGGGCGCTAAATGGGTCAAGGTATTCGTTCTAATCGCGTTGGTTTCTCTTTAAACAACAGCGACGCAACGGTAATTATATTCTGGGTCCGAGTAGACCCGAGCCACGAATCGCTAATTAAATACAAGTTGTCACGAATCGCTAGGTATTGGCTATGCGTCGGACACGCACGATTCCGCAGGTGGCAAGCAGCAGGCTGCAGGTTGCAAACTGCAGGCTGCAGGCTCGGGGAGTTCGACTCGCGAAAATTGCGTTCCATCGCGCGTCCTGAAGTTCAGCGCGACGCTCGAAGTTCATCCCGTTTTACATTAGTCATACTTTCGAAAAGCATTTAGCGCTCGCATTTATGGGTCCGGCGAAATTCAAACGCTGCATCGAACTAACATTAGCTGACTTTGGTGGGACGTGGCGGCGGCGGCAAGTTTGGCAACTAGATTAACGATTCCCCGGAATTCTTCGGGCGCGGAAGTAGCGCAAAGTTTTATCTTCGCATGCAAGAAAGTTTAGGGTCGCACGTGGCCTGGCGACGGAAAAAGCCGCTCCGTCCGCGCCGGCGTCGGCGTCGGCGTCGGCTTCGGCGTCGGCTTCGGCGTCGGCTTCGGCGTCGCCGACGGAAACTGGCGCATCTAATGTATATACCTCGCTAATGCAAAACCCATAATTATCGCGCCGGGTAGAACCCTAAAGTGATGTTCCATTAACCGTAAATGGTCCTCTCCGAATTTCTATTTCAGACTGGAACTCCGCGCTATTTATCATTCTCAACGGTACGAAGGAGGAGCACTTGAACATGCTGGACGGTGGTATTATTCAGCGATTACTTGAGGAAAAATGGAAGACCTTCGCGCGGGTAAGTGCGTCCACGTGACAGTATTCTCGTTCGTTCCCTCCGCGGCATTTTTCACAGCTTTAGCCGGATCGCGCGACTCCTCTGCCGTCTTCGACACGCGGGAGGGGCCCCGCCGCGACATTTGCAAATTCAACTTTCGAATCGCATTCGTTGCTATTCGCGAAACAACGATTCGCTTCCTCGCCCAATCGTTTCGCTGCGCGTCCTCTCGTCACGATTTTTGCACGACCTACGCACGCGATACGTGTTTTTAATCCCTAGATGAAAGATCCTCTCCTGTTGATAATAATATTTCGTTGCAACAAGCGTACGAGCGTAATATTATTTTAACCGTAACACGTGTTATTTTATTTCACAATTATTCGAAAGAATTATTTTATATAACACGTTATTTTGCCGTAGAATTATTTGCAATAATTACGTAAGATAATTGTGGAACTCTTCCTGGCAATTACATGGATTATCAACTCCGAGCCTGGTTTATAGGCGAGATGAAAGGACCGACTTGATCATGCGCAATAATTTTCCGATAATGTAAAACATTCGTCCGGTAACACCCTCTCTTCCATCTTCCGCACCAGTGGATCGATGATTTTCTTTCGCGACAATGCCGGCTGTACGATCTTTCTGTAAAGATTTCTTCTCGCGTATTATCTTCGAGATAATTACCGAAGAGGGTTCCAATTGCTAATCCTCGATAATATCCATCCGTTCCGTGTGTTTCTTCTATTGTCCGTCGACTACATTGTCCGTCGTTTACAGCGAAACCCCGAACGATCGAATTTTCTCGACGCTTTTTTAAGAAACGAGCCACGGCGAAACGCGTTTCAATATTTCGTTATCGGATGCAGTTTTTTTTCCCCGTGGAACGTTCAAATGTTTAAAAAACATCGTTACACTCGCATCGAGTATCCAATTCCCAGAATAATGGTACGCGTTCGAAGCGCGATTTTCGTCGTACAATTTCCGACGATCGTTTTAGCGTTTCGCGCGTAATCGATGCTTTCGAATCGATGATTCGTCGAGCTGGTTTTGTCGCGACCGAAGACAGAGTTCTTCTTGGTCGATTGTTAATTTGCATACCGGTGCGGTGCACGACTGTAGTTCACGTACAGACAGATGGTGGTAACTGCGCGTTAATGGCCGGCATGTTAACGAACTCAACCCCTTGGATTTGCGGGACATAGTTCTCGGCATAACTGCGTGCTCCCTTAATTCGCAATTACCGAGTCCGCCAAGGTATTATCAATTTTATTCCGAGCCGCTGCCTTGATCGCTAAACGATCGAGGCTCTCCGAAATCAACGGAAAATACGCGTTTAGACGCCGCGGTATGTCGGAACTTGCAACCGGTTCGTTCAACTTTACGGTCCTCTGATATTTGCTCGAAAATTAGTTATCGTTGTTCAAATTCGAATCAAATTTATTGTGCTCCGCATTTTTTACGGCGGGTTTCTCCAGCGTTTTTCAGAAACATATTTTTTTACACACGTTGGACGAATCGAACTGTTAGCTGTTCGCGGCAAATCTAGCGAAGAAAGCAACGTTGATTCTACGGAAATATCTGTGAAGAATATTTCGAAAAAGTGACTAGAAACTTTTGCATCTCGAGTTCGCATGGGAATTTCAATTTTTCCGACAGCTGCCGCGAAAATATTTAGAAAGGGACATCGTAGTCGATGCATAGTCGGCGAGGCACGATTACCGTTCCCCGTCACTTTACGCGCACAACATTGGGATAAAGACCGCGGCTTCTTTTGCCACAAAGAGTCTATTGTGAACACGGCATATGCTTTTCATAATTCCATCGTGCGTTCCTATTGTCTGCCGACGTTCAATTTACCCGGTCTGTCCATCTTCCGATTAAGCCAGTTAGCGGAGGTCTAACTGTATTTAAATTTCGTTTCATACTTCGCGTCGCGTGCGACGGAAAATATTCTCTGGAAAACGAAACGCTCGCTCGATAGAAGTCACGCTCGCCGAGGAAGAATCGCGTCCCAGTCTTTTCCCGCCAAAGGCGATCCCGATCTTTCGGAGGATCAGCGATCGGAGAGTTTCGCTCGCGACCCTTCGAGCGTTGCTTCGCGGTGATCTCGATCCGCGAAGCAAAGTCGCGTCGCGATCGCTAATTCGGGGACAGCCGCTCCACCGAATGTTTTTATCGTGTCCGTAGCGAGTCCGAAATCCGGTTCGCGATCCGCTCGCGCGATACGAATTGGCAGATGTCAGCCGTCCTCGTTCGAGCACGACCTCGCCCGCCAATGAATAAGAAGAGCGGACGAAAATTTGTCGTGGCCAGTGCCGATCGGGGGCGCGTGCATTTCAAATTATTCCGATGATTATTGCGCGACGTCGAGTGGACGTGGAGTGACTACGAGCGATTGTCATCGCGCGCTACACGCTCGAGGCTCGAGGCTCGAAGTTCCGGGCTCGAACGCCGATGCCAGCGGTCTCGACCGACGTCGAATAAACCTGCAATTTATTTCGGGTTCGTTCCGCGGCAATCGACGATGACACGCTGCTATCGGTAATCTATGAACGATCTCAGAACGATGGTCGTCGACGGAGCCTGCATCGAATGCACCCAGTGCGCTTTTATGCCATTCGCCGACAGGATAACGCGTTGGATTTAAGTAAACAACGATCGGACTCGCTTTCCGCGGACTATTTTTCTCCGATATTAAACAGTTTGCGAGATCACCGATTCTCGGAGATCGCTATAGCTGCGGAGCTTCGAAATCGAATTTAGTTTCCGCGAATTAAAGGTTATCGTTGCGTTCGGATCTAGGCCGTTAGCGACACGGATCGCTGATGTCATAGATTTTATTTACGTATAATTACAGTCCTTGCATAACTAAACGTCATCGTAATTGCTACAAGGTGCAGATCAAATGCAGGGAATGATCGATAGGCGACAGGCTTCGCTGCAACATTTTTATAAAACATTTTCCTACGTCGGTTGCGAGACGAGAATACACCGTGCCGACGTTCCTAAATTCCTTTGTAAACGCATCGAATCTGCAGTGTGCATTTTAGTTTTTAAATAAGATTTAGAAGCACGATTATCGATACTATTTCGGAGAACGAATTTTTCCCGCAACTAAACAATTTTCGTCCGGATGTTGGCAAGCGTGTAATAGCACGGTAAATTGGACATTCTCTGTGTGTGTGTGTGAGAGTGTGTGTGTGTGTGGGGGTATTCAAGTAAACCGAGGACATTATGACAGGCTAGTATCCGTGACATATACCATTCATAATATTAATCACGGCCACGTTGAAACCGCATATAAGCGTCAAATGACCAATTACAGTGTGATATTGTACACTGAGATTAGTTCGGTTTTCGTATAACTAATCACGGCATCGATTAGATCGAACCGCATCATTAAAACAATTCGATTTAAAGCGGAAACAGGATTATATCAAACTCGTATCGTTCTCCTCTCTTTCTGTACTAAATCGACGAAACATTTTGTCATGCGTTATTTTCAATTATATACAGCTTCGTTGCAGAATTTGATCGTTTCGTTGATTTTTCGATGAAAATTCCCAAGCTTTGCATACGTGTAATATTATTTTCGATACGGCTAGTTGCTCGATCTATTCGCAGCAAGCGCTATGTAACTCTATTACGATGGTTCCCCGGTTTTATACGCCTCCGACGAACGCGAAGCGCCTCAACGCGCTCAAATGTCTATTCCATATTTAATTACGACTCGAAAGTTTTACGGTCTAACCCCGACTCCCTAATGACCTGGAAGTTGGTGCTTCGCAACGAGATCTTCGAAGCTCGATCTTTCGAACGCCCTAAAATTGTGATTAATATTTTCCACAATCGATTATACTCGTGGACTCGATTCGTTGCCCTCGTTCGTAGATTCGCGACCGAATCTCGTCCAATCGTGGTCAGCCGAACCAAAGTCCTCGCGGGATTTTCGTTGCCCGTCGGGCGAAAAATTCGCGAAAGATTTTCTCTCGCGAGCGCAATCGGATTTACGGAAGAATTACGGTTGCGAGATGTATCCACAGGCTATAGGTCGGTAGAGATAGTTACGTATGCGAGAGCGCGTAGCACAATAGCAACCGTTTTGTCGCGCAGGAATCAGACTTCATCCTCGCGGAGAACAAAGAAACCGGGATTAAAATTAAAAAATCCTCGCGTACGAAACATAAGATTCCGCGAATATCGCGGCTTCGATGCCGTCCTCGATTTCCAAATCGAAATTAAGTCGGAGCAGAAGAGCAGAATTTTTCATTTGCAATTGAAATTTTCTTTCCTACGTTCGGCGTACAAACGCTGCGAAAAAGACCCGCCGACTTTCGAATTTCTCCCGCAGTTTCTGGGAAAACGATCGACGCATCCGCGACTTTGCAGATTTCTTAACAACGAGTAGAATAACGTTCGAAGAAACGCGCGATGATGGAAACTTGTCGAGAAAATGGAAGAGAGAGAACGGAGAATAGCGGCGATGTAGGTACGGAAAAAGAAACGCTTTTTGGAACGGACACAGATTCTATTCTGCAAAGTTGTGTCTCTTATTTAATAGCAAAACGAGGATTTCTTGTTAAAGTTTTTGTTTTCCAGTTTCTAGACTCGCGGCTTACGTAAACGAACGGGTGACGCATTTCCTGCATCGTTATCGAATATTCCGAATAACCCGGAACTTTTCTGACTCATCGCGAACTAATTATAGGAAAGGTACATTCGTGCAGTTACTCGCAAAATTGAGCGCACGACCTTTATAACCGCGATAACCTTTTTAAAATTGGACCAAGCGACATGAATTTTTTTTCAGATTTTTTCAGATGGCGGGACTGGTCTACCGGACGATGATCAGAATCTCTTTTTTTTTAATTCTCCTATTACTTGGAATGACAAAGAGTATAAAAAACTCCCGTTTTTTAACTTTTTTATGGAAATCTGCAGTTTTAAAAATTTTTCAACGTCTATAGCTCGACTCCGGGTTAACCGATTTCGATCAAATTTTCAGCACACGAAAAGTTAAAAAACGAGAGTTTTAGTCATCGTCTGGTAGACCAGTCTCTCCGTCATCTAAAAAAAAAATTCGAGTCACTTGGTCCGGTCTTGAAAAAGTTATCGCGTTTTAAAAGGTGTACGCTCAATTTTGCGAGTAATCGTACACGCGCGCGTGCGATGTAAAAGCCATGCATGAAATATAGTCGAGACATCTCTCGAAATGATGTTGCATAGTATGGTATCGCCGTTATTCGCAAACGGTACGAAGGTCGTTCGATTAACACCGGTCCGCTTTCCGTAAAAGTTGCAGTTTCTGAAGAGACTGATCATCCTAATGTTCCACCTGGTCTCATTGTCGCTGGCGGTGTACACGAGGCCCAACAATATGGCCACCATTGTCCTGAAATGGCCGGAAGAAATAACGGAGGCTGTTCGTACAATATCGGAGTGCATCACCATCGTAGGCGTGCTGGGCTACATTCTGGTGCAACTCGGCGGCGAGATCATCAACATCGGCCTGCTGTCGTTTCTGAAACAGTTGGTATGTCCCGATCCTGTTTCCTCCCGCGGATCCATTCGTGAAAGTTGCGATCGCGAAATCCGCGTCGCGACCTGTCGTCTCGTTGCCTCGCGGCGAGGCGCGGCGAGGCGCGGCGAGCCGCTCGATCTTCGACCACGGCCAGGGGAGTGCATAATGCCTAACAGCGGCGCGAGACGTTGAGCAAACTATTAGCAGAGTAACCGTACCGAAAGATCGCGAGTTGAAACGGAGGAGCACCGGTATAGTTGTCTGCGTCGAAATAACGTGCTCTTAATGAGCCGCTGCGCGCCGAGAGACAGGAGCTGTCTGGACAACGTTATTAGCCGTAGACGCGAATTCCGTTGCGTCGATCGCGGTTTCAACGCGTTTCGAACCGTCTACGATCGAATACCAGCGGCTACTTTTCAAAGATAACGCTTCAAATTAAACGATTAGACGCATCTTTACAATTTCGAGAATCGTAATATACAAAATTTTGATCGCGACAGGTCGAAAGACGGATGCCTTTTTCCGTGTTACCGAAGCACGATAAAAACCAGTAACTTTAACCCGTTTGGAATAAACGCAAGATTACCGCTCGTCCGCTTTTATACGGGCGTATCAGCGTTAATACTTTATACCGAGCGTATTAATATTCTATTCCGGGGAATTCATTATTCGGTCGGTGCGCGTCGAACACTTGTTCCGTCGACTTTTCGATGCAACTGAAACATAAAAGTGAAGCTGTCCGACGCGAAACTTCGATAATAACGAGCTTTGTTTTAAATGCGTGCAATTATGTCGTACAAAGAGTCTATTACGAGTGAAATTGGACCGAACAAACTTCCGTACGAACGCGACAAACGTTTATGATCGGTCGGTTCGATTAGGTGGTTTTTTAATATCGCCACCCGTTTCAATGTACGTTTTGATTCCTTTCTCTCGATTTCGTAAGCAATTGGACGATTAATCGAAATTTCTCGTGCTTCCCAGAGCCACGAGCCAGCCAAGCTGATATTCGTGATCAGCAACCTGCTGATACTCTCGTGCATTCCGTGCCGTCTTGCCGGCAACAGAGACCTAGAAGATGCGATACTCGTAGTCGCTGTCCCCTGTTCATGGTTCCTCCTCATGTTTTTTGCCGGGTAAGAAACATTTTTTAATCGTTTTATTTTCGTATACGCGAACACAAATATCGACTTGCTACTTGCATCGAAAAATCGTGAAGAGGCAAAAGAGTCCAAAGTCTAGAGACATTGAATCGTACACGACTCTTCTTGAAATGTAACAAAAGAACTTGCTGTTCGAGATTGGTAAGAAACGGTCGTTAGAACTCGTTCGATACGGTACATTTAACGTACGAAGAATAAGCGATCGAAACTGCAGCACTCGTTCCCGAAGCATAACGCGTAGCAATGAGATCGCGGAGACCAGATATCGAAAGAGTTTTATGAAACTTTGTAACAAGTTCCTATTTAAAACGTGGACCGCGTGGTGCTTCTGTGAAAGGATGTTCTCACGTTGTAAGTTCCGACGAGAACGGATCAAGAAAGTTGATAGACCAGTTCTAGAAAGGAAAAGTTTCAGCTCGAGCGATAGTTCGAGCAACAGAAACACGCGTGCATCGTTGCAAAATTTACCGCAGGCGATATTGGTTCGACTCTTCGATGCTCTAAAAATCCTAGAAACACCTTCGGTGCGTTGAAAATATTGGAATAAAGATAGATCTCGAAATCTAGATAAAAAATTAGAGTCATCGGATATACGCGACGGGGCACTCGTTGCGTCGAAATCGATGACAAGAGTGCAGTAATGTCTCTCCAATCGACGTTCAGATTGTCCACAAAAATGGACAATTTTGGAAGAGGAAATTGATCGAGTCTTGTGACTCGTTTCTTATGGTTATCGATCGTCAACAACTATAAAAACGAGCTGCAAGGCTCGAACGATCGTATCTCCTCTTTCCAAATTGTCCATTTTTCTGTGCACAATCTGAGCGTCGATTAGGGAGGCATTACCGTATACTGTTCGCGTTTAACAGGTTGCTATTCGAAATCTCGATTACGAGCGAGAAATACAAGGGATCAGGGTGAAAGCGAGTCTTACGTTTCGAGGAAATAATTCCGTCGGCNTTTCGAGAATCGTAATATACAAAATTTTGATCGCGACAGGTCGAAAGACGGATGCCTTTTTCCGTGTTACCGAAGCACGATAAAAACCAGTAACTTTAACCCGTTTGGAATAAACGCAAGATTACCGCTCGTCCGCTTTTATACGGGCGTATCAGCGTTAATACTTTATACCGAGCGTATTAATATTCTATTCCGGGGAATTCATTATTCGGTCGGTGCGCGTCGAACACTTGTTCCGTCGACTTTTCGATGCAACTGAAACATAAAAGTGAAGCTGTCCGACGCGAAACTTCGATAATAACGAGCTTTGTTTTAAATGCGTGCAATTATGTCGTACAAAGAGTCTATTACGAGTGAAATTGGACCGAACAAACTTCCGTACGAACGCGACAAACGTTTATGATCGGTCGGTTCGATTAGGTGGTTTTTTAATATCGCCACCCGTTTCAATGTACGTTTTGATTCCTTTCTCTCGATTTCGTAAGCAATTGGACGATTAATCGAAATTTCTCGTGCTTCCCAGAGCCACGAGCCAGCCAAGCTGATATTCGTGATCAGCAACCTGCTGATACTCTCGTGCATTCCGTGCCGTCTTGCCGGCAACAGAGACCTAGAAGATGCGATACTCGTAGTCGCTGTCCCCTGTTCATGGTTCCTCCTCATGTTTTTTGCCGGGTAAGAAACATTTTTTAATCGTTTTATTTTCGTATACGCGAACACAAATATCGACTTGCTACTTGCATCGAAAAATCGTGAAGAGGCAAAAGAGTCCAAAGTCTAGAGACATTGAATCGTACACGACTCTTCTTGAAATGTAACAAAAGAACTTGCTGTTCGAGATTGGTAAGAAACGGTCGTTAGAACTCGTTCGATACGGTACATTTAACGTACGAAGAATAAGCGATCGAAACTGCAGCACTCGTTCCCGAAGCATAACGCGTAGCAATGAGATCGCGGAGACCAGATATCGAAAGAGTTTTATGAAACTTTGTAACAAGTTCCTATTTAAAACGTGGACCGCGTGGTGCTTCTGTGAAAGGATGTTCTCACGTTGTAAGTTCCGACGAGAACGGATCAAGAAAGTTGATAGACCAGTTCTAGAAAGGAAAAGTTTCAGCTCGAGCGATAGTTCGAGCAACAGAAACACGCGTGCATCGTTGCAAAATTTACCGCAGGCGATATTGGTTCGACTCTTCGATGCTCTAAAAATCCTAGAAACACCTTCGGTGCGTTGAAAATATTGGAATAAAGATAGATCTCGAAATCTAGATAAAAAATTAGAGTCATCGGATATACGCGACGGGGCACTCGTTGCGTCGAAATCGATGACAAGAGTGCAGTAATGTCTCTCCAATCGACGTTCAGATTGTCCACAAAAATGGACAATTTTGGAAGAGGAAATTGATCGAGTCTTGTGACTCGTTTCTTATGGTTATCGATCGTCAACAACTATAAAAACGAGCTGCAAGGCTCGAACGATCGTATCTCCTCTTTCCAAATTGTCCATTTTTCTGTGCACAATCTGAGCGTCGATTAGGGAGGCATTACCGTATACTGTTCGCGTTTAACAGGTTGCTATTCGAAATCTCGATTACGAGCGAGAAATACAAGGGATCAGGGTGAAAGCGAGTCTTACGTTTCGAGGAAATAATTCCGTCGGCGGTCGGAGCGTTAAAAAGTGCAAGTGCGAATGCAACGGCCAAAGGTGAAGCAAACGCGGTGCAACGTCGAAGCAGGTTGCGTGCGTCGAAGAGGTTCTCTCCACGTTCCACGTTCTACGCTCTCTGCACCGTACAGCTTATCCGGGGCAGGTGATTTGCATTGTTTATGTTAATGAAAGGCGAGCTGGAAATTCCGTATCCTATAATTTCCGCGGCACATTCGAAATGCGGCGTCGGCGGCGGCGAACGGAGCAACAAGAAGAGAAAGACATTTATAATCGAGCCGGGAGATAGAACCCCCAGATTTCAAACCTCTTTTTACGTGATTTACGCCGAGATAATGCCGGCTATTTCGCATTATCATGTACGCCTCTCTTGGCAATCGTTTTTCTCGGCGCCGTGCCGCTTCCGCGCCCGCGCCCCCGACCCCGCTCGCGACCGCGTCCTTTTCACAGCCACTTTTCTGCAGGTATTACTGCAGAACTTTCGGTTCCTCTCGCCTCCCTTTCCGCGCGACGACTTCTTCTCGGCGGCGTTTCCCACAATTTTAAGGCAACGCGACCAACCGCTTTTTCACTTGCCCCTTAACGTCGCGTCGCTTCGAGGAACATTTTGTTTCGAGAGCTCGAACGAGGAGACGGCGAGCGAGCGTGTCGTCGGTATTCCCGAATCTCTTCGTTTCGGGCGCGGAATGAATTCCCGCGTTTACCGGTTCTTCATTTCGTAATTGAATTTAGTCGGTTATTCCGGAATACCGTGTTCTCTTTTAGTGTCGCGACTTTTATCGCCGCTCGAAATTGAAAGCGTTCGTTTCGGTACTCGGGAATCCGCGTAACCTTTCTCGTTAATTAATGTGTCAACCGCGCGGTTTCCGTTCCCGATAACGGCCGGTGTTGAATTAACTTGCAAATATATTTATTCGAGCAAATCCCGCGGACCCGCGTCGACGAGATCTAACGCGTGGGCAGCGGTTGACGCGTTCGCAAAAATTCAACGAGCGTCGGAATTCGTCGATAGCACTTCAACTAGAAAAGAAGCCTTTAGCCTTTGCATTCGCAGAATTTTATCGGATCGCCGAAAACTCCGATGTATTCGTTCGTCGAGTAGCAAACGACGCTTCCAAGAAAGTATAAAATAAATGTAAATAATTTTCTCTGATAAAAATATCTGACAAAAGATCGCATCGATACAGATTCCGTCAAATAAGTTAATTTACAATTTCCAAACTCGGAATATAACCGAAGTTAATTATGTATCGTTACGCGAGGTTAAATTTGCTTTAATCGGCTCTCAACGAACTTTGAATTCGATTTAACAAAGAATTTAATATTTGTCAAGGTATTCGACCGGAATTTTCTTTAAATTTCTCTTATCAACCTCGGTAATTTTAAATTAATCGATAACCGAAAGATAATTTACGATATAAATTTATTCGATATCGACGGATTATTAATCGTTTAGTCGATCATTTTCCGATCGAAGAATTGAATTTTTGAATCGAATTATCGTTCGTACACGTTGAATTTATGGTCTCGAATATAAAAGGAAACGCGAGTCGTCGGAAATGTATTTTCTTTAGCGGGGTAGCGTAACGTAAAAGCGTTTACATTCCTCCGGGTAATTACTGTCCATCAAGACACACCCTTTTGTCTACCGGTTCTCGCTTAAGTATGCGTATAGGGTCGTAATTCCTCAAAGGCTTTCGAACACTCGGTACCAGATTTCTTGCCCGCCGCACCGCGCCGCGCCGTCGCCGCGCCGCCGCCGTTCGCTTGGCAATAAGCCATCGTCGAGGCTGAAATTAATTTCTCACAAAATTTAATCGAAGATCGATACCGGCGTTTTCAAACGCCCAGCTCCGCGCAAATTCTACGTTCGATTTATTCTACGTTAACGCTTCTCCAAATTCACACTCGCTACACTATTCCGTAATTATCGTTGCGCACGCTTCGAATATAACGACTTTATATTATTCCAATTTTCGACGATATCTACGAATCCGGCATTTCGCACGCAAAGGTTCGATACACGGATTATCGAATTACTGCCAGAGATACGAGCGTACGCGTACGATCGATTTCCTGTCCGCGCACTTTTATCGATTCTTCTTCTCGAGCCGTCGATCGCGATGCTTATCGAAGGAAGAACGACGACTGTAATCGCTCGGTCAACCTAATTAACTTCTAAATACGAATCCGTCGGGAAAGAATAAATACACGATCGAAGTAATTTCAACTTGTGTTTGAATTCAAACTACAAAGTAGAATGTAAATCGAGTTGATATACGCGCAGGGAAATTCAATTAATGGAACAAACTTTAAATTCGTTTATGCACAATATCTACCTTCGGACTATCATGTTCCATAACTTTTATAACTGCGACAAATTTATTTAACTTCGTGGCTCTAATTAATTTGTCAAGCTTCGCGTCTCGACGACAAATCTTTTAATCGAACGGTTCGTTGCTATTCATCTCTTCGACGTATTAATCTAATGCGAATTAAAATTATAGGAAATACATGAACTTTCTGTGGTTTTCTGCAAAAAATATCTTGGAAATTGGGAAGAAACGTCGACGAACGATTCTTCGTATCGTATAAGAATATCGCAAAAATTCTACGGTCGTTCGGCGAGCATTCGACGCTCGATAAGATAAAAACATCGTTTATGCAATTCCAACCGAAGATGCACGAAGCGAACGTAATCGTGGTTCATCCATCCTCGGGATGCTAACCCGCATAGTTCGGATTCGCAAGCCTAACGAGACATAATCTTTAGAGAGTGCCGAGTCTGGTATGAACCGAATGTCTACTATTCGGCAAGCTAATTCAGATTTGTAAACTATATCTGGCCCGACATCAACTTCGTCCGGTAATTGGTAAAGCTACCGTACGTGTGCGCCGTTTCTCGGGGCTCGTTCCAAGGGAGGCAAATTCTAAATGCGATCGCTATAACTATGCGGCGATTTCGACGTGTACCAATATCGCTCAATTTACAGCCTGTCAAATACAATTAAATCGGAAATTCGTTCAAACTCTCGGTGTATATCGGTATTAATGCAAAATTGAATCGATCGTTGGCGCCTTTGCGTTCGTGTCAATTCACCGCATACGTGTACCCGTTAATTCGTGTCTTCCGCTTCCAATGACTTTTCATCGACGCGACGAGAAGATCGACGGAAATGTCAATTATAATGATAATTCTTTATTCTCGGCCTTGCGACCAAAATAAGGAACTTGCTTTTACGAATGCAACTTCGACGCATTCGTTGATTTCATTCGCGCGGTCGAACCCTATCCGTCGAAAGGGTTAAACCGTAAACTGGAATTAACGGCAGAACATTTGCATCCGGTTGCCAACGGAGTTTACGCACGAGCGACGAACATGAAAATGTTGCGTTTGAAATCAAATATGTTATGCACGAAATAAACATTGTTACAGCGGACTGGCATACATAGACTACAGCGTACGCAACGCACGTACCGGACGCTACGAACCATGCTGCAGACCAGTCTGACAGCGACTGATTTCCTCTCTACGGAGATATTCTCCCTGCTTTCCTAGGTGAAGCGCTCTTACAAAGGAAACGATCTCCGTGTTTACATCTCTCGCCGCAATTCTAACGTACTTTTCCAGCGCAGCGTCGATGTCGCGGAGCTCTTTTCCCGACGGTCTCCGAAGGAAGAAGGTCGCTCCGTCGCGCGGCGCGCGGTTCGACTTTTCCGCGGATCCATGGTTCCCAGAGCAAATAAACAAATGGTCCGCCAAAGCCAAAATCGATGCGCCGAAGAGAGACGACTCTCTTTAAACGTTTTCCAAATGTTTATTATTTCGCAAAAAGTGTACCGTCCTCTTCGGAAGAGTCCGTTCGCACGGTTTTTCTTTCGAGTTCGATCGGCTTCTTCTCTCTCCTTACGTTTTCTTTTTAAATCGAACCGAAAGACTCGGGATCGGGACGGCGACGAAAAAACAATTCCATCCGAAATGACCGAGGGTTGGCGATAACGCGAATCTCCTCCCGTTCGCGCGAAAATCTTTCGTTTTATACGGCGCGGCGCGATCGATAACACCTAAATTTGGAATACGTTCGAAACGACGCGAGCGTAAATTGTTCTATTTCGGAGACAACTGTCGCCGAATACGATATAACATTTCTTACGGCATTTCGTAAACGTACGACCTGCGAAATCCGCGGAATCTAGACACCGAGCGGGGCACGCTCGTTCGCGTTCAACGAATCGGATCGAACGGAAAAAGTACCGAGATCAACGGCGACCGCGATCGCGCAGCAAATTGCAGAATGTAACGGTGATCGTGATTTGGATTATCGGTTCCGCTGGCTGGAAACCGATGCTAAACGCGTCGATAATGCGGCGTCCGATTGACAGTAAATCGGGGGGCGACCGATATCTCTGTATAGGACACACGGATAAGTTCGTGTTCGAAGGGAACACGATACTTGATCGATGTCACCGTGACAATGGCGTTCGGCCACGGTCGGCCGCGCGTCGTCGGGAAATTAAAAGCCGCCGAGAAATTCCCGATTCGAGTGAAAAGATCCGGAGAAAAAAATTCTTGCTCTTTCGCTTGGACGCTCGCGTCCGAACGGACATTGAATTTCGTATTATTTTCGTCTAGAGCCGTTTTTATTTTGCGACGATGCACCAGCGAACGGATCCTCGAACTATTTCAACGTCACCGTCGACTGGACGTCCTCGTTGTCCGACTTTGGAAATTATCGAGAGAATTAAAACTGCGACGGCGGTGTAAGCTCGTCGGGCATGTTCCGCGCTGTACGTGTCGTAACTCTGACAACTGACAATGAGTTCTGCCCGTGCGCGCCTCTGTTTAAAAGGACGCCGTTTCTAGTATCTCTAATAAAAGAGTGAAATCACCGGACGTATTCGTGTTCCGCGCTAAAAGCGATGGTTTTTAACACGGTCACTGCCGTATCCTTCGTACGCGAGCGACGCGATTCTTTGTCCATCGTTACGATCGAATTTTTCTGGCACCGTTGGTTGCGTAAGCCGAAAAATTTCGTCGATCTCACCGACAACAATTTTCACATCGACGCGCTGCACGCCTCGATTATCGAGATACGCGATGTATCGTAACGTATCGTGCTGTATATTTACACGCTGTCTTCGCGGACACGCGTTTTGCATCATTATGAATTATTCCGTACAATTATTTCACGTAAATACAACCAAATATAATTATCGAATGCACAATACGCGTGCTCGTACGTATCAATATGTTGTATCGCGTGTTACGACGCGTTGCATATTTCAGTAATCGACGAGAATAGAACGTCGGTGGAATCGGAACGTCGATGAAAAGAGGAATATCGATAAAAATATACGTCGACGAGATACCTAGCGCCGATTCAACATCGTCGAGAAAATAATGATTCGATCCGTCGAGTGGAACGCGGATCGTTAACGTCGAGGGCCTGGATTAGGTTTGTTACGATTAACTAAAATTTCCACGCGCTTCGTTAATGTCTGCGATAAAAGCTAACCGTGCCTAAAAACGAAGATGCGTCGATAAAGTTGACGAATACCGCGACGAACGATCCTCTAACCGTCCTCGCGGAACGATCGTATTTTTGTCGGAAAGGTTCGCCTATTACCGAAAGCGATAACGGAACGATCGGATTTTTTCAAGCCGAAACGATTATCGGCAAAGTGGCGGAAAATAAAACGTCGATACGTTTTTCGCGAGGTGCTGCGGTTTCTAATCGATTTCTTAATTATCAGGCATAGGCGATCGATGCGCCGAACCGCGCGCCGTCGCGGTATCGAATCATCGATGCGTTTTATGCACGGTTATCGAACGAGCATCGTATCATAGGATTGTTTTCGCAGCGCTATCCGGCTAACCGGTCCATTCATAACGATGGTCTACAGCATGATAACCGGGGATATGTTGACCTTCGGGATAATATACATGGTGGTGCTGTTCGGGTTTTGCCAGTCCTTCTACTTTTTATACAAAGGCTTCCCGGGCGTGAAATCATCGCTCTATAACTCCTATCACTCCACCTGGATGGCACTGTTTCAGATAACCCTCGGCGATTATAACGTAAGCTCGTCATAAATCAACGTTTTGTTCTCGTTCGCCGGTTGTCTCTATCCATCTATCCATCTATCTGTAATATCGATCTAGCTCGCTTGCACGCGCATCTGCATCGTCAACGTTCCTCCATTTACTTTATGCTATTCGCTTTGCCGGTTTTTGCATCGTTACGCATTCATCCGCGGCGGAGACGGAACGTATCTTCTGCACAACCTTCGCAACACCGTGCCGTCGTTCGTTAAATATTTTATATTCTATCGCACTCGTGCCTGGATTTTTCCCCTCTAAACTCTAAACTCTTTTCGACTAAAAAGTATTTGTACACGTAAGCACGCGCAACGGTTTATCACAGTGAAGCGGCAGACGATTGGTGCTTACCGATCGGCGAGTAACTCTTCTATATGTGTATCGAAAAAAACGATAGCAATAAACACCGCGATAATTAAGTGAAATGTTTGAATCCGGTTTAAAAAGTTCGTTTCATCGCTCGACCGTTTTTCCGCGTATTACGTATAAATTGTATAACGAATAAATTCCATTCGTTCTTGAAACATACTTCATGGGTTGGAAATATTACGCGCGGACCACCGTTCCACGGCAGGACCATCGTTTCATACGCGACATCTCGGATTTTATCTAAATTGAAATATGTTGTAGTCCGTGTAAAAGCAGGGCGGGGGAGAGGGGAAGGAAGTTTGTCATGATTTCGATGGTTCCGAAAAGTCTTTAAAACGCGCGAATCTATCTCGCAGCCGCTGGCAATCGTTTCCATTAATTCGCGCGAAATATCGCGACGTCCGGATACGTTGAATCTGTTTTTTGCTTCGACCGTAAACCATTGTTTTCTCAAAACCATTTTTCACGTTGTCGCGACACTCCGACAAAATCAAATAACAAAAGCGCTTGGATTTTGTAAATCGACGTTTAACCCCGACTACAAATTTTCGCAACAGATTTGTCCGAGTTTCGCCGGATTGTCTCCTGGAAGTTCGCTTTTTTTAATTGGCGGAGGCTCGAAAACCGAGGGCACCGAGGCCGGTAAGCCGACGAATGTCGCGTCGCATGCCGGTTCTGGCCGGCCCGTTGCCCGAGCGATCGATCGCTCTTTTCCGCTGGATTCGGAAAAATCGTAAGCGATTGTCCTTCGCGGTACAAACGCTACAGCTCTTTCAGAGAATACGTTTCTCTGCCAAACTCTATTTTGACGGATCGCGATCGCCGCGTGCTCGCCGCGATACTTCCGAGGGTAGATCCGCGTAGCCTGGGTTAGGTCTGACGCAATAAATACTGTGATCAACGGACATTTTTATATAATTAAATTGCGAGGCGCTCTCCGAATCGAGTTTCCTCGAATGGAGAAACATTCGTTGAACATGGTTTTTGAAAAGAACGATTCTCGAAAATTAGTTTCTCCAGCTTCCCGATTCAACAGCGGCCAGTCATTTTTCGGCGACCATCGTCGCTTTTCAATATTCGAAGTATCAACTACTCTAATCTTCCTCGATGCTGTTTATATATTGTTCCAATTTGCGCAGAACGGTGAACGATGCGTTATCGTATATTTGGTAAAAGAACGAGAACGTCCGTCGCTTCATTTTTTAAAACGTCGATACCCCTCCCATCATATTTTCCGTTTCGAATAAACACCGAATAACATTCGCGATTCCGATCGAATATTTTTTGCCCTGTGCGTCGCAACGTAAATATAAGCTCTTGTCTTTCTAAAAATTGTTTCTCCGCGAAGAAGAATGCGATCAGAATTTCTTTCGAACACGCATTCGCGACATATTTCGCCTAGATCGATCACCCGGCTTAACGTATTTACACCCGCAACTTGCATCGATCTGCGCGGTAACTTAAGCTCGGTCGCATTTAGCATCATTTTCGTTAAAGAATTAGTTGCCGGATTAAATAAACGTTGCCTTCCTATAAAAAAAAACACGATGCAACTGGCTACTTCGAAACACGCGTTCGCATTCGCGGCAAGCCTGCTACAAAACTGCCATAATCTACGATGACGCGAAGTTTCCGTCGCGCCCGGCACATGCCCCGCATAATGAAAAAATCGAATAACTCGAGCTCGTTGCGGACTTGTCGGCGGAATCGGTCGACGCGGAACGCGCTGCGACGAGCGCGCTCTCACCAGGATCGTAAATATCGTTCGGGCGATAAATTCGCGAGCGTTTTGCAGCGGGGTTATAATTGTTAAATAAAGCTTCCGGTAATGGTAAGTGTAAATTTTGGAACGCGAGTCGGTCCTCCCGAGTCCGGTCGCGGGCGCCGCACCGAATCGAACCGACCCACGGCTGCGGCTGCGGCTGCGGCTGCGGCAGCGAACGGATACGCATCAATCTTGAATTTCAATCACGGCACGGCTCGGCACGGCACGGCACGGCACGGCACGGCACGGCACGGCACGGCACGGCACGGCACGGCACAGCAAGGCACGGCACGGAGCGGCTGTCTCCGCTCGCGTACGAAGCTTGTTACAATTGTTCCTCGGTTCGATTTTATTTCGCAGCATCGAAATGAAAGATTTAGCGCGGGCCTCGCGCGCCTAGAGTTTCATAAAACTCTCGGGCCGAGCATTCGGCACGCGGTAAAAATGATCGGCCGTGCAACGACTCGCCGAAATGGGCGCAATTAAAACGGCGCGGCGGAGTGCGCCTCCTGGAATGCATATTTCCAGTCGAGAATCCATCCGTTGATTCCGATTGTTGCACGGTCGTTCGTGTCCGCGTTCGTGTTCGTGACACGATCGTTCCTGCCGGTCCGTCGCGTCCAGCTGCGGGTTATCCCCGCATCGGAGCCGACACGGCCACCACCTTCCTTCTCTCCTGTTTTCAGTACGCGGACCTCGGCTACACCACTTACCCTAATTTGGCGAAGACGGTGTTCGCCATATTCATGGTGCTCGTGCCCATACTGCTGCTGAACATGCTGATCGCCATGATGGGCAACACTTACGCGCACGTTATCGAGCAAAGCGAGAAAGAATGGGTGAAACAGGTACGGTTTCTCTCTTTTTCCATCTCCGACAAGGATTTCGCTATTTCTCCGGTCGCGGTCTCGAAAATTTGATCGCCGCTGTAGGCGTTTTGCAGCACGTTGACGGATTCCTTTTAGCATAAATTCTCCCGAATTTCTCGTCGGCTTGTACACAAAAATGGACGATTTGGGAGGAGCAGATACGATTATTGGATTACGTACGCGATCATTCGATCTTATCTCGTAATTTATAATAGATCTTTAGCATGTTTCGTCGTTGCGCGAATACCACGGTGCATCGACCACGGTTCTGACAACGAGTATGATCGATTGCAACGCTTCTAGTTTAGTTACGTGCCCGTTGGCTGGCACACCCCGTGGTACAAGCAGCGACCGTAAACGATGAATTTGAATTTCAGTTATGCGTTCGTATATCGTTCAACCGAAATCTACAGGGCTACGCGTTGCACCGTGCCTTAACCTTAAGGGTCGAGCACCTTAAGGGTGCTCGAGGTGTTAAGAAGAATCGTCGGTCGTTACGTACCGAAGACCGAAGTAACGAGAAAAATGAACGATATATGTCTAAATTTCTCGTTCTTGCCATGTACACGATCGAATACGTTTTCATGTTCCTGGTCTTTCGATTTTTACGAACGGCGGACTAAAAGGTAGCAGACGGCGAAGAACAACCGCAAAAATGGATCGTCGCGTGCTCGTATGTTTCTTCGCGGCAATGCCGAGCGGTACGAATTATCCGGACAGCTTTCGACGCGTCCACTCGAGCTTTCCGTGGAAAAGGTATTTTTAATGTAGGATCGGGACAGTTTCGAACAGCCTGTCGCGAGAGGGAGCGTGGTTCTCGACGAAGCACGGTCGCGAAACCGCTTTCCCGCGACACTAATAAATGACAGCTGTCGACGGTGCGATTACCGGGTACTTTGCTCGACGTTCTCCCACCGTGTACTCTTATTGCCGTGGCATTGCTTTTCTTTTTTCTCTTCGCGATTCGATATATTACGAACCGGTATTATTTATTTGCGAACAAAAGCATTTATCGTTTCGATGTTTCCTCTTTGGTACGTCGATAAACGATGAGGAACAAAAGTGCTCGAACGTGTAAATTCCGGACCGTTCGAACGATCGTGTGGGACAGTTTACGATATCGATTCGCGTATTCGAAACATTTTTCTTTTTTGGTTTTTCAGCCGTAGTTTTCCGTTTTCCGTTTTACCTTTTAGTTTTTACCTTTTACATTTCTGGAAGTCCGCGAGCGTTTTAGGATATTTACGTTTGCTCGACACGGTTTCGAGCTGTCGGGACTCGTTCGATGCGTCCTTCGATAGTACTCTATCTCGTTCGCTCTTGACGTTTTTCATTCATTACCAGCGACGAGTCCAAAGCCTGCAATAAAAATGCTTGTTATCTTATCGGAACCGGTTCTTCGAGTCGTAATTCTCCCATGACCCGGTTCGCATTGTTCGACGTTTTTTTTAATGGAATATTCGATGTGCAACGGTGTTTACCGATTTTCTCGGAAGAGTCGTTTTACAGAAATCGTAGATTTCGCTTGTGCGAAATAAAAGTCGCCTTCCTCCGTCCTATTTAACGGCTTGCCGATCGAATAGAATTTAATCGACCGCCGATCGAATAGAATTTAACGGATCGTAGATTGACTAGAATTATTCGACGAATTCGTGGATCGAATAGAATTTAATATAAACCGGAGATTTATTGGGATTTAATAAACCCCCCGCGAAGATTTAATGGAACGCGCGATAGATCGAGGATATGCGATGACGTTCGAAAATGCTCCTCGGCTTCCTACTATTTTCACATGCTCGATTCCGTTGTATTCGATAACCGCATAAAATGCGCGACGTAGCAATTACGGTTCACCGTTCATTCATTGCCGATGGATTCGTATGTTACCCCTTATATTGTAATCGTACACGTGATCGATAACAGTGGCGCGGTTTCCATTTCAATACCGTTCACGGTAGACAATGCGAACGTACTTTTTCATTATTGGTACAGTCGCTCGTGAAAACATTCGAACGGTCGCGTTTCGAGCATTCGCCGACGGTCGTCGCGGCGAAGAATAAAATCTCGATGTCATCGTATCGGTGAAGCGAACAAATATTTTAACAGCGTTTGGAGCGCGTCGAGGTTTTCCAGCGACGAAACATGCCGCGATTCGTGTTCGAATTTGAATTCGTATGCCGTAACTCTCGAGTTTCTCTAATTTCATCGAATTATAATATTCGACGCGAGTTTTCGCCGTTTAGATGTTGGAAATACAGGCGTTTAAATACTTTCGCGATCGAGCGTATAAGTGGCTCGTGAATTACGCGGAGACCGCGGACGCAGACTTCGCGAACAATGTGCCCGTCGACGAGCATTCGTCGCGACCGAAAGCCGAAAACAGGTTTGATACGACCGTATTAATCGCGGGTGGTATTGATCGATGTTACTTTGAAAAATATACAGGGTGTTCGGCAACGGGTTACGGGAGAATCCAAAGGGTGGCGAGAAATATCCTGTGCGTCGATAAAAGTGCATTCGGTGTACAGTAAAACACGGAAGATAGAAATTAATCGCGATCTCTGTCTCTCTCTCTCTTTTTCTACGCTTCCACGAGCGAAATAATAGCGATCGCGAAATAGAGCAGCGCGTAAAATCTGGTACAATATCGCAACAATTTTAAGTTTCCGCAGTGTCTCATTTTTGTCAAGTTCGTAAGAAATACTCGCTGTAGATAAATGGGTCAAAAGGTCGCACAGCGGGTATTTGCATTCGTGTGTATTGCATTTTTTTTCGAGAGCAGCGTTTCTTGCCTGGAATATCATTGGAAAAAAACAATTTTCACGTTCGACAACTTTCTACGAGAACCGTGTATTCATTATTCATAGGAACGACACGCTGTCCTCCGTCATTTATTACCGAGCTGCGGATCATCGTGCAAATTTTCATTTTCAAACGTCGTTTTACGACGATTAGAATTCAAAGTTCCCTTTCTTTTCCGCGCGTGTCCAACGTTACGCTCTGCCGAGTAAATCGGCGCGACGATCCTCGATTATCGCGAATCCGATCGAACGATTTCTGTTCGAGATTCGGTCGTCCGATCGGGAACTTCGAGTCGGTGAACAGCAATGTCTCCCGTACCGACGTTCGGATTGCGCAGAAAAATGGACAATTTGGGAAGAGGAGACACGATTGTTCGAGCCTCGCGGCTCGTTTTTACGATCGTCGACGATTCGCGACTATAAAAACAAACCGCGAAGCTCGAACGATCGCGTCTCCTCTTCCCGGATTGTCCATTTCTGTGAACGATCCGAGCGTCGATCGGAGAGACATTACTGTACACGGCAACCAATGTTTCGCGTTGACGCGTTCAACTGCTTTCAGTGGGCGAAAATTGTAGTCTCTCTGGAGCGAGCGGTGTCGCAGAAAGACGCTCAGAACTATTTGCAAGAGTACAGTATCAAATTAGGACCCGGAGACGACCCTAACAATCCTGCCTCCGAGCAACGCGGCGTGCTGGTTATTAAATGCAAATCAAAGACGAAAGCGAAACAACGGAAGGGTGCTGTGGCCAACTGGAAGGTAATATTTTTGCTATCGTCCTAGCCTCGGCCGACCTGTCGACGGTGAACGAACGCTCGAGTCGCGCGTACGACGAACATTTCAACTCGAGACAACCGCCGAGCATAAACGAACAAAATCGATTGCCAATTATTCGAATCGAAGCACGGTAGACCGACTAGAAGTCTCCGGATGCTTCGGGAATCGATTCTTCGACCGCTATTTCTGGTTGAAGCGCGGCTCGCCGTTTCCTAATTTGCACATTTGATTATAGCGCGTTGGCAAGGTTACGATAACCGAGCTGCGGAAACGTGGCATGACCGGAGAAGAACTGCGAAGAATTATGTGGGGACGAGCATCGTTTTCTACGCCTGTCAGAGTAAGGTAATATTAATCGGTGTTTTAGCGACGGTAGCGCGGAGTACTGCCACTTGCTACTGGACACAGTAAATTCTCATCGATTGTCGCTCGACGCGCGAACAGAAATTATTCGAGCCACGCGACTCGGTTTTATAATCGCCGATCGTCAACGACTATAAATTTCGTAATCTTTCTTACGAATGTCCGTGTCACCGGTGACTACTACGAAGACAATCTGTTTAATTCGATGCATTCTATGATTAATACGACACGATCGATCGTTTTGGATGACGATTTTTCAATGTTTAGAGCAACTGTTGTTTAACGACGCGTCGTTCTACAACTTCTCGATAGTTTTCCGACAGCTTTCGAATCTCATGCTCGTAGGAATCCCCTTTTTTATTGGCGAAATACCGAATCGGGCGCTTTTTGGCAATGTTAAGAAACAAAAGTTTGTCGAGAAACGAATCGCCGACAACGTTCCCGCGATAAAAATTGAGAATGTAGCGACAGGTACGAGAAGACGAGGTTTCGCGGTATTTTTATCGACGGGGCAAAGACCCGACGAAATGTTTACACGTTCCTGAATCTACGTTGACGTAACTTTCCTCCAGCCGTGGGATAAGCTGCCAGAGTTTGTGCTTCTGTTTCTGTTACACATTGTATATAATTGTAATGGCTGACAGCAGACCTCGGTAAGGGGATTAGCGGGATCACCGGCCGCGTACCCCGCCATAAGCCGACATTTCGATCGCCGCATAGAGCTACCGTACCATCCAGCCACCCTAAACCGTACAGTTCGGTGCTGTAAGTTTCATTTCGAGAACTCCTCGGATCGCGAGAGAATATCATCGAAAACAGGAAGCAAGCTTTTCCATCGTCGAGAACCAACGAATCTTGTCCGACACGGTCTCCGCGTTTTATAGCATCGACAACAAAGAAAAAAAAACATAAAAATATCGTTAACCATTCGCGGATGTAAAGTTACATTGTCGCTAACGTCGGTGTCCTAAGATATGTTTTCTCAAGCGAGTCCCGCAAGACGGTGTTCGTCCGTTTAAAAGAAAGAAAATATAAGAGAACGATCGCTCGTGTTTCCAGTTATCTTTTCAAATAATTGGATTCGTTCGCGCGAAGAAGATAAATTACTCTCGCGTTCGATAATTTTCCCTTACTTCCTTCCTTTTGCATATCTCTTTCGTTCCTCGTCTCGGTCTCGACGCGTCCGTGAACGTACGTCATAAATTTTCAATCGGCGCGGCGGCCTTGGACAGATGATTCAGACCGTTCCGCAGTTAGTCGACTTGTCGCTCCTACTTCCAGAAGCATTAAAGTTACAAACGATCCGGAAACTTCGACGGAAGCGCAAAGAAAACGAAGGACGACTCTGCGAATGTATTTCACAACTTCGAAACGTAATGAAATTTAATCTATGCCGTGTTTGCAATTAGCACGCGATTACGTAAACGTTTTTCTCGTCGCGCGTTCTCCGCGAAAAGGTAAACCGATTCTTGAGCATCGGCCCGATTACGCGAGTACCGCGTAACATTTTCGACGAGAGTTTTTAGTCAGAGTTTTACCGGACACGTTTCGAAACAAATAGGCGAGATTTGCTCGACGATATCGATGGCATCGTTCGCCGAACGACTCTTTAGTTCAACGCTATTTTAGTTCAATTCCACACACATAAGGAAATTAGTGAGTAAAATTTGGAAAAATTATCGGCCGTTCTCGAAGGCCTCGCAACGCGTTGATCGCGTAAAAATCGTCGTAGCAACCCGTTATTCTATTCGGCAAGGTACGGCGGTCTGTCTCCTGGAAACATTAGTCATGGCGATAAGAGCCCATTTATATTTCACGATTCGCTGGCACCACTTTTGTTACGTGGAACGACTGGCGAATACGTATACACGTATAGCGGCTAACGAAATTAAGCAAACAACGGGAGTCCATATTTTCCTTCTTCGTACAAACCGATCGTACATGCGCGCCTATCCATCTCGCGTACATATTGCTCCACGCGTTTCAAAATTCATCTAAACGGGGCACGCCCGTTGCCGTATCCGAACCAACGAAAACCCAAAGATTTCTTGGAACGATGATACGACTTTCATAAAATGTACCAAACTGTACGAATAAGAATTCCAAGGAGATTCGCGGAAGACGCGACGACTGCACCGATTTCCTGTTGCAGTCCGACCGTGGATCAGCCGCAAGTATCGGCGGTGACCGCGGGTTTTGGCGGTGCTTTGACTACGGCCTTGGATATGATGGCGTTCGCTCACGATATCGACTTGTCCACTGCCACGGAAGGCATTCCGACCAACGTTGACGCGAAGCACGCGAAGCCGAAGATTTCAGCCGACGAGCAGAGTGCTCCGTCGAACAAACAAGAGCAATTAGCGGCGCAGCCTGCGGAAGAACAAGCCGCTGTTACCGCGAGCCATCAGCAACACGCTCCGAGCGATTTCAACAAAAAACCGGCCACGCCTGCGACCGTCCAGGATGGGGACCGCGCCGATGCCAGTCGTAAGTAACGGAATCTTCGAATTCCGCGAGACGTTGCCAATCAACCGCGGATCACTCCGCAACAATCGACTTCGACTTATGCATACTTATACAGGGTGTCCCGAAAATGTCTCGCAATCTGGAAATGGGAGGTTCCCGAGGTCGTTCGAAGCAACTTTTTCCTTTGCGAAAATTTTCTCCGAGGCACCGTTAACGAGTTATCAACGAAAAACAGTGACCAATAAGAATCGAGTACGACCGAGGCGAGGCGGCCCAGCCAACCAGCGCGCGAAGCCCATTGGCTCGGTCGCCTCGCGCCAGCCGAGCTCGCCTCTCATCGGTCACTGTTTTTCGTTGATAACTCGTTAACGGTGCCTCGGAGAACATTTTTGCAAAGGAAGAAGTTGCTTCGAACGATCCGAGGAACCCGCCACTTTCGGATTGCGAGACATTTTTCGGACACTCTGTACATACGTATATATACTTTTCAAATTTAACTCGATCGAATAAAATACTTCAATTTTTATGAAATTTCCCGAGATATCGAGGATGCCACTTTTATCCAAATCGTCGTCCGATCGATGATCTTCGGTTCGGTAATCGCGTGTCCTCGCAGTCCCTGCCGCGTCGAAGATTTCCCACGCTCGTTTCGATTGTACGCGATCGGATCGGTCGGCTAATTGCTTTCGAAAGTCCATCGAATTTTGGTCGACTCGAGAAACAATGCGAACGGGAAAGTTTCGAACTGCAATTTCGCCCGCGGCCGCTTAATTTTTCTGCCGTGCTGAAATAATAATCATTTCCGCAGCTAATCCAAGTTTACGTAACTGTTTCTTGGCTGTGCGCGATTCCTGACAGAATCAGCCACTCCGCGAGAGCTTGCATTTGTTTCGCAATAATCACGAGGAACTATCATGCACGGACCATTCCCTGAACTATGAACACTTACGTACAATGTGGTAATTTGCTCGGCACACGAATACCCTGTTCAACTGTGCAACGGGCCTTAGAATTAAATGCGATGTACGTAATTAGCTCCGCGCGCGGAAAGCAAAGTGCGGATACTTCGTGTAACCCTGTAAACCAGTCTTCGAGGCGCGGTCTTCGGCGCGGGGAGAAATCGTCGCGTCGACGAGAATCGAATTCTTTGCGGCACCGTGCTCTCCCAGCGTTCCCGGCGCCGTAAACTTCAAAGTATGTACCGTCTTCTTCTACGTTTTATACCACAGGGTGTCCCATAATTGTGTCAACACCCGGAAAGGGGCGATTTCCGAGGTCGTTCGATGTAACTTTTTCCTCGGCGAAAACGCGATCCGCGGCTTCGTTTACGAGTTATCAGCGAAAAATCTTGACCAATGTATCCTGTAATTTTCTAAACGCGCGATATAGACGGTCGGATGACACGATCGAAATATTTGTTTTCGAACGTTTTTCCATACGAACACGCGATCCAGCGATATCTCGGTGGAATGCAGCGTCGAATAGAGTTTGTTCGAAGAGTATATCGTAGAATTGCGACGACTACGCCGGTTTCGTAACGTAAACCAGCGCAACGCGGCGCTGTGGAACGATTAACCGATAAGCCACATAAATACGTTTCGTACTAGCGACTTATTAGTAGGGCCTGTTCGTGGATTAAGGTTATCGTGTCGGGCAAATGCATCGTTATTCCGAGCATCGGGCTCCTAGGGCTTCCTTGCGGACGGTTACCGCATTTACAAAGGGTGTCCCGAAACTATGCTACCCGGAGAACGCGCGCAAATATTGCAAGCTTATTTAAAATTCAAATTTTTATTTTGTCGGACTTTGGACGCGCTTTAAATTTTACGCTGGTACCGTGGGGAATTCGTTTCGTTGCACATTATTTCATCGAACGCTGATATTTTTCAGTAGTTGCATGTATAACGTATATCGCTCGATCGCAAGAATCGCGTAATTTATACTTATTTATACGCTCGTCCTAGATGCAATCGTCGACGAGATTCAGGATCCGCTTCTGGAACTTGTAATCGCCGCCGAAAATATGTCCGATCATGAAACACTGACGAAGATAGCCCGTCGTGCTGCGGAGAGCGTGGCCGTTCCAACGGATCCCAAAATAAATCTGCAAATCTTGGAACAATTTACGATGATCAAGATGCCCGAGGAGGAACCGGTCCCCGTCGCCAAGAAGCAATACTTTATCGAATCCAGCGATAACGATTTCGGCGGTAACGAAATCCTCGTTTTTTCGTTTTATAGAGAAGTCGAGAATTCGATGCAACGTGCAACGCTTTTCCAATTTATCGTCGACCATCTCTCCGACAACGACGCAGAGGAGCCTCTGTCTCTTAGGCGAACGACAAGAGCATCGGGTTTAACGGAACATTTATGAATAATCGTTCGTTGGAAAAATTCGCATCCTTTCGAGTACTATAATGTATTATACTTTCGCGTCGTTGCGACGCGTAGTATAATAGTATTTCGTACCTGCTAAACGCACATTAATACGCGTTGTCGCGCTATTTTCAACCGATCGAATCTATTAAGCCGGAAGATCGATTCGAGAGAAATTCGTTCGGTTTACGAAGGTTTTGTCGCGACGAGGCGGCGCGTAATCTCGTTGCATCGGCGACGTATCAAAGGATCGAACGGCGAATGCATTTACGGGAGAATTTCTCGTGTTACAATAGGAGACGCTCTGCTGGGTACGGAGGCGCGGTTACGCAGAATAAGATCGGCGAACAACAGATTTATCACGACACGGAGACATTCGCGGCACGAGAACGGTGATCCGTCATCGTCGTCGTCTTCCACATCCGTCGACGGAAATCCTCGATGCCCGGCGCCGCTGTTCACCGATCCCGAACAGAAGCTGACGAACCGTCAAATCGAAGGCATCGACGGACCCGTTCGATTAATTAAGGCGGACGTAAAACGGAACGGCGAATGCGACTCGTCGAAGAACAAAGCGCAGAAACGCCGGCCGAAAACGGCGCGGAACAGGTACCGATGTTTTCGCTAATTTTTCATTATCGATTCCGCATGGCCGTGTATCGTACGTCGTCCGCGTTGATTGTATTCCCAACGATTCGTTTCATTAAAATTTTCGGCTCGCTGCAATGTTTAATGGCATCGGTGTCGCGAAGTTACGTCTGCGGAATATTTATCGTTAACGTTGTTAAATGCCGGCACCGTTCCTTCCGATCGATCGTCGACAGGAGGACATTCGCAAATTTCGATGGGACGCGCGCGCGCCCGTTAATTTGCTATAGAAGGATGTTCGTCGAATTTAACCATGGAAAATTGCTCGCGAAATTTGCGATGGAACACCGCTCGCGAGGATAATCTTTCGCGGATCGGCGTCGAGCGGGTAAAAGGTCCGGTAAAAATTGATCAACATTATTTCGAGGATGCGCGATAGTTCGAGGCTTCGCGGTTTGCAATTTGCAATTCTCGCGGCGCGCTTTGCAAGATAAATTCCTTTCTTATCCGAAACAAATTCATCCGGCTGCTCGTACCGCATTCCCGGGAACGGTGCGCTTTTTCAAAGCATTTCTCATTTCGAAGGAATTTTAATTCCGCCCGGACTCTTGCGTAGAGCATGCCCCATCGTTAATTTGTCGCACAATTTTCATTCTGGAGGCAACGTCAACGTCTTGGCGTGCACGCGTTCTCTGATAAATAAATTATGCGATAAATTACTTCGTTCGCGAAACTGTCGTCGAAGGTAATTTTCACGGACGTCCGTGGCCCGGCTACTATTATTATCGACATTGACGCGTTCGTTTAGGAAATGTCAAATGTTACGAATATTACATAAATCCCGGCATATTGAATTACTAGCCAGTCATTAATAATTACTGAAATTAATACGGGACAATGAAATTGCAGCGTTAATTGGATCATGGTACCGCACCGTATGTAAACATTCGATGAATACGATTGAAAATAACAAACGTGATATTGGTTACCAGAGAAGGAATTCAAATACCAAAAGCAATCGATAACTGTAGCAATCGTATGGAAGTAAATTGGAACCTCTTTCTTGCCGCGTTTTGCAAACACCGAGCGCGGTGCTACCGAAGCTTTTTTAATCAATCTTGCAAAACTGTGTTCGAATCCGTATCAACTTCGCGGTAACGATTATTAGATTGGCACGATATCGGATCGAGTTAGAAAAATATAGCGAAAGATCGTTGCCGTTGGATCGGAACGCGTTTCGTCCGCGCGTATCGTTATCTCGAAATAGCAATCGCTGATCCGCGAATCTTTTAGCAAATTCATTTACGGATTATTTTTAAAAAATCGGAATCGGCAACAAATTCGAGTTACCACCTGGAAAATTTCTTACGGTGACAATTCTGTGGAACCGTTGCGAACGTATGAAAAATGAAGATTATCGGATCGACGGTTTCTCTTTTCGTATCGTTCGATCCAAACGTTTAATTTCCCCCAACGAATCGCGGAAAATACGAATGGCCAAAACTGTGAACGCGTTAATAAAATGAAACCGTGAACAACGATCGTTTCGCGACAACGAAATTTCCAAAAAATTCGAGAACATCGACCGGTTATTCTCGACCGTATCGAACGATTAACCGAGAAAAAAGGGCGCCGGTCCACCGCGATTTTCCAGAACGAGAAGATCCATCGACGAACAAAAGAATCGGGTTATCGGTTGGACCCGGGAAACCGCGAGACCCGACGATCGACTCGCTTATTTTTCTCGCGAATTTCTGTTTACATCAAAGCCGGTGCACCCTCGTCGCGTCGTCGGCCGGGCAAGGGACCGGGCAAGGGACCGGGCACCCACCCGGTTTCCGGCCTCCGGTCCTCGGATAGAACGTCCGTTTAATGGTTCTTGTTCCGCACAATGCGTGCACAGGGTATCGCCGAAGGAATCGGAGGAGCCTGCACAGAGGAGAAGAGAATCGATCGAGCGGAATAAGGCGGTTTCGCCGGCGACGTCTCCCACGGATCCGCTCGAGCCATGGAGCACACGCGACATCAAGGACATGAATACGATACTGGCTTGGGAAGAAAATCTGCCGGAAAGTCCTTAGCGAGGCTTTTTATCGTGGTAAACGCGAGCGCGACCCCGGATCCTCGCTTTTTCGACCAACCGACCGACGAAAACGCGGCGGTTCCTCTTCCCGAACCTGGCACCTGCCGCCCGATACGTGCCGAGGGACGATCTAGATCTAGGAGTGCTCGCGCGGAGGGAATACGAGGTGTTCTTGGAGGATTCGGCAGGTATCTGAAAGCGGATAAGCATTTTTTAGCATCTTTTGGGAAAATCGCTGCTCGGTGTAGTCGATTTGCCCCGGAACGTGGATGAAGTTCGTACTTTCGCTCGCCGTACGCGATTTTTATTTCAAATATCGTAAATCGGTCGAAGAGGTTTTCTATCGGACAGAATATGATTTTCTCGTCGCTTGTTTACCAGGATAAAGAAAACCGCCCTTGCAAAATAACCGAGGGGAGCGTGAAATTTTTCTGGCAACGAAACATTTTCTGACAAAATTTTTAACACGCTCCATTATACATTATTTTCTTTTTGGTTTAATCTTGCGGCAACGAATGTTGCAATCGGCAAAGGGGAATTTTCTCTAAATTAAAAGTTTAAAAAACGAGCTGTAACAAGTAAAAAATCCTACGCACAGATCCGTACCGTAATCGCGACGGTGCGTAGGTATGATTTTTAAAAAGCGTCGAGTTTTATGGAAATCATTTATTTTTATAAACGGAAGCTAATATTTCACCGAAAAGTTATTTGGAAGAATGACAAAAAAATTGAAACATTTTGTAAAAACTGTTTCGCCGTGTTACCGAGCAGAGATGAAAATTCAACGAATTCGTGGTCTTTTATAAATGTAGGATTTCTAGAACGAAATTCCGTAATTCGCAGATTATTTAAATGGATCGTTTTAGCTAAAGCTGATCTTGTCGAATTGCGATCGAGTTACTCGACTCGAGCGAGACAAATTTAGCGAAATATAGAGTATTTTTGTCCGCGGATATTACCGGTAGCAAATACGCTCTCTCCAAAACCAGCTAATGATCAATTACGGCAACCGATGATCATTTATGGCCGACCGAATCGCTATTATCGCGATGCTGGTTACTTTCGATCGAAACGCGTTTGTTCCATCAATTACGTATACAGTTCCATTTGAACATTTTAATGAAATCAATTAATGGAAATTTCTCGTTTCTAAAAGTTTCAAATCCCGCACAATCGTAGACATTATCGACGAAAGAGATTCGAATAACGAATAAATCGAGCGACGACTACGATCGAATACGATAAGAACGTATCGACGATCGCCGAATACTCCAGAACACCTCGTAAAATATTTGTCCCGATGAGAAATAAACGTTGCGAAATTATTTCAGCGGTTAAATTACACGACGCGAAACGGTTTCGTATTTAAGCGATTAAAATGTTCGTCGCGCATACGGTGGATATTGGGTTAATTTTGATACGTCGTCGAACACGTTTCACTTTTGTATCGAGAACGCTTCCGAGCATGTTTCTCGCGACGATCGACGAATCGATGTAAATCACGACCCCGACTATTCGTTCCTTCTTCCTCCATTGAAACGCGAACCAACGCGAACCAACGCGAGAGTTTTTCCAAACAGCATTTCGTCTTTAAGCGAATTTCGAAAGAATCGGGAATCGAATAATCTCCGCCAGCTTCTTTAGCCTAATCGAAACGTTTTACAGTCCTGGGAAAAGTTTGCTAACCCGCGCTGAGAATATTAGTCGCGTAACGGGATAACATTCGTTGCCAAAAATCGTTGCTCAACAAAGCGCGGCGAACGGACGTATGCGACTATGATGAATTGTTCGCGCTTGTCGTCGGATTCCTCTGCTGGAATACGAAAACGGTTGTCGGACTATTAGAACGAACGGTCGCCTGGCCGGACGGTTCATCCAACTTCGCTGTCTATCGTTAAGAGCGGATAAACGGTTGCGAGTAGAAAATTTGTCGAGACTATGCATTTAAGATCGGAGCTTCCATCGGGAAGCGGGACGCATCGACGGCGAGTCAAACGGAGCGAGAGCGAACAATTTCATTTCTTATCGGTTTGCGAACCGGAGTGCCGGAGTACGGGAGCACCGTACTACCGGAGTTCGGTCATTGTTGCTCTGTTTCGCACACTCTTCGTACCTCTGTGTACTTTCTTCCTGGTCGCGTTCTATAGTTTCCTAAAGACGGATAACGAACTTCGCAGGAAGACCCGGCGAAATTCTCGAGCAATCTTCTCGGCTTCGCATAGTAAATACTCGCGCAGTCGCTCGCATCGGAAGTCGTCACGGTGCTCTATGGAAAGCGCGGACTTGCAACGCGGCGATAGCATCGATCGAAGAGCGTTCGCGTACTTTTTATTCGAACGCACGCAGCGTCGTCCACCGGTAATTATCGAACGCTTTGCGAAAATTGGCCGAGAGCTTGCATCGGTAAATCTTTCAACGATAGTCTCTCGTTCGTTCAACGCTCGACTGGTGCGACGTTTTTTTATCGTAACAGTTAACGTACCGGAGTCGCGATAGAAAAGATGCGTCGATCTAACGTTGAACGAGCGACTGGTCTTTTTCAAAATAAAATTCGTTTTACCGGTCTTGCTCGCTTTTTGGCGAATGAAATTTACGCCTTTGCGAGCGCGATTCGCTCGTTCGTAATTGTACGTAACAAAATTGTAAAATCGAACGACATTTTATACGTAAAAAAAGAAGATTTTGAACGTTCTTTCCGGCACGCGTGTCGCACGTGTCTACATTTTTAATCTTATTCGCGCAGAACCATCTGGTCGCCCATAAAACCTCGATGCTGAAAATTAAACGCGATCAGCACTTTCCATATAATATCGTTTTACTACCGCAGAATCTCGTAAACCGAGACACTTAGCTAACCGTATCTAGAATTTGCACACGGCTGACCGGAAATCATTTATATCCCCCGACACTTTGGTATTTTCCTTCGGATTTTTAATAAACAGAGAAAGCCACGGAGTTCTCATTTTTCGAAAATATTTTTACCATACGTTTCCATCGGTTTTTACCGAAACATCGAGACAACAATTTTTTTTTAATAAACGAAGAATCGCGTGGACGCGCAATTTCGAAGTCAAAATACGCGATTCTTTGTACCATTGATCATTTTGGTGGTGCAATAAGTGGTACTACGATATAATTGGTCAGACGATTTACTCGAACCTCCTAATACAGAATTCTCGAAACGGATACATTCGTTTAAACGTTTCTACATCTATTCTTTGTACGAACATATCATCGTTTATATAGTACTATTACTAATAATAATATAACAACAATAATAATAATTATTATTATTACGGCGAGATCACAGTAATTCCATTGAAAAATTTAATGTACGCCTTCGAATTATGCCTAATTAAGAATAGTTTAAATACACAATTCCCTCTGGTCATATTTCAGACGATTCATAAAAGTTGAATGAAAATGCGGCGATTTAGTTTTACGATCTCCAAATGCATCAACGAAGGGAAATCGACTAGAATATTAGCGAGTATTGTAGCTGACGCGTTGCTGCGAAAATGCCCGACCTCCGACTACGCGGAGAGACAAGAAAATTTTTCTGTTTCACCAGCAGTTGGGGATAATGACGCGATCCGCGGTACGCTTCGAAGTACCGGAAGTCCCGCGTCGAATCTTGTGCAACGCTGTATCTTGATTGCTCCCATTGTATTCGTTCGCTTTCCACCTTTATTTTCACGCTCGGCCCGATCTCGATCCGACAATTATAACATAACTATCTTCACCGGTCGCGAAGCGTCGAGTGGACGTCAACGATACGTAGAAAATACTCGACGATAGACCGGCGTCTCTCGATTTCAACGCTCGCGAACGCGTCGGTCGCGAATTCGGTTTCAGCTTCGTTTCATTCTTAACGAATCTACAACATTCTTCCATTAGCGAACACTCTTTGGAAACGCGTTACACGGTGCGATCGATTTATTCCTAAGTTGTTCGAACTACGATGTGCGCGAAAGGATTTACAATTGTCCGGTATCCACCAGAACGTGATCGATCGCCATCGATATCCCTTCGCGCGGTAAACGCTTCCGACTACAGCAATGTCTCTCTAATCGACGCTCGGATTGTCCACAAAAATGGACAATTTTGGAAGAGGAGATACGATTGTTCGAGCCTTGCATAACCTTGACAATTCGTAACCATAAAAACGAACCGGAAGGCTCGTATAATCGTATCTCCTCGTCCCAAATTGTCCATTTTTGTGGACAATCCGATCATCGGTTAGAGAGACATTACTGTATTTCGAGACGGTCGCACCTAGATCCATGCAACGTCGACGTTCTCGTTCGATCCGAAATAAACGTTTGTCGAGTTTGGGCGAACGTTGGCAATTTTCGATCCAAACGGACCCGCCGCGCGGGGGTCGACGGCTCGGGCTTGGCGCGAACAGTTGCCACCTGTGAAATATTTTCTCAATCGTGGAACCAGCGACTACGAGAGAAGCTTCTTTCCGCAGACTTTTTTGCGCAGCGGGCTTGTCGAGCGTTTACGATACAAGGGACCAAATCACCTTCGCTCGGAATCGATAAACCCCGATGGGAAACGAATTCGCCTCGGCGTCGAGATCGGCGAAAGAATTCTCGTAATTAACGATATCCGCGCGGAAGACGTTTCAACGGGATGGAAAAATCCCATCGATCGAGCCGTCGAAGACGCTTAATTTCGGTCGCGCGAACCGGCACCTATGCCCGGCCAACCGGCTAATCGCGACAGCGTGCAGCGATTGGTCCTCTTATCGAAGCAGTTTCATTAAAAAACCACGTTACCGCCCCCTTTTTTGGCGCGTTTAGAGCAACGTCGCGCCGCCGCGAACGATGCAAACGATACGTACCGCGTCTAGGGATAAAACGAATCAGAATTTCTACGGAAGAGATCCATTTGTAAGAGAAGCGATCGTAGGAAGTAGCGAGAAATAAACTATTTTTAAGCGACTTTTGTATATTTAATCATCGATCGCGTTCCACGACGCGAACCACGTTTTGCACGATTTTTGCACGATTTTTGCACGATTTTTGCACGATGCGAACCGCGTTTTTATTCTCTTCGCGACGTCCGCGACGCGAGCATTTTCAACGTCCGTTTATCGCGTAAAGCCGCGTTCGAAGATAGACATCTCCGCGCATTTAATCGGGACACTCGGCGCAAAATAGACAGGAAGATGTATCGCGTCGGGGACTTCGAGCGACGCGAACCTATATTCGATTAGATGGTAAAACGCACCTGTACTCGATACATGTGTGCGCGTATAAATAAAACAGCGGGCATCGATTCGGCCGACACGAGTCGACGGTTTCCCTGCAAAAAGCTGATGTCCTAAAACGACCCGCTGAAAATAGGTTCACGGCGGAGACTATTAATCGGATTGTCCGTTCGCAAGGTCGGTCGAACGAAATAAAGTCAAATGTACGTTTGTCCAGCTGGTTTCGCTATAAATACGACTGCTCCCGTTTAATAAACGAAATATTCCGATCGAACGGCGAATCGCGTCTCTAGAAACCGCGCGCGCGCGGATCTTCCTCGCGAAATCGAGAATCGGCAACTGTGAAAACGAGCCGCGAGGCTCGAACAACGATCGTATCTCCTCTTCCCGAATTGTCCATTTTCGTGCGCGATCCGAGCGCGAATTACGGAGAGAAATTGCTGTGATCCGAGCGCGAGCGACGATTGTCAACGATTCGACGAATAATAAACCGCGATAACGCGACAGCGTTTATCGTTCGAAAGGAGGTCGTCGGAAGCGCCGCGGACTATTCCTACGAACGCGATTACGAATAAAATGATGCGCCCCGAAAAATACCGTGCTCGACAATGTCAAAAAATGCAGCAATTCTACGCGGCTCGTTAATCGTAATTCTCGCGAAGTAAACTGCAAAAGGCCCTTCCCTCCATTCGTTTCGTAGCGCGCGCGCGCGGAACGGATGAATATGATTCCACATGAATACCCCATTATGTATTTATAGAGAATGTTCCACTTGCCGTTTTCCACACCCCCTCCGAAAAAAAAGGTTGGAAAAGCCTGGTCGGAGAATTTTAGCTCGCCATTGAAATAACTGACAATGAAAGCAACGGATCGCAGGTGACATAGTTTCCGCAAACTATGTCGTAATAGTGCGGCGAGACCATTATTCGTTTCTTCTGTGTCATTAAGCCCGGGGAGACAGCTGCTGGAAAAATGTTCGGAAAGTAGTTGTAAACTTCGGTTTCTTTCGTGAAATAACTCGCGCGGCGTGTCGTTAGACCGCATTCGATCCTTTTTACGGGTTTCTTTCAACGTCCTACGCGCGCGCTCACCGCGCCGATACTTTACCTACGCAAATTTATATCGTCGGCGATCCTTCGATGGACGATTTCTTTCGACGGACAAAAACGCGCGTCGACGGTGATACGGTTGCCGCGAAAAGTACGTTTCCGATTTTGTAATTTGTCAAGATCGTCGGAAGAAGCTACGATGCCGCCGTTCTTGCTTCTGTTTCTCGGAATCGTTGCGGTCGATCGTTGCTTCGCACAAAGGACCGCAGTCTGCAGTCTACTAATTACCATTCCGCCGAAAATCTGCTAAAACGGCTTCGGAACTATCGTAAACCGAGATTCATGGACAGTTGTACGTATCGGTACATGATACAGAGATCCGACTTCGGGGCAGGTTCGCTTGTTAGTAGTAAACCGATATCTGGGAATCCCGGAATAATATAGTGCACGGAACTTCCGTCCGAGTGTTCCTCCTCCGTCTGTACACGGTACAGTCGCACTTTCCGCATCCTAATACACGAACGTTGATAACAGGGACGTACAGGGTGTCCCAAAATTATTGTACAAGCGGGAAACGAGGTGTTCCCGAGGTCGTTCGAAGTTACTTTTTTCCTAGTTATCAACGAGAAACGGTGACCAACGAGGGGCGAGATTAGTTCTCTCTCTCTCTCTCTCTCTCTCGTATTGGTCGCCGTTATTCGTTAATAACTCGTAAACTCGAGACACGCTGCGTATATCGTCGCATCGAAACGGTCCTTGCACGATAGAATTTGCCAAATCCGCGTCGGTCGTATTTTCGAGCGTTCGGGTGGGCAATTACCCTCCGTTTAATTTTTATTTCCGGCTCGGCCGGCAGTTTTGTCGGGCGCGAGGCGGCGTATCGTTCCCTTGGCGGGAACGTTATAACGCGTAAACGAGACCGACAACTCCGGCAAGTTGGACGATTCTTGGATGTTCAGCACGTGTTTTCATTTCGTTATCCCACCGTGGTTCCTTCCCATATCATTACTGTTTCAATACACGCGGGAGGTGGAAAGTTTCCAAGGCAGTGAACCTCGCCGAGCATATCTCGCTCGTTCTCTTTCTTCGTTCCCGCGGTTGCGTCGAAATGAAAACTACGGAACTACGTATGAAAGAACACTTTAGAAAGAACGAATAACCGAAATTCCCTGCGTTGCCCGATCTCTCCGCGGCCCAATTTTTATGCCGGAGAAATAAAATCGTTCCTCGCGTTCCGATCCGAAACGATGCTCGAAATTAGGCCGTCCGGACGTTTCTTCGGCTTTCGCCGAAGAAAAAGAACGATCGTGAGACGAGCGTGGAACACGTTTTTCTCACCGATTCCGAAGGCTTCGTTTCGCCGATCAAATTACCGGTATAAATTGGTCGCACGGTGCAACAATTTTTGGTAAGCCGACGGTCGTAGAGCCGGATTACCGCGGAACTTCGGAGACTTCCTGGGACTTTACAGGCCAGTGGATACGCTGCTTCGACATTCCAATGTCCATTACCAATTCCCCGGTGCAACTCCGGCATTCTGTTTCTGCGATTCATGAATCGGTAACCGTTCGATAACGTCGGGAAATATTGATGCAAACGCTTTAATAAAGGATGCGCGTAATAATAGGTTGCTACGGCGTTTCGCTATCCAGCAGGCTGTCGGAACTCGAAACAATCGCGCGATTCTGTCGCATCTCGATCCAAAGATATCCGGAGATCGTTTTCAACAGGATATTTCTACGATCGAAGCTGCGATCCGTTTTCTTTGGCAAACGGCGGTAACGAGACGACCGGCTTCGCTTTATTCGAAGATTCTTGAACGCGTTGCGATAAGAAATGGCGAAACGCGTCTAAATAAATTCGATCTTGTAATTCTTACGGGACAACGGACGCCGGTTACTTTTGTTTAGAACTCGGCGAGTCTAACGTTGAAGCTCCTTCGCGTTTTTCGGTCTTTGGTATGCTCGATTCTTGATTCGGTGGAATTCGGTGTCGACGATTGCCGACTCCGCGGATCACAGACGACGACGTTCGTACTCCTCCGGGATTTTCTCTACCGACGTATCGTGAATCCTGGGACCGTGTACCGACAACCTCGCGCTCGTGAAACCCTATACCGAAAAGTTCGGACACGTGGAACATGATACAACGATACGGAGCCCGTGGGATTCGGCACAGACGGCCTCGAATATACCGCATTCGATACAAACAATTCGGCGCGCGCGATACAGGGTTTGACGTTCGCACCAATAAGCGAGACCGCGAAACGGGATCGTCGCGTCGCGAAGCGCCGCAAAGAATGCATTATTCCGGGTCCTCGAGAATCGAGTCGACGCTGCTGGCAAAGATCGATTATTATACACGGATTCGCCGTCTCGTACGGCGACGCTTCATTTTCGAAACTCGTTCTCCGTTCTCGGTTGAACATGCAAAATCGAACGTTCAACTTTCAGAATTTGTTCCGCTCGAACCGCCGAACGTTACGGAAACGATGCGCGCGCGTAGATATCTTCCGCGAACTCTCCCGAGTACAACAGCGTGTTTTATCGTAACGTTGTAGACGTTTAAACGCGTTCGAATGACTTCTGAAGAGACGCGTGTCTTGGACGCTTTTCGAACGGTCTAAATTCTAAACGATAGAAAGCTTGCGACGCTTTTGAATAATTAAACGACGCGGACAAGTGACTAGCCGAAATGTAATATTCTTTAAGAACATATATAAACGAGTTGGTTAGGTTTCATCGAAAACGAGTAATCGATATTTCGCGGACAGCTCGACGCGAAACTCGTCGACGAAGGAAACTTCGGAATCGACGGAATTATCGAATTCCGTTCTCGACGAACGATTCTTCGCGAAGATATTTTTAGGAACATCGTTCGGATTCCGTGGCGGGCTGGCTCGTCGTTTCGCGATCTCGTCGAAAGATCGAGTCGGAAAACACTGCCGCAGGGTGAAAGTAGCAGCGAGATTAGCCGACAGCAGCGAAACGCGAAAGGTAAAACGTCGGGACAGATTTTCGGTCGTTGAAAATCCACGGGAACTGGCGGAATGACGGGACGTATCCCGTTCTACTTCTTATTGTTCTTAACGGGCTGCCGTGATTGCGATCTGCGACGGGCGCGACGCGTTCCTCGCGATCGCGCCGATTACTGCCGCATTTGCGCCGATCACACGATGTGTCGGTTTCAGGTACGTGTAAAGGCGGTTAGAAATTATCGGTCGCGCGCGAGAAGAAACGATAAATGAGATTACAAGCGATCTCGAGCACGCTCGGTTGGACCGTTGTCAAAAAATGTCCGCCGCACGAGCAGCGTTCGATCGTGAAACCGATCGATTCGTCCGAATCCGATTCGAGGTCGGGAAACGCGAGGACGACGGACACGCGACTCGCGCGTGTTTTCGCGATTTTATTTCCGACGGACGAATTTTCGCGTAAACTCCACGGACCGCTTATAATTACGATAAAACCGATTTCAAATTGACCCGAGCGCTTACGGTATCGCATTGCGACAAATTGCATCGCGCGACGCGGCGATCCGCGCGTATTTTCGTACAGATTTATTATGTTTCGAGAGATTTTGTTCCAAGTTATTCCGTTGATAAATCGTATATCGATCACCGTATTAATTATAAACGCGAACAAGGAAGCCCGGTATAAATCGGGACAATAAAAATCTATCTCGTATGCGTGAATTTGCGCGGCAGGAAATCGGAAGCGACGACAGCACTCGTTAATATCGAATGTCACCCATACAACGAACTCTGCTCTCGTTGCACGGACGAGACTCGAAATCGCGCACCGCGAAGAATAGAATGAGCTTGTTAAAAGCAAAATATCATGGAAACCTCGAATCCGCGATGCGGAGCTTCGTTTATAACGGAGCGGCGCGCCGCGGCGCCCGAATCAAATGAAACGAAGTTATACCGCGCATTATTTATTGCACCGGCAATTAAAACTTCGATATAAACGACGCGCTCGTTTTAATTAAGAAGAAACTAAACGAAGATCTGTTCGGAGCTGTCGATGACGCGACCTTCGAGCGGTCTCCGATTCTAGTAATTAAAATTAAAATCGGAAGCTTCTCTTTTTGTTTCACAACGTCGCTACCGAAGGAGGTATTTAGGCGCATCTCTTTGTACTCGTATAACAACAAGCAGATCTCGGGAATGAATTTCGCTGCAAGTAGTATCAACGGACAATGGTCGGACACTGTGATACGCTGATCTGAAAATACGCGTCTTCGAGTACTATTAAAGCCAATTATTTAACAATTTTTATTACGACAAGTTGAAGAACGAATTCTACGATATTCTGCAAGCATTTCTATCGTATCTTTTCTTCGAAAAGAGATCGTTAGATTTAACGGTACATGGTAAAAACTGCAGGCAACCGTTAGGTAGGAACGTAGAAAAGAGAGACCTAATTTTTAGGTAGGAGCGTAGAAAAGAAAACCCTTTAATAAGAAGACCAAATGAAACGTTGCGCTCGAATTGCGATGAAACTTTCTAACAAGATGATATAACGGAAAATATTTAGTTTATCTCGAACCCGTGACCTTATTCCATCGAACGATACTCGTCGTGGCCGCGTGTACGGAATAACAACTACAACCGTAAAAAAGTTCCGAACAGAAAAATTCCATTTCGTCGATGCGAAGAACGTTGAATTTTAGAAAACGTTCGTACGTTTGTCGCGCGTAAAGTACTCACCGTCGTTACCGCATTTATTTGTTAGACCGAATATTTAGCGTCGGTACCGGCGAGTAAAATAAGGGTGCTATAGACGACTGTGATAGAAATGAAATTGAGGCAGCAGTCGAGAGGAAGTTTCAAATTACAGTCGGGGAAAAGAGAGTTCGTCGCTGAATGCTAAAAAATATCGCACGCGACTCTGTGAGAGACTTGAAAAAGCGCCTGCTGCCACTTCGCCGCGTCAAAGCGAATTCGATGAAGCAGCATGCAGAAGCTCTGCCCAAAGAACCGAGTTACATACGTACTTTTTCGCCAAAGTCGTAAATACCCGGTATATTCGACGCCTACGCGCATCGATCCGAAGCACGTTATTACCCGCGAAGCGCCGTTGTTCGAGTCGCGGCTAAATCATCGTCGAAGCGCGTTCGCTCTAGAAACGTGGCAAACAACGAAACGCGGCGCGATTACACCGAAAACAATCTCACCGTTATCCCTCCTGTATCGAAAAAGCATGAAGTTTTTATTCGCAAACAATTTTGTATCACGTTCCAATTTTAGTTCCGCCAATTGCAGCGCGTTGCCCGCACATCGAATTATTCCGGCGCTTCGCGGAGCGGAGCGGAGCGATGCCCGGCGAGAGAGTTTTACATTTCTCGTTTTCATAGCCTGACGTGGCCGGTGTTAAATGCGCGTATCTGGATCGCGAAAATATCGACGAAAAGGACATCGAAACAATCCTCGAGTGGCACAATGTTTATCGCAACACCGTGGCAAGCGGACTCGAGCAGCGCGGAAATCCCGGACCGCAACGCCCTGCGAAATTCATGATGGAACTGGTATGATTTCCCGTAGAATTTGTTCGCGTTCGATACGCCGACGCAATTACCAACCGCGGCGATTGTTCGACACGGCGAGTCCAAAAACTGTGCGAGCATTACAGGCTTTCGAGAGAAAAAAAACTGTCGACTCAAAAATTACAGAAAATCGAAGCAATTCGTTCAACGAAATAATCGTCGGAGATGCAGCAGCATTATATATACACGGCTGATGCAGCAGTCTCTAGAATCGCCGACGATTTGTTTTCGTTACCGAATCCATCACCGACGGGAAGATCGAAGCTTCCCCTTTCCAACGATACCTTAAAACTCGATGTACGACGTTTTCAGGCCATTTTATCGAGCTTCGAAAGACAGGTGCATTTTTACGAAAATACACGCAACGATCTTACGCGACCGAACGACTGTTCCATAAAACAGCCGAAAAAAAATCGTACATCAAGTTTTATCGGGTCGTTGCAAAGGAGAAGCTTCGATCTTCGAATCTATGGTAGATTCGGTCGCGAGAAAAATTTTTCCACGATTCTACGGACGTTTCAATTTGCAGTATTTTCGAGACGAAACGTGTCTTCGGTTTTCCAGTCGCTATATTACGTGAAAACATCTTGGAAAAGAAAACGACGATAATCCTCTGGATCAGATTAATTTAGCAATTCGAACCTTTCGTTGTCGTTCTCCAATCGCAACGTTTCATTGTCTTCGTAATTCTTTCGCGTCGCACCTTCGTAGAATGCGAAATTGGTACAAACTACAATGATATGGTAAATAAGATTGATCTTACTTCTATTACGAGTGTTTAGATCTCGAAGATTTCACTCGCGATCAGCTTACACGCGAATCAGCTGATCGATCCGAATTGATTTGGACAGGTCTGGGACGGCGAACTTGCTCGCGTCGCGGAGCAATGGGCGCTGCAGTGCAACCTCTTCGAGAAGGATCGATGCCGAGACGTTGGCAAGTACCTCCACCGGATACGTCTCATTTTTCTCCGTAGCCGTTTCATTCTGCCCTATCATTTTTCAATATCCAACGTTTCGTCGCGCAGCCGAAAGCGAGATTGTTTTAGCGGGATCCCTGTACGCCGAAACGGCTCGCGTTCGCGCGTTCGGTTCTCGCTTCTCTATCAACTTGTTCATCGCGGCGCGGCGGCGCTCGCAAACTGTAACAAACTCTTGCGATTTTCCCGTGGAAAAGTTCAAATTGCTGCGAAACCAACCAGCCGCCGTTCGTCGTTCGCGGCTACGCCATTTTCCGCGATCAAAATTATTCCGAACGCCGGGGAAATTAATTTAATCGCTTCAATCGGATATCGCCGTACCAGAAACAAGTTCGAATACGAAAACGGTGAAACGTAGAAAAGGTTGTGTCCGTAGCACGGACACGGTTGCGCGATTTCTGGTTAAACCGGACACGAGACTTCGCTTCGACGGCTGAAACTCGAAATCGAAGAAATCTTCGGCGAACGCGCGCCGCGACGCTTTGCAACCGCTGACGCGATTTTACGGAATTCTTTGAACTTTCCGGCGAGATTTTAATCGAATCGATCGGATTAAGAGGATGCGAGAGGGAAGCTCGAAAGATCTTCTTTCGTTCGTACGCGAACAAAACGATTCGACTCGTTCTCGCTCGGAAATTGTTTGCTCGGACATTTTTCTGCCAACATCGAACAGAATCGAACGCGTCTTCGTTGCGGCGTAAACTTTCTTCTTCGGTTTGAGATATTTGATTCGACCGAGTTCGATTCTTCCGCGAAGATTCGTGCTTCGTTTTACTCGCAAGATGCAACGTAACGCGAGATCGTGTTGCAACGACGACGCTCGAAACTCTTCCAGTTTTCGGACAATACGAATTGCCGGCGATTCGTACGCGAAATCGATCTTTGCATCTACTAGTAACGAACGCGGACTTTGTTGCAACAAGGACGACGGTCGCGTCTCCTGACGGCGTCCAAAGAAATTGGCTTTCTTGTTTAATTTTGTTCCGCTCGCGTGCCTCTTCTATTTACGCGAGTGCTGCAAACTTGGTACGGAAACGCGCGTTTTCCTTGCATAAACACGTGGGGGATTACCGCATGTTTGTATTTTGAAAGTATTCGCGGAGCCGATCTCGCTTTTCCAATCCAATTCAAAATCCGAATCGAACAAAATTTGATCGGTAAATCAAAGCACGTGTATAAGATCGTTCTTTTTTGCAATCGACAGTGTCCAAACTACAACCGCGCGCGGTTTTCCTTCTAAATACCGTATATTAAATTTACTATTTTTTTTTTAATTTTGCAACGAACGCACCGATATCGATTAATCTCTCGCGTTGCAGTATTTTTTATTTCCGAGCTCTCTCGCACGACCTCGAGGCGACTTTTACCGCTTCTATTTCGATTCGAAAGATCGAAGATCGCCCACGTTTCTCGAAGATGCGATAAACGTCTGTTTCGGCCCCGGCGGCACTGCGATACAAAATGCCAGAAAATCGTGAGCAGGGGAAATATTTGCTTGCGTCGCGCCGGTAGCAGCGTATCGGCGAGTGCGAGTGCACGTGCACGATCGAGTTGCAGAGAGGGCGGACGATACCGTTCGAACACACAGTGTCTTTTACAAACATCGCCAAGTGGTCTCCGTGTGTCGAAGTTACACTCGAGAGGAGAACGCTCCCTGGTCGGCTGTCCCGGTCCTAAGCAAAGACAATGATCCGTCGCGTCGGATCGATAGGGGAGGATTCGTCCTGACTCGCAACAGTCAGAAATTCGCAGCTGTTACGCGCTTCGGGGAGAACGCGCGCTCCGGAATTACCGCGGGCGCTGCCGCGATATACTTGCGAAATATTCACTGCGAATTCAAATTACTTTTCGCAGTAAGGCAACGGTAATCTGGCTAACGATCCGATGCTTTGTCGCGAGGCTTGGACTACTGTATTCGTGCATTCTAGTAGTTACCCTGGAGTCAAGTTACTAACAAGCTTACAAGGGAACACATATCGCGCACGTCGCACCCGTACACACTTTGACTTTGACGGAACTGTGTGTAGTCGGATAATCCTCGGAAATATATTCGACGCGTGGCCCTTTTTCTCGTTCGTCGTCCCCGTCGAAGGAACGAGAACGGTCCTCGAGATCGAGGCTTCGGAAAACATTTTCAGAGATAGCTAGGGGGCGCGGGGAAACATTTGTTCCAAGCGGATAACGAACAAACTTTCTTGGGACGCGTAGAATCATCCTCGACGCGTTCACCGTCGTATACGGCCGTACATTATACGTATACGGATGATACTAATTTTTGACCAGCTTTCAAAATTCACCGTTATCGCAATATATTTATTGCTTGGTTTACCGCTTAGATTTCGCGGCGTATTTTGCGGTTGATTTTCGGTGCTCGTATTCAAAACGTTTCAAACGAAACGAGTTGCAACGTTTGGTGCGAAAAGCTTCGTTTCTCGATCGGGAGAATTTATAATCGTTTTATAAGAATTTATAATCGATCGGTAAACCAATGTTTTATCTTATCCATCGGACAAACTCGCAATTTCTAAGTTGCCTACGTTCGAATTCGGAGGACGCGTTTCCGAAGCGTCGGACCTTCGATTCGAGGAGGAAATGGATTTCTCTGACCCGCGCGACAGAAAAAGCTCCGCAATTAAACCCCCGGCTCGACGAATTCATTAAGAATCGAACGATTGCCTGTTTTACCCGAGCCCCGACGTCTCGACACCCGCAGAATATTAAATTCCCGAATGTTGCGCATTTTTTTCGTCGAGTGGGTCGAGCTTTCGGGGAATCGGGGTACCGTTGGAACTAAAAAAAATTTCGTTTTTACCCTATTGGCGATACGTATCCAGTTCCAAAGCGGATCGATATTCTCTCGGCACGAAACGAACGAACGAACGAACGAACGAACCAACCAACGAACGAACGAACGAACGAACGAACGGCCACGGCCTGACTGATGAATTTAATCGGTCTATGTGTAAGGTAACATACGAACCGTCGCCGTTGTGTGCCAAACGGTCTATGTGTTCTTTGTAGAGCGATTCGAGGTATGGCAGAACGTGCACCTGCTCGATATGAACAGCGTGGGAAACGGCACGTCCGCCGCGAGACTTCACTTTCACATTCGATCATGGTACGATGAAGTAGAAGACTTCGATTCCGCGGAATTCGGGTGAGTCCGGTCCGCTTTATACACCTTCCTGCGAGCTTTAAAGCTCCGTAATTTCGCGGACTCGTTATTTTTCCGACGCGCATTATACGATGGAAAAAGTGGCCGGGATTTCTCGTTCTACGGTCCCGCGCGATGCGCGAAAAAAGAACCTTTTGCACGGGAGCAGGCGAGTCGCGACGCGGAATTCGATCGTCGCGTATACAGCAACCCGATTACGCCGGTGAGAAAACCAGGAACGACGCGTGCTATTCGGCGATTCGCGTACAAAAAAACGATGGAACAGCTCGTAGAATAGAATCGGATATCGTTGTCTCGGCCAGCAAACTCCGGCGGTTGATGCGAGCAAACAGCGAAGCGACGAGCATATCGGCTCATGATTGTCACGGGCATGCACAAATTTGCCAGTCGGGCAGGTTATGCCCGTATACGCGACGGCTAGGTCCTGGCCTGGCCGTTGAACGGCTAATCGGTGTTTACGGACTGTGCAGCGAGCTAACGAACGGTTCGAGGGATTTAAATTATCTTACGATTCGACTGCTGCAACTTATGCGGGTCGCTGTCATCGAACGTCCCATCGCGACGGCATTCGGTAACCGACCCTAACGAGCGATCGGAGCGCACGCGACCCCGTCGAACGAGTTCCGTCACCCTTCAAAATTATTCGGGTCGTGCAGAAATAATCGCGGCTTCGAACCTTCGAATTCGACTACCGATTTTCTAGTGGCAGAACCGGTCGTTCCAACATCTCGAAAAAGAATTTCGAGTAATTTGGTCCGGTTCGTTCGCCGGTGCATCTCGCGCGCGCGCGCGCGCGAAATCGACTCGACTCAAAACAATCGTACCTCCTCTTCCCAAATTGTCCATTTCTGTGGACCATCCGAGCGTCGATTGGAGAGACATTACCGTATTCCCAATCGTCGACTACAGAATCTCTGCTATACGCGGTCTCCCATAATTATGTTAACAACCGGAAAGGGGTGATTCTCGAGATCGTTCGAAGTCACCTTTTCCTTGGCGAAAATGCGACCCGCGGCTTCGTTTACGACGAAATCTCGCGACTCCGTGCAACAGTTTTTGTGATCCGAACGAACGCGAACGGTTTTGGAACGCGACGCAACGATTCGCAACGGCGCCTCGGAGTCATCGGCCGAGCGCGAAGGGTTACGAATTTTCGTGCGGAACGTGGAACGGGGTTGAACGCGAGGCTCGTCGGTAAACGGTGTTACCAATTGGCGCGTCTCTGTTCCAGGTACGTAAACTACGCCGCGCGAGGCAACCTGTCTTACATCTCGTTTGCTTCGGCAACAATTAGCCAAGTCGGTTGCGGCCGCGCAATTTACACAGCCGGGCCAGACGAGTCGACTCGTCGAGGAGGGTCCGCGATGGCCTTGCATACAATACCCGTCGGAATCGGGGATCGAGTGGAGACCCTTGTGTGCAATTACGGGCCTCTCGATCGGAAGACATCGGGGGAACTCTACGAAGACGGTGTGCCGGCTCTTTGTCCACCGGGAACGGTTCGCAGTTCGCGATACAGAGCCCTCTGTCGTGCTCGTAAGTGTTGCCTTCCAATCCCACCTTTCCCCCCTTCTCGTCCTCGTCCTCGTCCGCATCCGCATCCGCGTCCGCGTCCGCATCCCTGTCCTCCTGCTCATCCCTCGTTCTTGTTCTTGTTCCTCTGTGTGTTCAGCTGCACACGATTGTTGTCGCTTCCCTCTAGCCACGGTCGTTACCGTCCTCGGATATACGAACCAGTTAACAACGACGAATTTCGGCGCTACGAGCAACGGGAGAATCGTTTTCGACGCGCATTCCAATTGTTCGTCTCGCGAGAGCTCCGCCGTTATTACAACACCCGACGGATCGCGCAAATTGATTTTTACAAGGGACCTTTCGTCGTTCCATCGCCTCCGATTCTTGCACCGAAGCTCGCGGTGGCTCGCTCGAAATGTCCGCACATGCTGTACAGTAATGTCTCCCTAATCGACGCTCGGATTGTGCAGAAAAATGGACAATTTCGGAATAAGAGATACGATTGTTCGAGCCTCGTAGCTCGTTTTTTACAGTTGTCGACACTTCGTAACTCTAAAAACGAGTCGTAAGGCTCGAACAATCGTATCTCCTCTTCCGAAATTGTCCATTTCTGTGAACCATCCGAGCGTCGATTGGAGAGACATTACCGTATTCCCAATCGTCGACTACAGGATCTCTGCTATATATACGCGGTCTCCCATAATTATGTTAATATCCGGAAAGGGGTGACTTCCGAGGTCGTTCGAAGTCACCTTTTCCTTGGCGAAAATGCGATCCGCGGCTTCGTTTGCGCGTTATCAACGAAAAGCACCGACCAACGAGAGGCGAGCTTGCCCTGCATAGTTCGTGGAAGCGTCGAACAAAAATTGCAACTTGAAAGTTGCAGAAAATACCGCTTCGCGGAGAGAAAATAAAAGGAATTGATTTCAACAGAACCGTCGAAGAATCCGCCGCAGCTGGTCGGGTTCCGAGGACTCGCTCAACGGAACAAGATGGAAAACGTCGGAGGTGCAGCGACCGATGAAACGTCCGAAATTAAACGCACAATTTATCTCGTCCCAACGATGCTGTTATCGCTGACACGCCTGTCGATGTGATCGCCACTTATCGCGCGTTGCGCGATTAAATGTTACCCGATACGGCGGCATCGATAAAATTCGTGTTCCACGGGTAAATCGGTTTCATTATTATTTCTCGCTCCGTCTCGACGATCCGAAGCATCGCGAGCACGACGGAAAATTAGATCGCTTTCGAACCAGAGAAATAACCGGTCGATCGCGTCGCATTTTCTAGGCCTCTAGGCCGCTGCGGTGTACAATTTACAAATCAATCATTACGTAGATGCGACGGTTAGATTCGCGCGGTGAAATATTCGTTGCGATAACGAAGCGACGCGACGCGACGTCTGTGCTGATTTCTGGATGGTCAATTTGCTGACCCATTGCTTCTAGTCGGTTATAAGGATTTGATCGTGCAATTAAGCAACCGTGACAAAGCGTGCTCGGCGAAAAAAGGGACAGAAAAATTGGTCCGACAGGTCAAGCGATAATTGAAAGAGTCAAGCCGGAGGAGAATCGAGCGAGACGGTTGATGAATATTTCAGCGAGGTTCCAGGAAGAATTACTAAGCGGAAAAGGGGCTCGTCAAGAGGTTCGGAGCGAGAGAGAGAGAGAGAGAGAGAGAGAGAGAGAGAGAGAGAGAGATGGAGAAAGCGCGCCTATGTGTGTAGAACGTGTCGCCGTGCACGAGGAAATCGACGTTTCGCAGTGCAAACACTCCTGTTGATGTTATTTTCTTGTTTGCACGACATCAGAACGATCGTAACGCGTCCACCCCGCGTAGCGGTACATCAATCGGTCGGTAGGTACGTGTCAACGATCCGCGGCTTTCGCCGATCCAGCTCCGTTCGTCGCAACGATTCGCGGGCCTCGTTCTGCGAAAGGCAGTGGCAGAATCACAACGATAGGACGAAGCGTCCCGAAATTAACTCTCTGCCGAAGATCAACCAACTTTTTTTAAATTTATTTAACGCGATAGATCGAGAACCAAACATCTTGAAATTGTAGTCGTTCAACTCCGATATTGAAATATGTAACGAAAAAAAAATTGATTGCCCCGAGTTGCTGTAAAAACGAGCCGCGAGGCTCGAAGAATCGCGACTCGGTATTCTCGGATCTGCCGGTTTCAATTCCGATCTCCGAGCATTCCTGGGAGAAATTGCTGCACGTCCACCGAACGGACCTAAATATGTGTATCTCGAAACAGACGATTCGTCCTATATACGCGTGCACGTATAATTATTCGAGATACCGGAGGTTCGCGCGGAAACGGAACGTTCGGATTGATAATTGATAATTGACTAATTGCACCGGCGTTCGATCGCAGTCAGCACTCGACTCTTAGACTCTTCACTTTACGATGGATATTGTAAAGCTAAAGGCGGAGCATTTCGCGTGCGCGAAGCAGCGAGTCTCGTTAAATTATTTCACGACGTTTAAAGCGACAAGAGAGAGGGACTTCGTTGTATTCGCACGAAACAATTGCCGGAGGCCCTTTTGAGACGCGAGCCATTAAAACTGTGTCTGAATAAATGTTGCACGGTGATATTCATGGCTCGTCGATAACGAATAATCGACGAGAAATTTTCGATCGGCCCGCGAACGTCGACACGGTCGAAGCGGATCGGGATCCGTGGGGGCGCGGCGTCCAGCGTTTGCATGGAAAATGCCTCGAAAATAAAACGCGAGGTTGCCTGTAAATCTTCTTTATGTTTTGCGAACGGCTAACGTCGCGTACGTACGCGCGCGCGTTAAACGTTGCCCGAATATAAAGTAGCCGGGGACCGCAGGCAATTACGTAGCCTTAATTGGATGTGTCAAGTGTTCGCGCATCTCCAAGGAATTATTGTTTACCGAGCGAATTAGTTTCCGCGTTTCTTCCCTCGAAAAGTCGTCGAGGGTGGAAAGAAGTCCGCGCGAGATCGGATCGAACGACGAACGCTTCCCGCGCCCGTTCCGTTACGTCGATCGCGAACATTCTCAATTATTAGAGTTCCGCTATTTCTCCCTGGTTAAACTCGAAACTTTCTGCTCGATAACGAAAGCAACTCGCGACCGACCGACCGACGTTCCCCGCATTTTTCAACGTTTCTAGATTCATTCCGGACAACCTATCCCTTCGGAGAGACTCGAATTCCGTTCGACCGATATCGCGTATTCGCGCTAAATTACGATTGATTTTCTGGAACGACGGTCTCGCGATGAAATTCTCGGAACCGTTCCGTTTGGAAGTTGCTTGAAAATTGTTATCATCCGCCATGCTATCGTCGAGCGCGGATAAAGCGCTTTTATAGGGCCGAGAAGAGGAACTCTTGCAAGTTAAACAACGAAAGTTGCCGACTCAAGGTCCGAACGTGTATCTTCGAGAATAAAAACGGGAACGGCGGAAGGTACGCGTTCTTGAAAGTTACCGTGCTTCGAAGCAGCGGATACAGAGAGGAAAGAATACTCCATAGATGGTTAGAGAGGATACTTTAAAACGGAACGAAAGTGCGATCGATTAACTTTCCGACCATCGGGCCGTGTACTTCCAGGCTCCGTTGCGGTATTCTAATTTCGAAGCCGCGCGATAAACTCCGCTTAACCATTGCCGTACATTAAATATATCCCGCTTAGCCGTGCCGGAATATCGAATATCACTTAACCGTGGCATTCCGTTAAAAACAATCCGTATTTTTCAAATAGAAAACCCTCTCCCTCGAAGTTGGAACGATAAACTCCGATTCGCGATGATATAATTATTCTCTTCAATTTTGTCAACGAGCGATCGTTGTTCGATCGTTCGCAGTCTGCCAAACGAATCGAACGCATCGAGAGATTCGAAAGTTTCACGACCGACAGAGATCGAATATTTTTATCCGTTTCCGACGAGTTTTGCAACCCGCTCTGTCGGCGGCGAATTCAAAAGACGACTTCGGGCATTAAGCGTCATTCTTCGATAGCGAAATGAAATTTTCACGAGTGAAAAATTGTGCTGTTCGTTCGAAGAGTGGCATCGCTCGTTTTCCGTACAGAAAGATTACCGTTCCACCGTCACGGTGCATCGTCACGGGTTTTCAACGATTCGAGCAACAATGAACATACTCGGATTAACTCGCAAATACGCGTTTACCTTTTTAAACGCGTCAATCGCATCGCGCGCGAATATTTAAATAAACAGCTTGAAAACGTAATTCGAGGTTATTCTCTGGCAGCGTTTATTCCAATATTTTACACGGATTACAAATTAAACGCGTTTCTAACGCGCGTTCGGCTCGAAAATGTTCTATTCCGCGATCGAAGTCTAAATTACGGTTCCTCCGGCTCGAGACCGGGAGGGCGCGTGCCAAACGTTTCAATTATCGCGACGAATTTCATCCAATTTTTCGATCGATCGCGCCTCGCGCGAATGTTACAAAAATCGGGGAAACGTTACCGAGACCAACGTCGGCCGATAACGTTACGAGTCTTTCTCCTCGAGAAACTTCTCCTGTTTGATCAGCTCGAGCACGCCGGTCTTCATCTGGTAAACCACCTCTCGTTCGGTCAAGCCCAGCCGTCGTTTGTTACCGATATCGTAAACTCCGCCTTCGCTCTCGGTGTGCTCGCCTCCGGTGCCGCGTATCTAAATCATTTGCATGCTTCTGTGTATTCGGTTTCAAAGAACATACGGTAATGTCTCGGATTGTCCACTAAAATGGATAATTTGGGAAGAGGAGAGACGATTGTTCGAGCCTTGCGGTTTATTTTTATAATTGTGGACAATTTATAGCTATAAAAATAAACCGCAAGGCTCGAACAATCGTATCTCCTCTTCCCAAATTGTCCATTTCTGTGGCCGATCCGGGCGTCAATTAGAGAGACATTATCGTAGTTGTGTTTCCGCTGCCACGCGTTTCACCGTGAAACATTCGAGTCGCAGACGATGTTACCATTCCTATCTGTTCTAATTTTCTGTCACCGTTCTTGTACAAAAAAGTCAACGGTTTGCTCAACTTTCTAGACACCTTTCGTCAAGGTTTCGCTTTCGATTAAAATAACGTTGCCGGCACCGCAACGCTCGAAGACGTCCAAGGATCCCAATTACGCGCCGTTCGAACGGGTATTTGTTAACAATTTGCCGCTTGGATTGGACTCGTTTAACAAATCCCTGGCGAATCGTCGAGCAGCGATCGTAAACGATATTAACGGATCGTAAAAAAGACGGGAACAAAGGTACAATACCGGACGAATTTTTAAATAACGCTGCATTACAATGCCTGCCATCGACGTCGGTGCATTCGCTCCGACATCGTATCGCTTTAAATTAAATAGTCTTCAATTTGGCATTGCTCGCGCCGGTCTATACATATTCTACACAGGTTAATGGGATAATTTCGTTTTACCGTATTTATTATTGGGATCGCGATGCGTTCGGATTATCCGGAAACCGAATCCGCTGGAATCAGCGCCGATGGAACGTCCGAAACTTTGCGTTTCGCTAAACGGTTCACGCTCGAGCGATCATGCACACGTGTAATGTATTCCCATCGAGGGGATTTTATTAATCGAACTAAAAGAAAATGAAAATATATATTTCATAATCGACGGTTCCATCGCGAACGAGTGGCAAGAAAGCTTTCATCGACGTGGCCGCGCTTCGGGAATATTTTAGTGGCTCGGGAACTAAATTTCGGAGCAATTATCTTGCAGCGATTACCGATCAAATTGAATTCGATCGATCCCGGAGGGCCAAATATTGGACGCGGTTGCGTTTTGTCAGTCGTAAACCGAACGCTGCCTCCATCATCTCGCGAAAATGCCCGTGTCATCGTCTACCCATTAATCTACCGAAGAACTTTTCCAGCCGCGCGAGTAACTCGTATATGCTCTTTCCGGGCTCCTTCTTTTTTACTCTCGTAACAGAGCGAAACGCTTTTGCCGCATTGTTGCTGAAAATGAAATTGAAATTGAAATGGGAAAACCTAATAAGCCTGTGCATGTGTGACTTCGCAAATGTCAAATTATCTTCACCGATTGCAACAAACGCGAGACGGATAGAAATTCTTGTAATATTTCCATCGTTCTAAGTTTCACCGTTTCCATTGCGAACGCGTAAAATTCGTGGTCTAATTGAAAACGATGCCGTTCGGGTATTTAACCAGCGCGAAAAGCGTCTTCCACAGAGACGTTTCGTCGCATCTAACCGTGCCAACGATCCGCGTATCGATTTCGCAACGATCGCCGACAATTACTCGCATTGTACGAGCATTTAAATTGTCTCGAATACAAAATTGTTTGGTCGCATGCCACGATCGTTCGTATATCGTATTACAGATCGATACGTTTGTTATGGAAACGGGCACAGCTCGACACACATCATTTTTTCGTAATATTTATCGCCGTACATCGACCGTGTGTTTGTCCTATAAATTGCATTACATTCCCCGGCGAGCGGTGTTAAAAATCGACGATAGCCGGGCGTAGTGAAAAACTCTTTTCAACGTACACAAACTAGAATTCTATAATTTCGCGCAATCTGTTCAGCGGCGAGAATCCAGTTTAAATATTGTTCCAATCGATGGAAGCTTCGTTGTTGGCGTTCCCGAACGAACGGTCGAAAAATATTTCCAATTATTTAATTACCGCGTAAGTCGGCGGAAAGCTTGCTTAGCAAACTTTCGTCCTTTTCGCTGGCTGCGTTCGAGAAATACTTTCGGTCTATTTATAAATGTAGGAAGCGTGTCGCGGAGTTCCGTAAAAATTCACCTGCTCGGCGTTCGTTTCGAGCAACTTTTATATCGGTATTCGACTCGCGTTAAACAATTTCATGCCGCAAATCGTATTAGCTTCGTTTCGGAGGCTAAACGGTAATACGTATTCCGCGACTCGGCGACGGGTTTAGCGTGGCGACTTTACACGGCGCGGAATCAAATTTCTTTGATTTTCGAGCGACGTTTATAAGACAGTGTCGCGCGCGGTTGCAATTTCGTAACGACAAAAGTCGTGAATTTTCGTGCCGCGCGAACAGACGCGACCCACCGTCGTCGAAGCATTTCGTGTTCCCGTACGAATCTCATATCGGACAAGAAAAATCATCCTTGCGAACCGGTACCAACTAACGCTGCAAAAACTATGTAAAATGCGATACTGCGATGAAAATATCGATTCCATTTACGCGTGTTCGTAGAGCTTGGGACAAAGTTCCGTTCGTAGAAATCGTACGAAAGTCGTTACGGTTTCTTGAAAGCTGTTAAAATATCTTCCGAGTGCCGATGGATCGATAAATCGTCGTGTTGGTTAAAAAGGTAATCTTTTCCCTTCGTTGCAAATAACGTTTGGCCGAGCCTGTGCACGGGAATGGTAATTCGACGGGAGCCGCGTCCGAATAGAATAAAACGGAGGCGATCGTTTCGTGTCTTACTTGCAGGTGGTACATGCTCGCGATTTCTTCGAATTTCGGATAATCCGCGCTCAATTTCGGCAGCCTGGCGTGAACCGAGGCTCTGATGGTGGTTCCCAAGTTGGTCGGGCAGAAGGTGAGGTAGCCGAGTCTCCGGTGCCGCGAGAATTTCAGTTTCTTTCCAACTTCGGTAACTGCTTTAACAAGCCTGGCGTACACGGACGACAGGTTTCCACCCTTTTCCATCGATATCAGACGCATGTGATCCTCCTCGTTGCACCAGACGAGAAAACTTTTCGCTTCGTTAAAATATATTCCTCTGCCTGGAAATACGACGCAACGAAATAAAGGGAAGCAAATTTCTCGTCGATGCCGTCTCGAACCGACGCGGTTCGCCCCACCGATGGCCCTGTGCGACCACGAAATATTTTCCCATGGAAGACGTTGTTTCTCGATCTTTGGCGATGGTAACGGTAGATCTTTGCAGCGTGTTAGCGTCGGTCGAAATATCTCTCATTTTACATCGGAGAATGTTCCGCGTCATTCTAGAACTTTAATAATTGAACCGTTCGCGGGTCAAATCGATGAACTTCATTTTCCCAGTTTCTTTCAACCTTAAATGTCAAACCCCTCGATTAACCCGTGGCTTTTTATATTTAAAATCAATTTCATTAACGACGGATTCGATACAATTTGCTACCATACTCGCGCGTTACTCGATTTGCCGCTGTACACGCGTACCGTAATTAATTATTAAAACGTCAGAAAAATTAAAAAATATTGCGTCACAATTATAATACACGTTGGATCGAAGCTGCGCAAATATAATGCTCGCTTGACTTTTCTATCGTTCTTCTCTAGTTTTTGTTTCGCGGAGTTAATCGATACGCGAAAATGTTTCGCGTTATTCTGAGAGCTGCAGTAATTATTAAATCAGAGATCCGACTAGATGCGACTAAATTATTAGATACCGAATTAGAAATCTTCCGACAGATCCGGCATTGGTATCGATGTTTTAAAAAAGTAAATAGATAAAATACCGGAAGAGTGAAAATATCGGAAGAATTTCAAGATACTGCGGCATTATTTGTCAATCTATTTTCCTACAAATCTACGCTTCGGTTTGTTACGATCGAGAACACTTTTATTTAGCACAAAAATCCTCGGTCGACTTATCGTGGAGTCGATTATACAAAATTCACCGCCCACCGATTTCCAACGATATCAATTATTAAACCGAATTAAGGTTCTTCAAAAATCCTTCTAAAAAATCCAATAATACACGTATGCATCGTTTTAGAATCGATCGACGCGAACGGAGCTTAAAGTTTTAAAGCGAAACGAAGCCAAGATGGCCACCAGGCCGAGTCGAACGAGCCCAGTCCTTCGAGGAAATCTTCGGCAGTCGCAATCGATCTCTAATCGCGTCGCGAAGCATTCGGCTCGAGATGCGATCGATTCCTAGCCGGAATTCTGCACCGGATATTCTCGGGCACAGAAATATTTCGCGATTCGTTTCTACGTATAAACAGCGGATGCCTGTATACGTGTTTGCGTGCGTCGAGATACCTGCGACGGATCGATTTATTATTAGAAAGCTCTATCGTTCCGCTGCGAGAAGACAGACTTACGGAACGATTGCCACCCGAGAGCAAATATTTTCCCACGTTGTCCGTGAGCTTTATTAAACTAGAGAAATTAGGCTAGCCAGGGATTTCCGATTCGACCGATTTCCCCGCGAACATCGATTTCGCCCGATTCCGCGCGCTGCTGGAACAAAGCCGCGCCGGCGATATTGATTTCTGTTATTGTGTGTCCGCAAATGCCATCGCGAGGGAGAGAAGCTGTCAAAGTAGTCGCCGTACGACCTATTCAGCCACGACTTAAGCTCGCCGGACTTTTTCTTTCGTACCATTTACGAACGCCGAAATAAACGAAGAAATTACGGCACTAAAGCGCGCGTATTGCTGCCCGGTGACCGTTTCCCAATTTGCTACGAATTTCCAGTTAGTTTCGCTGGCGAACCATTCATTTAATTCCGCATCAAATTCTACGTATTAAATTCTATGCGCGAATACGCGAATATGGGAACATATAAATTCATAGGAAATCGCTAACAAATCGACTCGCGCGGCAGATTTTGCATAAAAATCGAGAAGATTGCATAAAAAAAAGAGAAAAGAAACGCTTTTTTTCCGTAGCAATCAGTTTTCCTCGCCGCGTGCGCGGTTATATCGCGGTTTCCCTTTTGAAATCATTTTTAACGAAACGGATCTCCGATCTCTTAGACGGCGAGGACGATCGTATGCGATGCGACCAGCGCGACGAAAGGTATTCGCGTTTTCATTTAGCTTTCTTCGGTTTCTCGATATAACCTATAGCCCGCGCAACGCTCCGGAACATTTGCATATAGAACAAGAAGTAAGTCTTGTATCGATTCGAACGTAATCGAAAGGTGGTTCACCGGGCAAGTGTCGTACTCTCTGTTTCTGATCGCCTGGAGCACCGTGAAATTGAATTATGAATCTCCTGTTTTATACATGTCTGCCCAGACGTCGTACGTGCGCGCACGTGGCCCGGCACGCGTGCGCTGCTACCAAGAACCGTGGAAGGAAAAGAATTCCGCCTAAACCTTTCATTAAGTTGAACCGAGTTCTATCTTTTTATATCCGGCAACTATAATCTTCTGACGCAAACGCTGCTCTTCCGCGAAGACTCGGACTCGTTGCACCGCCAAAGACGCGTGCGTTTTCGTTCGACGTTTACGGCGTTCGGTCAGTTACATCGGTTGTAAAAATAAAAAGCGCATCGCACGGTAAACGTTGTTCAGCGTAACAGATACTCGACGAGTATGCATTTGTTGTGGCACCTAATTGACGCTCGGATTGTCCACAAAGATGGACAATTTGGGAAGAGGAGACACGATTGTTCGGGCCTTGCGGCTCGTTTTTTATAATTACCGATCGTCAATAACTATAAAAACGAGCCGCAAGGCTCGAATAATCGCGACTCCTCTTCCCAAATTGTCTATTTTAGCGCACAATTTGGGCGACAATTAGGGAGACATTGCTGCAGTTGCAAAAGTAAAATTACGCGGTAAATTGTGATACGAACGAGATGTAACGCAACGTTCGATGCGTTTCCGTAGCAGATTGTAACAGATAAAATTAAGCGATCGGTTTGCGACGCGTTCGAAAATGATTTCAGGTATTTTTTACACCGTNGACCAGCGCGACGAAAGGTATTCGCGTTTTCATTTAGCTTTCTTCGGTTTCTCGATATAACCTATAGCCCGCGCAACGCTCCGGAACATTTGCATATAGAACAAGAAGTAAGTCTTGTATCGATTCGAACGTAATCGAAAGGTGGTTCACCGGGCAAGTGTCGTACTCTCTGTTTCTGATCGCCTGGAGCACCGTGAAATTGAATTATGAATCTCCTGTTTTATACATGTCTGCCCAGACGTCGTACGTGCGCGCACGTGGCCCGGCACGCGTGCGCTGCTACCAAGAACCGTGGAAGGAAAAGAATTCCGCCTAAACCTTTCATTAAGTTGAACCGAGTTCTATCTTTTTATATCCGGCAACTATAATCTTCTGACGCAAACGCTGCTCTTCCGCGAAGACTCGGACTCGTTGCACCGCCAAAGACGCGTGCGTTTTCGTTCGACGTTTACGGCGTTCGGTCAGTTACATCGGTTGTAAAAATAAAAAGCGCATCGCACGGTAAACGTTGTTCAGCGTAACAGATACTCGACGAGTATGCATTTGTTGTGGCACCTAATTGACGCTCGGATTGTCCACAAAGATGGACAATTTGGGAAGAGGAGACACGATTGTTCGGGCCTTGCGGCTCGTTTTTTATAATTACCGATCGTCAATAACTATAAAAACGAGCCGCAAGGCTCGAATAATCGCGACTCCTCTTCCCAAATTGTCTATTTTAGCGCACAATTTGGGCGACAATTAGGGAGACATTGCTGCAGTTGCAAAAGTAAAATTACGCGGTAAATTGTGATACGAACGAGATGTAACGCAACGTTCGATGCGTTTCCGTAGCAGATTGTAACAGATAAAATTAAGCGATCGGTTTGCGACGCGTTCGAAAATGATTTCAGGTATTTTTTACACCGTAGATCAAATGCAACGATACGAAAGAAGCAATCGAAATAATCGACTAGAATATAGCAAACGTTACAAGACACGCGATCTCCGTTTCCATTATGCAACAATGGTACTCCGAACTTATTGCTATGATTTTTGTTGCTCGGCGGTCTCTGTCGCGAAATAATTGGACGCAACCGTTGGAGCGCGCGGCTCGCGGAACTTTGCATAATATTGTAGCTAGACTTGGGCCCGAACCGTTTTAAAATTCGATGCAAATTACGCGAAGTTAACGTTGAATCCTGGTAATGTAGCCGGGAAACCTGTCCGATGTATCCGACACGTGCGAACAACTTCAGGAAATTTAATTAAGTGTAATAATTTACATATGCCGATTAAATTATGTTCGTAGTTTTCGCAAAGCGTTATCCGCGGAGCAGACATAACAAGCCGGGGCTTTGTTCGGGTACAAAAGCTTGACGGCGAACATTTAGATTAACCATAGAATAATATCTCCGCCACCTTTGTTTGAGTTTACGACATCGAAATTATGATAACCCGAACTTCAAATTATAACGCACACGTGGTTCGTAAATATTCAGGGATGCGTAGAAATTTATTCGTAAAACGATCGCACGATTTTGTAGGACCTGCATTCGCGCGGACTTAATTTACTGTTAAATGGAACGGCGATAGTTTCTGCCGAATCGATCGTCTAATTGCGATCGGGACGCGTCTTTGAAGAATCGCGAAAGATCGCTGCAACTTTGTGAAAAAAAGAGAATCGCAGGATAATCTACCTGGACTCGTTTCAAAGCACGAACCGTCCACTTTCGCATCCCTGAATCGAATTTTTTCGAAAAGCTGGTCGCAGCGAAGAAAACGGGAGAGCAAAATTGAGATTGGTATTTGTTTCGAAAAAGAATTGATAAATTCAAACATCGCGGAGTTCAACAATATTTATTCGCGATCCGTTTTAAAATGGCTTTGCAGGGGGAAGCCTCCCCTTTGCGACGAGCCCTGAAAAGTTGATGCACGATTTTTTTTCGCTGTTTTATCAGCCTTTGAACGAAGACTGTGCCGTCGGGATCAGAATAAGCCAAGGCGCGCCACGGAGAGGATGCACCTGCGCGCGTCACCTTTCAAATATTTACCATGCAAATGAAGATTGGCGGGAAAATTTAAATAACACCGATACAGTTTGTATCATTGATCGTACGATCTAAAAAGAAATTGTAAGAAATCGCTTCGACGATGTCGTTGAAAATATTTTCTAAACGATAAATTCTGATGGAACGCGCGGTCTATTTAAATTCAACGTTATTCGATCGAGAAAGAAATTTGCAGATGCTATCGCGATGAAAATAACCGACGCGAATTTAGTTTGTCTCATGACCTTTCACCGAATATTCGGTGTATCAAATAATAACGCGGTCGCTCGCCGCGTTTTTACTCGAATTTCAATCGAATCGATTACACGGATCTTCGAATTTTTGGGAAGCCTGCGATTCGTTGAACAGTTTAAAACTAGCTGTCGGCACAGTATTTTCGCATGTTCTCGTGAAATTTTTTTGTATCGAACGTTAGAATGCTCGTACCATTTCGACGTAACATCGTCTTTTTCTGTCCAGGATCTTGCATAATCCCATCCAACGAAGTGCCATTGGCGTGGAAGCATCGAAGAATCTGACGTTAATAACGAAACTTCCTTTCCGCGTTGCTTGTCTCGTCAAGATCAAAAATTTTGCAACTTTAAAAACTGTTTTGCGCGTTCGTGGACGGGGGAGGTATTTTAGTCCTGTTACGCGACTTCGGATTTTTGTGCAAAATAAAATGTTCCCGCGTCGATCGCGAGGAACAGAGGTTACATAAAAATGTATTCGCGATACTAGAAACTTGTTAACGACATCGATCGATAGCCGAGTGCTCGAAAACCAGAAAATGATGGAAGCAATGGTACGCCTCATCGACTCGCTGTTTCGCCAACGTGTCCTTCTCCGAACCTACTTTAATCCCATAAACTTTCAGCTTAATCTTCGTTTAAACTTGAACCCCCTATTTCGACTGTTCGGCTTACCCGGGATTAATGTTTTCGAACGAGCTAAACGAACTTAAAGCATTGTAATTGAATGTTTTACGTAAGCTCTGGCAAACTACGATAACTCCGATCGACCGACAAATTGGACGCGAGTTTAGTTAGAAAAAACGGAATTAATCGAAACGACGGTCGTTGTAAAATAGACGATTCGCGTTCGCGAAGAATGCGACTAAATAAGAAATCGGAAAAAGAAACGGGTCCGTCAATGGGATCTTTTTCTATCGATTTAAAACGATGATGTATCTCTGTATGTGTGTGTGCGCGCGCGCGCGTATTCCATTTGACAGAAGCCGAAGGTTTCGATATAGGAATCGATAGCACGTATACGGGCATTGTTGAACTTTTTCCGCAGGAAATACCGCTTGCAAAAACATCATGACCGAAATATCGCCGGCGTTATTTACACAATGGCGCTCTTTATACAGCGTGGTTCCGTTTAAATTTTTATTTTCTAGTCAATAACAATTTCAACGAGATCGAACAAGGTGTACGGACTGGAAGGTTGCAGAAGCGATTTGGAAAAATGGATGTTTGTTTATGAAAAATTTGATCCATCACCGATAATATGTATAATCCGAATAGCAGTCGCATAATACGAATACGATCTTTGCGTCATAAAAATAATATAAAAAGTAGGTACATCTCCTATTATACGTTTTATAAATTCTTCCGATATCTACAATTTTCTATCGATGCGTAAATAATAATACTAAAAATACATTTATTTTCATCGAGTTCACCGACCCAAAAGTTCGAAACGGGATTTTTTAGAAAGCGTTTTGGCGCGATAAGACCGACCCTTTCGGTACGATAATAACAGAAACGCTATCCGTTCGGTTCTATAGTTGAAGAGGTCTCGATAAATTCTCCAAAGCGCCGGAAGTCTTGATAGAATTTTGATTAGCCAGCAGCTTCGGTTCGAACGCGGCGAAACATGCATCGTCGAAGTTAGCGGATCGCGATAGAAATCACTCGACTGGCCGATTAATAAATTTCGAATCGACCGATCGGCGCTCACCGGTTGGCCAGAATCTGTTGGAGTTGGCAGCCTCCAAAAACCGATCGCCCTCCTTGAACAGAAAATGATCGTCTATCAGCTGCTGCTGCGTCTCTTTGTCCATCGCCCCGAGCGTGTAATAAGCTCCTTTCAGCTCGCCTTCCAACGTCGACAGGGCCTCCTGCACCTGAAAGCGTGGAAGAGACTCGCGGTATAAACAGATTAGGAGCAGGCATTCCCGCAGTTTGCCGAGAATTTATTCGGTCGCCCGTACCCCGTTGCGCCATAACTCGGTGATAACGAGGCGGCTGAAACGTGATTAGAAAACGCAATTATCTGGCATCATAACGGTGCGCGCGCGCGCGCGCGCGCGTGCTAGGCGGGGAAAGGGAGACTGGCGAGCGCTCGGCCGAAATCAATTATCCGCGCGCGCGTTGCGCTTCGATTCAACTCTTTCGAGCGAAACGAGCTGCGCGTTTCGTGCGTACGCTCGCTTCGATCATCGCCGAAGTCGATGCAAGTCCGCCGTTTTTCTGCCGATCGTCCCCTAAGACTTCCGGTGAGCCTTCCGGTTTATTGTTATAGTTATAAATTGTCCACGATTATAAAAATGAGCCGCGAGGCTCGAACAATCGTATCTCCTCCTACCAAATTATCCATTTTAGTGGACAATCCGAACGTCGGTAAGGGAGACATTACCGTGGTCGGAACCCTTTCGAACGATTCAATTGTTCTCGCATCTCCGTTGGTCAGCCTGCTTCGAATGGACTTAAAAGTAATTGTATTCGATAAATTCAAATTACCTTTGGGTCTTAATACCCGTGTTCGATTACTTTCGTGCACGAGCGTACGCGATACGAGCGCGACCGTATTTTTAAGTTAAGATCCTTGTTCGAGGTCTCCGTTCGATCGTCTCTTAAGAACGAAGTGCAGACGCGGCGCGTACAATTGAAAATAATTAAGGAACCTATGAAACGAGTGTAAAAAGTTGAACGCTCTATGCACCGTTTGTTGCCGCGCGATAAAAACGATCTATTCCATTCTATTATTGCCGCGCTTTCAATGTTCGGTAACAGCGAAATTCATTCGGTTTATGTGTCTTATACCGGCAAGCTGTTCAAGCTTTACTCGCGGGTAAATTGGGTTTCCCCTACTGCGTTTCGGTTGCCAAGGAAACTAAGACGCCAACGATGACGACATCCACGGCCATCCGTGTCAAACGCAGGAATCCGAATCCTCTGTCCTCCGCTCTGGCACCGCCGTGTCTTTTGTTCCCGATGACGAGCGGAGGGGGTGCGAAACGTACGGGGCTCTTTCGCCTTCCAACGACCGCCGTACCGATTTATTTTTCCACCCCTTGCTCCCCCCTGGTTTACCGCCAGGGTTAGTCGATAAAGATAATATAGAATATTTTTCGATGCTAACGTAAACGTACGGCCATGGTAACGAGCCACGATTCGTTCGGCTCGTAAACCATTGTCTCGAATTTCGCGACACGGTATTTCAGGGTTTCCAACGATTTCGCGATTCCCCTGATACGATCAAAATATCGCGGGCACGACGATACGTGTAATCGCGCGTTTTCTGCATTCTTCGAGTCCCTAAAAGCCAAGTACGGTGAATGGGATTTTCACGAGAATAAAAGGTGCGGGAAAATGTTGCAGACTTTTTATTAATTTTACCAAGGTAACGAGCACTTCCAACGAGCAATTATACCTTGAAAAAAAACCGATGCGCGAGTCATCGTTTTATAGATATCGAAAAGTATAGTTACAATCGATTTTGTACGCCGCGATTCTTTTATCGGAAAATACCGAATCATTCTACAAAATTTTGTTATTTATTTAAGAAATCTACGGGCACTTCTTTCGTCGCTTCACGTTACGAGGAAGCAAAGAGAAAGACGCGAGGAATTCGATCTGAACGCCGGTGCGTCGCGAAACGTCCAACGAACGACCCTTGTATCGCAAAATAAATACTTATCGTTGGATAACGTTGGCACAACGCGTAATGGAGATTCAAAATGTAAATCCGATCGTGTATCGGAGGAGAAATACCCGATCCGAAAATTCTGACGGAGCAGAATCGCGGATCGACGACCGGAATATCGCGTTTCCAGCTCATGAAACTTAAAACAGTTACGACGTATCTCTACGCGAAATAATAAAGTCGACGAAAATAGAATAAAATTTTGTTCCAAACGAGAAAATCGAAATCGAGAATTCGTCGAGTCAGAATGGGCTGACGCGTCTGTGCACGAGCTGCTGATTCTACTTGTAGATATACTAATGCCGGCGAACGTGACGGATCTTCGAAATCGAATTTCACGGAACCGAAGCCTCGCCCGCGACGATATTTTATATCCTCTACTTTCGCGTAATGTTCTTTGTTCGTAATATCGGCCCCGGTGTATTTGTTTAACAACGGTTCCGCGCGATCGCTATATAAAATCGGTTCAAATAACAATTCCGGATTTTCAGCAAAGCGAATAGAAGATCCTTCGAGTTGGCTGCCTTCTGGCTGCCTTCTAAGTTTACATTGTAAACTTTAAGCTTTCGATCGCTTTGAAACGAACGCTAAGACCGATACCGGAATCGATATACAGTCACGGACAGAACTATTGGCACAGTTTAATTACGTAACTTGTAACTTAATAGGATAACCTTTCGGCGATCTTTTTTAAAGAGATTCGAGGAACTTTCGAACGAACCGACGCGCAAATAAATTGTTGCTTCGTTCTCTGGACATATTTAATATCGTTTAATTAAAAGCTAGATCGGTAGCGGTGCAAGTACTTTTCTTCGCGACTGTATCTTTCTTTGTAACGAGATCGTTGTCCCTTGTAACGAAAGGAAAGTTTGTTTAATTTGAAATCGTGAAATCTTTTCGACGGAGTTGTATAAATTCGCATGGAATTATCGGAGAATTTTGTTAACGATAAGTTCGAACCGATCGTAACGCTTTCACGATTATTTTACGAGACGTTGAAACAGAATTTCAATCGCGCGACAATAATGTTAACGTTTCATCGATTTCAAAGCGAATTTTCAAAATGGTTTCGCGACTTTATTAATATCATTGTAATCACTTTTACCGAGGTGATAAATGGAGATCAATTTTACTTTGCGGCAACGAAGCAAATTGGTACAAGTTCGTTTAAACGAAGAATCGTTGGATCGCTTTCTATTATCAGTTTTAACACAGATTCAAATGATTCCCACAGTTTCACCGTTCCCTCTTTAAAATGAGCTCCCAAGACTCGATGTACCATCTTTTAAACCTGTTTCACGGCAGACGAACGAGGCACGCTTAAAAAAGAAAATATGACAAAAGACCCATCTTTCAAAGTTCGATAAAACGACCAAAAAAAAAAAACAAAATCATCCAGCAAATTTTTGGATATCATTCGAATAACGAAGCTTTAATCTTCGAATGGATTCTAAAAATCATATTTTCTGCCAACTCGAACATCGACGATCTTCTGAAAATGAAACGTCAAATATTTGCCGCACAAATATTTGTTTAAGCCACGGCACGAACAAATACGACCGCGCGTGCATTTTTCATTGGAAAAGTTCACGATATCAAGCATTTGCGGTCGAATGGTAATTCCGCGGCAGTTTCGGTGAAATTCCACGTGCACGCGTACGTACCTTTTTCTCCAACCGTTGATAATCGGAGAGCGTCATGGTCGGATTGAACGGATAGCCGTTAACCGATCGCGCGCACCGAATCCTCGTCGAGATCACGTACTTCCCTTCGGGATCGAGATCGCCCAGTTCCTCGGCCGATCCCCAGTCGAGCCGTGGGTGCAGGTCCTCGGCCGCGAACCCGTCATGGTAATCCTCGATCACCGGATCGAAAAGAGCGTCGAAAACGTCGTAGGCCGGCTGATCGGGCGCGTAGAGACCGACGTTCGAGTCGGGGTTCTTCAAGCCCGATCGAATCACGTCCATCAAGGTGGATCCGTTGCCGGTCATCCGTACCTTCAGTTTATCGAAGATTGCCCGGGTTAAGTGTTTCTTCAACAGAGACTCGCTATCGATCCCCGCGAACTCCGCGTAGGCGGTCTCGAGTGCCTGCACTCTCTCGTCGGCTTCGTTCATGAAGTCGGGACGAGCCGCCGCTTTCTTCTCCTCCTCCTCCTCCTCCTCTTCCTCCTTCTTCTTCTTCTTCTTCTTCTCGCAAGCACAGAGACGCTTGTCGCACATTTTGCTCTGCCTCCCTCGTTTCCTCGCCCACCTCTAGACTCTGCCTAGACACTGGAACGTGGAACAACGTTTCCTAGCGTTGGCCCAAGCCCCCGGTGCACAGGGTGTCGCGTCTAAAACTGCCACCTTCGGGTTTACCGTTTTTATTAGCTGCAGTTGTCGCGTTATCGAATATTTCGCGGATTTTGCGCGGCTATGGGAAGATCGAGTAGGTGCAATTTAAAACGGTACAGCGAGTCGAACGAGTTTCGAACGTTATTACACGGTGGTCGTCGAAGATAAAAATAGCCGGCTATTTGGTTCGGATTTTCCGCAGCTGGACCAGGCATCGTTTTATCAGGAAAATTATTATTGCGCGTGAAAATTTCGAGGTCGTCGGCGCGACAGCGAAAGCGTCGCAAGATGCGCCGATCCGCGAAAGAAAGCGCGAGCGCGAACGGTTAAATAGGAAACGCGAGTTTCTCTGAGATTTTCTGGCCGTTCGATTCCGAGGTTAGGTCGATCTCGGAGTCGTTATTGTCTCCGTTCCGGATTGCTGATTATTTCACCTGAAACTTTTCACGCGTCGCCTGGACGTCTCTGTTGCTTCTCAGTGTTCTCAGTCGCCTGCTTTCTCCCCTTTCGTTTTCCCTTTCCGCGAGCTCGCGAAGCATCCCCCGGAGCGTCGAGTTTTAATTACACATATTTTTTGTGCGAGCTGCTCTCGAGGCTCGCGGTATGCGCCAGAAGGGCCCTACACGGAGCGGCGCGGCGGCGACGTGAATATTCTGAATTTTGACAGACGCTCGACGCCCGACGCTCGACGCTTCTGGCATAGCCATCTCGACGCCGAGCCGCGAGCCGCGAGCCGCGAGCGCCGCGCCGAGCGACCGCGGAATCTCGTTTCCCGCTTGTCGCCAAAAACTATTCGGCCGAGTTCTCGTCCCGATCGAGGTTTATTTTGCCGAGCGCGTCTTTTTTCCGCTGGCCAGTAACCGGTCACCGGTTCCCCGCTTACCGACTGCCTTCTCCCAGTCACCGCTGCTGCCGATGCGACTGCAACTGTCCGGTCCTCCGCGCATCGTCTCGAAACCGAATCCCTATTCGGCGATCGGAGAATCGTCCCGATTCCATCGGCAAAGGCGGTTCTTGAAAAAGCATTCGACGGATATTTTTTTCGATCGACGCAGCGAAGCGGGGAAAGGTCAAAGCGCGAAGGCGGGATAATTGGATCGCGCGAATAAAGCAAGGGCACGGTGTAAAAAGAGCAACTGTCCGTAGCGGTTTATTCGGAGCCCAGGTGGAACGTTCCGTATGCCGCGAGATTATTATCATAAGTAATGCTATAAGTCCGTGCAGCAATAAAGCAACGTGGAAAGACGGGCGCATTTGTGTTTCAAGATCAGGTTTAACAGGGTAGCCGAGCGGAGCGCGCGCGTGTGTCGAGCTTCCGGCTGTAACGCCGTGCCCTTATTTGAAACTTTAACTGACCAAATTAAACCTACATCTGTTCTAAAAATGGTTTTCTTTAATGCACTCGCCCGGATAACTCGAAAGCCCCGCGCATTTGAATTTAAATGCATACACCGCCGGGGCATAACGTAGTCTCGCACCGATCCCACCTTTAGAGCGCGCAATTTCGCGGACGCGTACCGTCGAAATCCTGAGTCTTCCCATCGCGCGCGAACGCGAGTTTCAAGAAGTGCCCGATCGAAATTTTATCGGCGGGCCGAGCCCGAAACAAATTCTACGAGTTCCGATAAATCCGATGCGAAACGCGTAGACGTTCGCGACCGTGTTTCATTCGTTTTCGACGGTCTCCCGAACAAACGAATCGATCGATTCTTTTTGAAACATCGTAATCCGACGTTGGGATTCGTCGATGCCGCGCGTGTTACGAACTTGCGACGAATCGGAGAACAATGAATTCTTGACTATTCTTTGGTCTCATTCTGGGAACAGATTTCGTTGTAACAAGCAGCTCGCGTGAAATATAACGCGACAGGTGGATTTACGAGAGCCGCGCCATTGTCTAAACTGGACATCGGTGTTGAACGTACGAGCGAAAGAGCAACTAGGACAAGAATCCATTATTCCCGATTTTTTTGTTACGCGCCGCGTGCCTTCGACGCTCTTTTTATTTACGATCGTCCAAATTTGTTTGGAATTTTATGCAGCGAATCGGACTTCCGACATTGCCGTTCCGATGGTGGAACAGCGATGAAATCCCGTATCCGTCGGTAACTATGTACACGTTGTGAAAATATTTAACTGCGAGCATCGCTCATGATATTTAGAGAGGAAATAAATATGGCAGCCGCTCGTGCGAATTTACATCGTAATTCCACGTTCTCGTTCAACATTTAGGAGAGACGCGATTGCTCGCGGAATGCTAATAATATAATACTTAACCGTTGCTCGACAGCAGTGATACCATCGGTATTATTAGTTGTTTTTTTATTTTTTGTTATAGGACGTCGGACAATCGGTGCTCTGGAAAAGATGAGAATTTTATCGATCGGATATCGAGAGCGAATCGATAAAGCTTTCCAACGACCGTGCCACGACCGGAAGATGTTCGATCCCTTTTTAGCTAGTTATCGATCCGAAACGAAGTTATTCGTTACATTATGCAAAATAACTAATTTCGAGGATCGAGAAAGCCTCGGTTGTCAACGGAACAGAGATCTTTACGCTTTCATAGCAATCTTCGAACCAGCGAAAAGCCTGTATTTTAACGAGAATCGCCCAACAGTATTTTAATCTCGTTTCGAGAGATCGAAAGAATTTTTCCATCGAAGAAATATTCTATTACCTTCGATTTTCAAGAAACGTTCAACGAATACGTACAAGTATCTGCGCGGTCTAATTGCGAACAATCGACGGATTAAAAGCCGACCAAACAGCCGTTGTTGGGTTAAATGTTAACGTCGTCGGTGGTCGAGACTCCATTGTGTTCGTTACCTCGGGAGAGTTTCGATTCCGCGTCAGAATTTACAGCGCCGGCTTTCGACGTGGCAGCATTTTACTCGCGGGCTGATCCTTGTCTTTCTGCCGAGATTTTTAAGCATTAAGAACAGTCGGTCATGAAATTCTATTTCGGCGCTTCGGCTTAGCGCGGAGCCCCGGACATTCAACCGCCGGTAAGCGTTCGCCGAATAAGACGAGAGCAGGCCATGGTTTATCGATGATTGTGCCGCGGTATTTTCATTTCATTCGGTTCTCCGAATCATTTCTCTCCGCCCGTTTCCAAAGCTTTGGAACGAACCGTGAAACACGGCGAACTTACAAAGTCGTTCGAACATCGAAAGAAAGAGAGGAAATTAAAGCACGCTTTTTATTCGAAGTACAATAAAAACGAGACAAAAATTCGTAGACCGACTTTCGAGAGGTCTTTGTAAAGGGGAAACTTCCCTTTACACGATCGCATTGAAAAGAATTCGGGAAAAATTTTTCGAACGCTGGAGAGTCGTTTGAATTTGAAAAAAAAGCTTTACACCGAGGGAAGAGCACTTTCGTATGGCTGACCGCTGGTTAAATTAAATCTGTTTTACGATAAAGGAAGGATCTGTGAAAAATCGAAGTTGGCGAACGGTTAAATTAAAGACTCTGCCCTTCGACGTCGGTTTCGTACATTTTCAGTTCATCCAATTCGAATTTCTGTCGAATTTCTCGTTCTGCTCGTATTAACCGAAACAAGATAAAAATCTCTTTCTTTCGCCGAACGTCTCGTATCTATTTTGCCGCTATTAATAGGAGTAAAGAAAGAAAAGAACTTAAGAATAAAGAATCTAGCCCGGTCACCGAATTTAATAGTCACGAAACAATTATTCCAAAGAGGCGCGAAACAATGAATGAAGCCCGGGTAATCGCGGTAGGAATCGGAGAAGCTTTCGTGCGAATATCGAAGGGCTGATTCGAGGGGTCGGTCGACAGGCTAGGGGAGTTCGTGAGAATGGACAGAGCGATAAAACGGACGGGTGCGACGCGTAGCGCCGCGACGCGACCCGACGCGACGATCGGTGGAAAAGATAATGTCGTTACGAGAGGGTCTCCGTTCTTGGCTGGAACCGGGACGTATTATCGTCATCGTCGTCGACGTTGTTTGAATATGCCGCATCAATTTGTACCGTCGATGTTTACCGTTATCGCCGTTCGCGATCGATCGCTGCGTCGGGGGCTAACGTCACGGGTTTGGGACAGGGCGCGTCGAGCTCGTCACTTTCTGTCGAACGGTTCGCTAAAAATGACAGATTTTTGTTCGGTCCACGCGGTTTCGGCGAAATTGACGCGATGCCCGCGATAAGCACGACAAATTGGCAAAAGTGACCGCAGCTGAGACGAGACGCAGCATGAGAGCCGACAGATTCTACCGATCGCACCGATCGACCGGTTTCGGGCCCCGCTGGTTGGTCCGTAGACCCCGACCGATCGGCCGAACGCGTCCCTTAATTCGTCCCTCGATCGGAAATTCTAACCGAACCCCGTTGATTCCAGATTCACAAGATCGCGCTCGCCGACTCCAAATTGAGACGCGCTTTCGATCTCGGCTCGTACCACGGGGCTGTCACGCTCCTGGCTTGGCTCGCGATCATAATTGTTCTCGTCTGTTCGATTGTGGTGAGTCGCGAACTTTCCCGGTCTATTCGTTCGAGTTTTCGGCCGGCTTTCGAGGCGCGTTTTCGCTCGCCGCTCCATTTGGACGTTAAACGTTTCGTTGTTCCCCGGCTGACGAGTTTCTTCGGCGCGTAGAGCCGAGGTCAACCGTCTCGAGAAAGCCGCGAACTTTATTTCTATTAGGACCGAGCGATTAAGACGCTTCGCGTTTCCCCGAGCTCCGTCGCGTCGCGTCGCCGAACTCCGTTTAATGGCGAGATCGAAAGTTTTGTCGATGTTCAACGACCGGAAAAAGGTTAATTCGGTCGGACGCCGAGGACCCTACTCGAATTTAACTCGCGTTACATTCGTCGAAGATTCCCGGGCCCCGTTCTTTATTTTAAAGCGAGACAGGGCAAATTCCTACATTAATTCGACCCTCGTCGATTCCAGTGTCTAAAGACGAGCGCCGCGTACGAGAGGAACTTTCTGGCGCTGCGCACGGAAACAGAAAAGGTACGTACGTTTCGGTAATTATAAACATAAACAGACGGCGCGGCCGCGATTTTTACGTTTTATTGCGCCGCGTGAATTTGAGTGGCCAACGAATGCGCGAAACCCGCGGTCTCGGCGTAAAACATGCACGACTTGTTCCGAAAGTTTTGAGCAAATGAAACTGGCAGCTCGTTACTCATAGACGGTGCTAAAGTAACCGTAAATTGTCGAGAAGGAAAAAACTGTCGGTCCGATCTGCGAAAGTCTCGTTTCATCTGTGCTCGCATTCTATCCGTGTGTCCGATATCGCGCGTATAAAGCTAATTGCATCCACATTTTACGCGGATGCGTTCGCGTTCGCAGAGAAAATCTTCTCGCGGGAAGTTGTTCCGCGACTGGATCATTCAACGCGACGGTCGAACTTCCTGGATTTTTTGGAATATTCGAAATATTCGTGCGTAAATTGAAAGTAAATTTATTTCGTTACGAATCGCTTTCCGATCCTGTTTCTATTGCTCGAGCGCAAAATTCGATAAAAATATTAGTCGGAAGATCTCTCGAATATTCAGCCTTCGTGCCAACGATTCAAGCGATCGCGATTCCAAGGAAACGCGGCATTCTTTCCCGTTATTTCTCTGAACATTCGTTCCTCGCGATCCATCTTCTTTTGTTACAAAAATTGCTAAACGAAACTATGCGTTCGTAGAATCGAGGTACTCGAATATCAATTACGCGGTGAATTAATAAAGACTGACTTAATAGCATAGTAATCTTTATCGTCGTATCCCACGCTTCGCGTGCCATTGCGAGCTGTATAAAGCGCTAATGCGCGATAAAGGCTGAAGGAAACGCTTAAAGACGAAATACGTTTTTCATAGTTTCGAGGAGAAGCCTGACCTAGCACGGAGACACGAGAGAAGTAGTTCGAGAAACGTAGAATACGAACAAGGCGCGGTTAAAAATATTTATAACACAAAATATTCGATCGAGCGGAGCAATCTTTTATCGCTGGAATTATAATAGATGTGGAAAATACTTTCGTTAATTCGTGTGCAAGGATTGAAAGCGATTATCGTACGTTAACGGGTTCCTCTAAGAAATCGCACGCTACTTTCGTTTACGAGCAAATGCTTCGCGAACGAAACTTTCGGAAGAGTACGCGCGCAGTCCGCGCACTGACGATTAGCGATTATTTGCAGAAATTTCCGCGGAAGAAAAGCTTGACGGACATCAGGCCGGCGTACAACTGCCTCCGCAAGCACGTAAGTACATTTTCGTACAAAGCCAAGTAATAATCTCTTTGCGCGAACCGAAAGTGCATTACGTTGTTTCGCGCAAGAGTTTTCGCAGCGGAGATTCCGACTTCCTTGCGACAATGCGGTTCAAATAAATGGTCAATTGCTTTCTCGTTTCTAGTTGCAGCAGACCGATGTGTTCCACGAGAAGACGAAGAAAATGGTGGGTACCTCCTTGGTAGTAAATCTCCCTCCCGAATCCCGAATCCCGCGACTCCCGGGATAAACTTAATAGAGCTTTTTTTTGTTTCGGTAGCTGCGCAAGGAGCTTCTGGAGCTCGAGATCTTGAACAGTAGAATCAAGTGCATCGACAAGCTGGTGCAGTCGGAGTTGCAGAAGCTCGAGTAATTTTTCAATAATGTTAGGTGTCGCTCTTGGCGATCCGAGGGTGCTGTTATAGTCGACGTTTGATCGCAATAAATATTGGTGCAAAAACTTTCTCACGCGTTTCCGTGCGATTACGCACTCGTTTGAAATTGAGGTCGATCTTCGCATCGATAGATAAAAGGATCAATGCTACGAAATTAATTAATTGCTACGAAATCGCGAACATCGTATTTTTAGCAATCGTTCGAACGCAGCTCGAACGTTTCATTGTTCAAATTTCTCCGCAATATTAAGCAATTCGGTAATAAACCCGCCTGTGTTTAATTAGTACAGGTTATTGCTCGTAAATTGTATCAATGTTCATCTCAAGGGATTTATCGTTATCTCTCGTTTAGTATTTATAGAGAATCTAGGACACAGGTTTATAAAGCCGAATTTTAACGAATTCTAATTAGATCGAACAACCGAACGTCGGTCATATTATGAGCACCGATCGCGCGCGAATGTATTCGGCCTTATTCAATTTGTCATAATGGCATCGATAACGTGTATTCTGATTCGCTGGCTCCGCGGTTATTACAGGTGTAAGAAAGATGCGCGTTCGCTGCACATTTACGGAATGCCGAATCGTAAAACAATTTACTGGTCGTAACGGTCAATTCGGCCGCTCGATATGCAATTTATAATGTAATTGCACGCATTGCGCGGCTAATGATGAATGCATCGATCACGTCTAACAATTAAATTCTCCCCAATCGCTTTTGTTGATTACTAATCAAAATTGTTGATTATTCAACGAGTATAATCTCTCTCGCTCGTGCCTCGATTGTCCGGTAAAAAGGATCGCGATCCATAACCGCTGATCGTGTTACGTTCAATTTTGTCGCGCACGACTCCAAACTATTCTCTTTCGGTTCCTAATCACCGCGTTGCTTCTATTTCGCCGAACAAACGGTCCGAAACAATGCTCCGAGAGTAATCGCGATTCCGCGTTCTTGTACGCGACCTTGATCCCGGATTCTCCGGCTCGGTTCTTTGCCCGGTTCGTCATATTTTTTTTAACGACGCGCGCGGCCTCTCAACGCGCTAATGGACGGGATATATCGGGGCAGATAAGATGCGCGATGTTCATTCGGTTCGTCGCGAGGAACGTCGCGTGACAACTTAACTCGGATGTTCAGAGCGCCGTCGTCGTCGTCGTCGTCGCCGCGTTTAAAGGAATTCGTCGCAAGAAACGAGCCGGCCGCAGGAAAAAGCGAGATTTTACAACACGATAATCACGGAAGTCTACGAGCGAGCGAGCGAGCGCTCGCCGCGGCGCGCCGAAATTAGATTAAAACAATTAAAAGTGGTCCCGCTGAAAGGGACAAGATTCCCATCTTGTTAATTAGGATGAACTCGCTGAAATTTACGCGACTTTCAAGATACATCGCGAATTTGAAACGTAACTCTCGTCGGCCGGACTGCTTTAAAAGCAGTCTGGAAAGTTTCCTGCCGGCAACAAAATGCGAAACGCCGAGCCATCGAGCCGCGCGCCGGGATAATGTTGCACTTATAACTGCACTCTGTCGTGCACGAGCGTTCGCGACCGCCGATGTGGGAACGGACATTCGTCGAATCTCGCAGCGATTCTTTTCCATTAGCCTAACGACTCTCTGCTCGCTCGATCCGCGCGTTAAAGCACTCGCCCGGGCCGACGAGTTTGATCGCGTTCGCAAATAAAATAACGAAGCGGACCGCGTAAAAGTTAACAAGTGTTTCGCTGATTACCACGCTAATTGGGATTATTTGATCCGACAAGTTTCCTCCGCGGAAATTAAAACGGAGACTTTCCTCGAGGTATTGGCTTCTTTGTTATCGATTGTTCCAATTCGTTCCTACGCCGAGCTAGAAACAGGTTTTCCGACTCGTCGGACCGGCTGAAGGAACAAAATGTTGACAAATCTGTTTTACAATGGAACCGATAAAATGGTGGAGCCGTTGCTCGACAATGTCAGAAATCGGAATAACGGCAGGCTCGAATCGTTACGCTTTTGTAGCAATTGTTGCGCGCGAATGCGACGTTGAAAAAGAAGTCGGGGTAATTCGAAACGTGAAAAATTCTGTTTAGTTACGATACGGCAACGGCGTACGGCCGATAGAAATCCTTTTCGAGCCGAATTCGCGCCGTAAAGGCGTAAAGGCGTGCGAACGTGTGCACGCCCCGGAACCCGGTTCCCAAAAAACACCGAAATTTCCCCTATCTAAGCGATCTCTGTCTGGTCTGGGATCAGGATATTTTTGTAGCCGACTGTACGTACGCGGATGTATCGCGCAACCAAGGGTTTCGACCATTTGTCTTTCCACCATTTTGCAGAAGCCGCATCGGAGATGTTTCCACAGCTTGTATTTTCTAACGAAGCGAACAATTTGAATTCATAATAATTACTAGGAATACCTCGTCCGTAACATTTTGCGCTATACACGTGTTGCTCTTTTTGTGGTATTTATGAAACATTCGATCAACCGTGTGCAATCTTTGTGTAATTAATAACTCGAATACAAGCAACGGATATGTCGAATATTATTTCTGTGCGAAAGCTTTTAAAATTGCAAATTGAAAGCTCACAGGCAACTATCGGATGATTTTGCGTTCCCAAAAGATTTTGTAGAGTAACCTGCAAAACCGGCGCGGCGGGCTCGGACAAACACGTATCCGCAGTTTTCTGACCGGCTAAATTCAATACGCATTCATGAAAATCAAACAATTCTATATGTAAAATTCATTGCATCAGGTTTGATCAATATGCTTAAAAACAAACAGCGCGCTGGATGTGTTTGTGCGAAGCGCTTGGTATCATTCGGTTATTGGCCAAAGCTTGAGATCAATAAATATACCAGCTACAGAGCTACAGCCGCAGCTACAGTTACGGTATTGTGCTCGCAGCTTTATATTTCCAATTTGTTCGGAACACGGTTCTAATTGTTTTACGTTCTCCGAATCGAATCGCGAATCGACTTCCCGTTCGGGGACTTAAAGTTTTCCTAGTTTGGAAACAAACGCGAGTTCGCCCAAGGTGTTTTATTAATATGCGTCTCTCTAGAGGGAAATCTGCGCAAACGTTTCGGACACGGTCGAAACGGCACCGAAACGGCTCGCCCAAAGCGTATTATCGCCCATTGATTCGTCCGCGCCGAAATAACGACCGGCGGCGTTACAATGTAATTAACCAAATACAAACGCGCGCGACAAATACTTGCGTCAACTTATTACGCGCGAACGTAGCACCGGCACGTAATATCCGTAATGAAAATTCGACGATCGATATCAAGGTCCGATCCCCGGAAAGGGACCAGCTCCGAGCAGAGACACCGTTTTATTCCTTAAATCGCGAAGGAATATTTGTCCGATTTTCTAGATTCACGAATTTTATTCGCGGCAACGTGCTTGTCCGCGACTTCGATCGATTACATTTCTTCCATCGAAGCATCGAATTCGATTCTTCGTGTTTTACATTTTATCGATGTTAATTGATTGGCTGGCACGCGCATAAAATGCCGCAATTTGGTAAACGAATTTAATGGGTAACTAAATTCAAAATAAAAACACGTTTACAGGCGTCGCCGCGATACAGACGTACTTAATTGCTCGGTACGGTGCTCTTCGTTAACTTAAATAGATTTTATTAAAAACATTTGTTATCCGACCGTGCGTAAATCGTTCGACGCCGGGCCGGAAACCGACGATTGTAAAAATAATCGACGTTCTATTCTTTCTCGGGGAATTTTTTCCGCTTATTCATCGAATCACCGCCGATCTCGTGCTCGCTTCCAAGTTACGATGACGCTTGCAAAGTGCAAACTGCGCGGCGCCTGGAAATCTTTGATCGACCGCGTAGGCGTGCACGTGAACTCCGCGAATCAACTTCTGCGTTTACCGGGCATGCATAATTCATTCGCTCGTTTGACGTATGTAATAATAGAAACAATGGAACAACAGAGGCCACGGTAACGCGACAGCAATAACTCATAGTTGTCCCTGTGTGCATAACTCCTCGGGTTCGGGCTATCTTTTGAGACGACGCGACGCGACGCGCCGCGCCTCGCCGCGCCGAGCCGAGCCGAGCCGAGCCGAGCCGAGCCGCGCCAGCGACGACTGTTGATTAATCAAACCGAATAATCTGGTCGAACTGAATTCAAATAATAGGCTCTTCTCGTCTCTCGCAATCACGATTTCGGCCGCGATCCTGGAAACAACCTGTATGCGCAAACTCGAGACGGAACAACGAGACGATCGATTTAAAAAATAAAATATTACAATTAATTTACGATGTTTTCTTCGTTCGCGTTGAAACTGTGAAACACCGAGCATGTCGGCGACGAGCACGTTGTAGGGAATCCCTTGCGAATATCTACCGACCATCGGATATCAAATTAACATTAATGAATTTGTTAACACCGACCGTTGTGATACGCGTACGCGTCGCTCGAGGGTACACCGTGTTCGGACAAACGTAAACGATCATAAATGAAAAAACGGCGCGGGAACTCGCTCTCGGAAAACTGCATAATGCATTTTTACTAAACGGAAAAAAGATCGGCTTCATCGTTATTTCGGAGAACGGGAAATATTCGTCGGCACGTATCCAGGGGTGAGAAACGTTTCCGCATGAAATGCGAATGAATTGTTGTGTTTTTAACAAAAAGCGTATGTATTACAACAATTCGGTTGTTCGCGCAACTCGTCGGTCATTTTCGTTCGTTCGTTTGATTTATGCGGAAGCGAGATTACTGGTCGATCAACCTGCAGCTTTTTAAAATATCGCGGCGTCGAGCCGTCGCGCGGATTACGTTTCGCGTAGGGTAAACGCGAGCGTTGAACGTATAAAAAATTATGAGATTCATTTTTAGAAGATTACACGGTATAAAACTTTAGATTTCATTACTTTTGTAAAGCAACGCGGTATTTGGGGCGTCCGCGGCAATACCCTCGCTTACCCTGGGTCGCGTGAAAAAACTATATTTAAAACGTGTATCAATTGGTATCGCAGGGCGTAAGAAACGCTCCGCGAATAAGAAATGAATCTGTGTGGACAGATTCATTTATAGACGAAGGGAACTGCGCGGAACACAGCGCCGCGGCCGGCAGGAAGAAAAAGAATGACCAGCGTCGAATAACAGGGAACGAGCGGAGCCGATGCTCTTCGCTCGCGACTGCATCTCCGTTCGTTTGAAAATACAGGCAATCCCCGTATAACACGGCATTCGTGCAACAAGGTTTCGCTCTAACATGGTTACCGGAATTGGGGAGACCGCCCATATAACACGGCACTCTCGACGAAAGAAAGCTGGCCGAACCCGAAGGAAGCGCTTTACAAAATGCTTCGGTACGCGGCACCGAATTTATAAGGATCTCTTTCCCTGGCGCAAATAATTCGTAAAGATTTCGCCCGGAGACGCGAGTACGCCGCGGTTAATAGACTTCTTCGAACGAATCGCAGCGACAAATTTAACGCGAGAATTCCGAGTTCGGCGTTCGTTACAATTTCATTGAGCGAGTTGGGAACGACCGCGGAAATTTCAGATAATATGTCCGGCGTTCTTATATCTTTATCATATTTCTACATCATAAATGCATATACTCCCCGGACTGGTAACGTTACCCCGCGGATATATTCGGCGTAAGTAGAAATAGCGAGTAGCAGTCGGACACGTTAAACCGTCGTAATAAATTCTACTCGCTGGCATGCGGGGCTAATAAAAAGTTCGCGGATTTTATA